AGGACACATTCTACTCATGTAAAAACACGCTGATGCCCGGACCATCCGCAGGCTGGATTTAGAAGATAATTGGGCCGCATCCGGCCCCTGGGCCTTAGGTTGCCTACCCCTTTCCTAGATCCTAGTTCAGCACTCTCAAATACTACATCACATGGGCAACCCTTAATAGGTCGTAGGTGCCACTCTTGAGAGTTCCCAGACTTCACATGTGGGCTTTTAGGGAGAAGCAGGGAACTGCTGCCAGAAAGAGAGGTGCCAATGTAATTTAAAATGTCTTCCCCTATACACACAAATTTGTGTACTAGGCACCAATCTGTTTTACATCATTCCAGTACAGTGGTACCTTGGTTCTTGAACTTAATCCATTCTAGGAGTTTGTTCAGCTCTCAAAACCATTCAAAAACCAAGGCACGGCTTACGATTGGCTGCAGGAGCTTCCTGCACTCAATCAGAAGCCACTTTGGAAGTTCAGCTTCCAAAAAATGTTCGCAAACCAGAACACTTACTTCTGGGTTTGCAGTGTTCAAGAGCCGATTTGTTTGGGAGCCAAGTCATTCAGGAACCAAGGTACCACTGTATACAAATGACCTATGCAGTAACAGAAATCACAGGCTGATTTTCCATTGGTTGTGCAACAGCGCAGAATAAGAAAGTCAAGGGAAGCACGCCCCATTTGCCACAAAAGCCCCTTAGCAATAAAAAAACCTCCTTAATAATCACAGCAGATTTGGCTTTTGCACTCCCATTAACCTACTTGGCTCTGGGGGTCAGGTGCTATGTCCTCTGAGCTCATCAGAACCTCATGTCCTTTACTTCAGTCAACCCAGATCCAGTGTGCCTGTTCTTTCAGAATATTGATTCAGTCATTAAGCTGAAGATAGCAAGCATAAAGTAATGTGCAGAAGTGGAGCTTTTTTGGAGGGGGGGAAGTTGCTGCATTGTAGAATTATAAATGCATTTATTTAATATCACTGTATAAGCTTTAAACTATGTTGCTTTAAAAGCCATGGCAAATTTATGAATGAAACTGTGCAAAGAGGATTTAAAAAGGGCTCGGCAGCAAGTGTTCAGGGGTCTGGATGCAGCCTGCCACCAGGGTAGCATGAAATCATTTGATAATTACACCATAGCCAAGGTGGATTAGTGTACCATAAAAATATAGGGCTGCATTATTTTTATTTATATAACAGATGGATCCTAGAAAGAGACTTTAAAAAAACATGAATGCAACACCATGCCACTGTTGACAGAGGATTTAGAAGTGTTACAATACAGCCGGGCCAAAAAAACTGGGAAATGTCACCATTCCCTTCTCTCTTTTTTCCTGTCAAGGAGAAGAAAGCTGAGAAACAAATGTTTTAATGATATGCATTCCATGCTGGGATCACTTAGGAAGCATTGTCAGAAAGGAAAGGTTGCTGTGGATAGGTGGTTTACTTCTCAGCTCCTTGCTTGAAAGAATTTAAGCTTAGAGGGAAGCACTGTAATATTTTGCTGTATGAAAAATTCAGCAGCCTAAAAGATTCTGCTTACAGCAATTGCCAAGCCTCTGCTTTATCCTGCAGGGCTTGTCAGCATTTGAACATTATTTAGCTCTTAATTTACTCCTCACTGGTAACAGGCATATTCTTTTGTGTTTATCCCAACTTTTCTATTTCTATTTCTATTATTATTATTTATTATATACTACCCTTCATCCAAAGATCACAGGGTGGTTCACAACATAAAAATACAAAATCAGAACACAAAATACATAATAAAACAAAAACTAACCAATAACCTCACCCAAAACACATTTTAAAGGCCACAGAATGTTCATCAACCAAAGGCCTGGTTGTAGAGAAAGCTTTTCACCTGGCGCCTAAAGATAAGTAATGAAGGCACCAAGCGAGCCTCCCTAGGGAGATAATTCAAACTGGCAATTTTATATTATGGTTTGAATACATGACGTTTCCAGCTTAGATCAAATTCCATCATTATATGGTAAATCATCTTCCTCCAGTTCTAGGATATTTTTGACTATTTTGAAATAGGTTCTCTTCAAAGGTAACAGATTTGGTCCTAATAAAGGTATAGTGCTGTTGTTGCTGTCATTTCCCCCCTAATTGACCAGCATGGCTGCCTGTGTCTTACGCAGCCCTTATTTACTAATGCTGATAATCAGGCAACGACGACAATACAAGATACACTAGTTCCCTGACTAAGCCACTCTTGTTTAAAGAATGTCAGGCATTTTAACAGGATAATATTCCTCTAAAGGAATATACTGCAGAGGCCACATTCGATTACATCTCAGAACCCCTGTGGAAGCACAAGTCTCCAACATCATCATACTGTGTGTGTGTGTTTTCTGTGTGTGCAGATCAGACCTATTATGGCCTGATCAAAATGCTAATTTCAAAATAGAACTTGTCTGTCTTCTGTCCTCTTTAGGAACTTAGGAAGCAAGAAGTCAACAATACAGCTGCCAGGAGGGAATAGGGCTTAGATAACACAGCTGTGGGATTAGGAAAGAGAGATCAAGAGCAAGAGTGCTCTTTAAGCTTCTACTGTAATTAAAACATGAAATGTGGAACAAATTGAATTTTGGAAGATCAGGTTTATAAAATAGTCAAATTTATTTTTATTTCAGTCCCGCAACAGGAAGATAATGATGGAAACACAAAGGGACAGTGGCCCTATATGTATGTTTAACCATTCACTATCAACATTGAACATATTTCTATTAAACAAACTTGATGATAGTCAACTATCACTGCTAGCAGTGACTGAGTCCTGTACATTAGTCAACAACTGATTAAAATCGGGGTGTTTACTGGTGCAAAAGGAGTCTCACTTCTTTGGTAACTAGAATAGAAACTTCCATGTTTAACTCCACATTCATGTACTTGCTAATTTAAAACACTGTGCTACCTTTCCCAAGGCAAAACTGACTAAAGAAACTTTATGTTAGCCTTTAAACCATGGGTAGGCAAACTAAAGCGGGACGTGGGTGGCACTGTGGTCTAAACCACTGAGCTTAGGACTTGCCGATCAGAAGGTCAGCAGTTCGAATCCTCGCGACGGGGTGAGTTCCCGTTGTTCAGTCCCAGCTCCTGCGAACCCAGCAGTTCGAAAGCACATCAAAGTGCAAGTAGATAAATAGGTACCACTCTGGAGGGAAGGTAAATGGCGTTTTCGTGCACTGCTCTGGTTTCGCCAGAAGCAGCTTAGTCATGCTGGCCACATGACCCAGAAAAACTGTCTGCGGACAAACAAGTAGAATGTGTGTTTTTATTTAAAATGCATCGCTGGGTTATTTGTGGGGCATAGGAATTCATTCACTTTTCCCCAAAAAATATAGTCTGGCCCCCCACAAGGTCTGAGGGACAGTGGACCGGCCCCCTGCTGAAAAAGTTTGCTAACCCCTTAAACACCAAAACCAAATGGATGAATGCTTTTATGCCAGGGGGCACCAATGCAAAAATGTGCCCACCCAGCAAAAAGTTTCAGTAAATATCCATTTAAAAATACACAATGCACAAGAGACTCTTTTCTCTTCCTACTCAGTTCTGGGTCAAGCTTTCCTGCATCAAACATATTTGCTTAAACATGCTAACATTTCATTGGATATCAAGGCTGCTCTGAACAAAGGAAAGGTGCATAGAGCTTCTTTTTGTGAGTGTGACAATGGCTGATGTAGTTGCTTCTTCCTGGTTTGATGGTGGGAGCATGTCGCATAATTTTGTGGTCCCTTTTCTTTTAATGTTTTTAGATCTGACAGCCATTTTGTGTTTGGCCACATCCCCCAAGGCAGCCATTTTGTGACAGGCACTCACAGCACTTTTTCAAAAGTCCAAACATGCCCACTGACCTGAAAAGGTTGGCAACCCCTGCTGTGAATGTCAAAGAATATATTTCTGATATATTTCTCTGTTGAAGGTAAAATTCTGAAAAGTGTCACAGGCATACTTCTAATGTCAGAACAGACATTTGTGATAATCTGACACATGAGCTGCAGTAAAAGGCCAAAGGGCTCTACAAGAAGTACCTCTCATATTCATGACAGAAGGATCCCATGCATCCTTTGACGATTTACTGGGGAACATGAGCAGAAAGAGCTATTATTGCACTTATGTCACAGGCATCTGGTTAGCCACTGTGAGAACATAATGGTAGAAGAGATTAACTTTCTGTCTGATCCAACAGGACTCTTAGGTTATAAAATTGATAGAGGACCTCTGAAAGGAATGTCGCCCTATTTAAACAGCCTCTATTTAAAGTTTTTTTTGGGACGCGGGTGGCGCTGTGGGTAAAAGCCTCAGCGCCTAGGGCTTGCCGATCGAAAGGTCGGCGTTCGAATCCCCGCGGCGGGGTGCGCTCCCGTTGCTCGGTCCCAGCGCCTGCCAACCTAGCAGTTCGAAAGCACCCCCAGGTGCAAGTAGATAAATAGGGACCGCTTACTAGCGGGAAGTAAACGGCGTTTCCGTGTGCGGCTCTGGCTAGCCAGAGCAGCGATGTCAGCTGGCCACGTGACCCGGAAGTGTCTCCGGACAATGCTGCCCCTGGCCTCTTAAGTGAGATGGGCGCACAACCCCAGAGTCTGTCAAGGACTGGCCCGTACGGGCAGGGGTGCCTTTACCTTTACCTATTTAAAGTTTGGGGATAGAAACACAGTATCTTTGAAAGGCAATAATGTTTTTGATTTTTATTATCCAGGTTAAAATGTGACCATTTATGTTGCACATTCAGTGGGAACAATTCAGAAAGATGGTTTAGCATAAAAACAGAACTCTTTTACTTGATTAAAAAAAACAACAACCCACCACCATCCATCATTGGTCAGCTGTGTTACAAAAACTCACTCGAGGATTTTTGTAACACAATATAAATGAAATACACCAGTGCAGTCTAGTTGCATCAAACACTTTAAAGCACTAGTCTATAAAATAGTGTCTGTTTATTAGATAAGTGAATATAACATGCAGAGTATGCAGAAAGTGATAGCAAACAAACCGATGTGACTTTTGCCTTAGTATTTTTTTATTATCATTGTAATTTAATTGCTTGCAAGAGGCAAATTCTAGTACCAGGGATTCTCAAAGGCAAGGTCAAAGTACATGAGTAGATTATTCTGTCCTGTCAATCAACCTGTCTACTTTTAACATTTCACAAGCTGTTTTGTTATTTTGCTGCCACAGACTCAACACAAGTACTTCCCTGCTCCCCCGAGCATCTGGCATGGTGGGACAGTGCTACAGAGGTGCCCTCCTGATACTGGCATGGCTGCTTAGAGGATGGGGTGGTGTAGAACAGTAGCGAGGGTGGGGCTATGAGTACAAAAGCAAGTTTGGTTCCACCAGTGCGCCTGTGCGGTCCTGACCTTGCTGCCACCTTGTCTCACCCTTGCACCATCTGGGTGAGCAGCAGCAATGCTGGTGTTGAGAGATCGGCTCTGCCTCACAATACCAGCTGCTGGAAATAGTTCAGAAGCTGAATAATACAAAGTGATTGCATATAATATTGTTTTCTTGATTCCACAACACATATTTGATCGAACTGGTCAGAGAAAGTCAGGAAAGAATACATTTGATCAGAGAGAATCATGTGTCACTTGCTGTTACAAACATCATGTAACACATCTCTTTTGTTGATTTTGTTCTGAGAAGCCAGCTTCCATAACACATCATAAACTGCTTCTGAATTTATCCTGGCAGTGGAACAGACTCCCTCAGAAAGTGGTGGAGTCCCCTTCATTGGTGGTTCTTAAGCAAGGGTTGGGTGGCCATCTGTCGTGGATGCTTTAGCTGAGATACCAGCATTGCAAAGGATTGGATTAAATGACTCTCAGGGTCCCTTCCAACTCTACAAATCTATGATTCTGTGAAAAGTAGCTTGAAATGCCATGTATGGAAATTATCATTTGAGAAAAACGATCAGTCACCCCCAAACTACCTAACTATATAGAGAGCTAGTTGTATATTTCTCTAGATGGTGACACACAAATGTCACACATACAATATGATATGCTATAGAAGGCAAAAGATTTATTTTTCATATAAAATGTGTTTAAATGAAAGGAAAGGGAAACACTTTTTAAATTTGATAAACTGGTGTAAATCAGTTTGTCATACTGTTTTCAAGATGCAGCTATTGCTAATGTTTAACTTGGATACTGTCAAATGGCAGATCTATATTTCCTAGCAAATATGCTTTTACATAACACCATTAAATATTTAAAATATCATATTTCATACCAGGGAACATGTTTATATATACAGTTCTCAATATTGAAAATATTTCCCTGATAAACATAACTATATTTATATCATTTGCCTTCTTTTGCATTATCAGTGTGATGTATACTTTCTTACAATTTACTTGCAGTGTCATCCAATGTATATACACTCATAACACAATATTGTCTAGGTATTACAACTACAATCCTATACAAACTTGCTTGGGAAGAAGTCACACTGAACTCAACAGGACATGAATAGGATTTCACAGTACACTATTTGAAGATGTGTGTTTTTTGCGGTGGGACGGACAAGGATAGCGAACATGTAGGAATGGGGTAGGAATCTGACTACTCTGATTCAAAAAAGAAGTTTGTCTAATCCAACCTGGGTGGATCATGACCAGAATTGCCTTAATGGTCTTCAGAACCCTCAGTCTGGTAGGTTCGTTTACAATGCAGCCTGATGGCTGCCATCTTTTCCCCACCCCCAGCAATTTTCCTTTTAAACTTCTAAAACAGGGCATCCAATTGCCCACAGTCTGAGCACCTAGTGACACCAGGACTTCATGACGTTCCGTCTCTGTCAGGGAGAATTGGACAGTAAAAGCATTGCAAGTCCTGCAACACTCAGGAGAGCTTACTGCACACTGAATCAATTTGCGTGGTGGCATAGAGTACCATGCACTAACCACTCAAGCTGAAAGCAGCTGGGTGCCCTGCTTCAGGATTTTTTGTGGGGAGGGAAAGATTGGAGGCAGTGCCCAACTCTTGGACCACCTGGTGTTTTATTTTACATTTTTAAAAGTATGTTTCTAGGCAGCTTTTTAAAGATTTTCCATTTTAAAAAATCTTCCCAGAAACAGGAAAGGATAAATTTAGCCCCATAGCTTCTGGAAACCGGGATAGACTGGTCTTTAATAGGTCCATCCACCCCTCCTAACCTGGCACCTTCCAGATGTTTCAGATTACAACTCCAATCAGTCCTGCTGAGCATGCCAACTGTCACAGACATTGACAGCTGCAGTCCCAAATATCTGTTGGTCACCCTGTTTTAAAAAGTGGTGGTGTGGTTGCACAGAATAAAGCAGACTTCCACAAAAACAGTTCTGTCTGTTTCATGGCCTCTTTCAAAGGCAATCCCTTTTCTTTTGAAAGTTGGCACATACCACAATTTTTTAAAAAACGAAATTAATAACAGGACCAAAATCCTGCAATTTCAGATTTATATTTTTTTTGCTTTTGTTTTTATCATGGACTAGTAATAGAAATCTAGCTATAAAAAATTGACCAAAAAGATCCCCTTCCTCCCCAAACCACTAAAGAAGTACTACGTGTATCATCTTTCCATAATGCATAGTTAACTGAATGGGTTCACAGGGGAACACAGATCCATCTTATAGAACCATCATTAGTTGGGCACAACTTCTTCCTTGCAACGAGAGCTGGATCAGGGCTCTTCTCTTTTAGTGGTTCTAAGGGGTGGTTCGTATATCACAATCAACCAATGATTTGTAGATTTAACAGCTTACATGAATTCTATGACTTCGTAAGAACAATGTAACATGAACAAGCAACTTGCAAAGCAGTATGGCAATAACTTCCATGAATGGGAGAATTTGAAAATGCATATTTGCCTCTTCACAGCCATTGCTACCATGAAACTATGTTTCTCTGTTTAAATGTTACACTGCTCCTGTGAGTAGACCGGTCACACAATCTGTTAAGTGGCCAATTTTGTTGTATGAACTAACCCCTAGAATATTGTGCCTCATTGGAACGTTCAGATTTTTGTGGGGTTGTGTTCTGAAAATATAACATCAGTGCTGTAAGTTCATCTGTTCAGCAAAGATCCCAGAACACAATCCAGTTTATTTAAATGCTGATTTGTTTTGTAACTGTAGGCAACTGTGTCATCAACATTCTTTGTCCTAACTCAGGGAGTAAAATTAATTTCCCCCAAAGCTGTTGAACACATTGATTTCTTGTAGCACTGTTTCATGACCACTGGCAAGAACAGTCTGTGGGTTCTTGAATAGTATAGCTGACCCAGGTGGAGTTGCCACTGCAATATAGCTGCACATTTCGTCTGTGTAGCCCAAGTTCCCTGCAGCATTTGCAGAATCTTGCATATGTATTGATGTTATAATTATATATGCTTGCAGAAGGGCATTTTCCATCACAGGAAACAATATTTACCTGGAAATAAGCAGAAAAATAACTTAATGTGCTAAGAGAAATGGCTAAATGGCTTCCAACCAACAATAATGCTAAACTTTCAGGGTAACAGAGTGCAAATAGTAGCGGGACACAGCTAGTCATTTACTTACTGGTGTGTTACTTCGACAATCATTCTTGCGTATTGTCATCCTAACAGTCACCTTTTTGCAGAATTTTCCATCTTCCTTGCCTGCAAAGAATGACGTGATTAGAAACCAGTTGGTACACCAGGTAAGCATATAGAAAATAAAAGACAAAGACCATGAGCAATGGTCTATGTCATTCAAATTTTGGACTCTCAAAATTGTTCTAAGCATTACATTTATTATCAGCACAAATACTCTATGTATCAAAAAATCTAAATATAGATAGGACTGTGTCAGTATAGTTGCCATTGAAATGAGTGGAGCTTGTACCAATGAAGTTTCTGGGGTGGACAGCACCCTAAAATTCACTTTCCAAATCAACAGAAAACTTAATTCCAAATGTATTTATTTTAAAGTACCAGTGTTTTTAATAATTGTTCTCAAGTAAGAGCTCAGGACTATAATCTAGGGCCCTAGTCTTAAATTACTTACTGCTAAGTAACCTCATGATTGTGAATAGGTCTATCTAAAAATGTGGAAGTAAACTACCCAAGTATTTTCCAAAAGCACTTAACATAATTTAATTCAGCTGAATTCAATACTACTAAACTGGTGTTACATAAAAATAAATATGTTGTGTACATGGCAACATTCATAGTGCCAAGTCTACATTAATTACACCATCACATTTTGGGTAAGCAATTTGAAGATTGCACTCTAAGGGTTTCACACTATGACAACATGATGTGACATCCCAAATCAACACAAAGCGACAAAGGCAACAGCCACCAATGCCAAACTGTGTAATAGGGAACTAGATAGATGAGATGGAGAAACAGTGCAATTTGGAGGCAACTTTCCTATGCATGAGACCCCACTCCAAATCTTCAACACCAGCCCAACTATTTTACATAGGAGTTACAAATGAATAACAGACAGGCTGCATTACAAGCTAGGATTTGTTTGCAACATATGAGATACCACTGTTCTTACATTGGCACAAACTCCTGAATAACACCAGTATTCACAGAGGTGTTTTATTGCTATCATTCTCAGTTCAAGCTACAAGCCTTTTAGCTGAGAGTGGCCCATCAGTGAGACCACCTTCACATGCAGCTGCAGTCGAGCTATTTCTTCGTGCTGCAATCCTTCATAGCTAGAAGCTACACATCACACTGCAGCCAACTGCCTTGAAAATATGGTTGGACAGGTGGCATACAAATATTTAAAATAAAGCAAACAGGTCAACAGGAACCATTTGCTTATTTACTCCCAATCCAATAGGAACTCTGCCAGAAGACAGTGTGTCAATTGTATGGGGAAGACTTTTGTGAAGGATTATTGCACTGTTTCTGGTTTGCAGTATTTCTCATTGAGCAACTACCAGCACCACATAATTATTTTTAGAAATGTTACATAGCAGATGATAATATTTAGCCATTCATTCAGCATATACCCAAGGAGACAGTGCTGTACACATATGCCATACTTTCTGGGTAAGTGTTATTTTAACAGCAAGCTTTAACAAGCAAAGCGATTAGTTTCTATCTTCTACAGCACTATGGAAATTACTGGAAATAGCAAGCAAAATAACCATGCAGCAAGCTAAAACACTATGCAAATGCTTACTACCAACAGTACATTGTTGGCTAACAACAATGCACTGCCCATACAGTGCAAAATGAAAAGATATGTGAGCAGATCTGAAAAAAATCAGCAGTTCATACTACAATACAGCTTATTTCAACCAGATGTTGTGACCTGAGGGCATGATGCTCCTATGAGGGAGTACATTGTTGGAAATCAACAATGGTTCTGTCTGGTTTGTTCCTACTGATTTCCAAGAATATGTACCTGTGTTACAGCTAGCACTAGGTACAGGAGTGACTGGGCTAACGGGGAATGGGAGCAACAATGACATTCCAGAACCTAATAAGAATATTACAAATCGAACACATTATATATGATACATAGATGCACAAACATTAGGGAGGAATTCAGGGTTGCGCTAAGGCATTCATTCCTTCAAGGTACATATTTTGGCTCTACACTCCTGTTCCCCATCCCACTGTTTCAAGAGTTCTCTCCATTCCCCCATGATAATAGGGGAGGGAGGGGAATGAGGGTGAGGAAATCATTCCATCAAGGAAGCATAACTGCTTGCACTGACAGAGCCTCTTAGTGCTACTTTGAATTCCTTCCTGAGTTTAAATAATATTTTCTTGTTTTATATTTAAAATAGGTTCTTGCACTTGTGCATGTAACTTTCTTTTATATGTAGTAGTTGCTAAACAATTTCCTTCTCCTTAAATTACACACAGTAATATCTTATTTATTTTTTCATGTTTGTGTCCCATTTTTCTTCCAGGGAGCTCAACATGGAATATTTTAGTAATTGTATTGCACTGACATGTACATATTACTGCAAGTATTGCTATGTAGCTACGGTAATAATATAATACATGAGCATTACCAATTCTATCCACTCAACAAATCCACAAGGTAGGTTTAGGCTGAAGTAAAGTTGTCCAAAGCTACCCAAAGTGCCTCATGACTGAACAAGGATTTGAGCCCAGATCTTCCAAGGTGAAGTCTGACACTCTAACCACTTCACAATAGCCACAACCCAACATGAAGACATGTACTGTTAGTCTATGGATTTTGGTCTAAATGTGGAACTACATGATGTGCCATACAATCCTTTGAATGTTTACTTGGAAATAAGTCCCACTGAGTTCAATGAGATTTACTCTAAAGTAAGATAGCATAGGATTTCAGCCTCTGATATAAACATATACCCAAGTGATTCTGGGCTTAATAAAAACGTAAGTATCTGTGAAATTATGAAATGAATAAGCTGACAACTCCTTTGTACCATAAACGAAGATACTGCCTCTATGATTCATTCATCCGATATATTTAAACAACAGTGCCTCTACTTCTGTAATGTGTTAACTTCATTTTGAGGAATACCAAAGAGAGCTGATATCACAAAATAAAGAGCCACATTTTCATGAACCTCAATTCTACATGTCAAGTTATATTCTGAAAATGGCACTGTTCCCTTTATTTTCTTTTAAATGTAAATTAAACAGCTTAAAATATACCACATATCATAGACAAATATGCCCCTACTTTATTAATAATAATTTATTGACAAACTGAAACGATGAGAAACTTTATTTCACACATACACCCCGCAACAGCTTTTGTAAATTGTAATGGGATATCAGCTGCAGAATTTCCTGATGAATTATGTCCCCATGTAACAACATTATGGCTTTCCTTTTCGTTTCTTATTTATCCCGTAAGTACTTATTTGTTTATGACTGTTTGGTTCTGTTGGTATTAATGCTTTAAATAGTAAAATCTTCAGCTAAAGGAAATACACAGCAAAGCTCATTTAAATAAACTAAATGACCATGCAACCAAACTAATATTTCAAATCATAGTGAATGAATCATTGATTAGCAATTTTCCAGCTCTTGCCCCACTCCCAGCTGGTTGGTCTGATTTGTGAATTATGATTGAAAGAATCACTACTGGTTGCAGAAAAGTAGCCTTAGATTCAGTCCCAACCAGCGAAAATAACACAGGTGTCATTCTAACCTTAGTAAATATTGTCTTAACTCAGACTGAATCTAGATTTAGTTTTACTGGCAATGATAGACACCTGTGTGATTTTTTTACAGTCATTCACAATCTCATACTAGGCACACAATGATCTAAACAAAACATGGAGGTAAATTTCATTGATTTAAATGGCACATGATCTCTTAATAACTAAAGTTAAGTTTAGAATGTTACTGCTATTGTAAGCATTGGGTAAACCAATTTTATTCTTGTTATTGTTAGTGCTGCTTATTATTTAGATGTTTCGGAAGGCAACAAGTACCCCTCAAAACTCTCTCATATGTACACCATTATTGATGTTTTGGTACTTACATGTTTTGCAGCATCCTTCTAAGAATGGTACAATATATCCTCCAACCTGAATTTGTATTTAAAAAAAAAGTCACTACCAGTATAAAATCATTTTTAGCACTAATTCACAGGTTGTAGTAGTAGTAGTAGAGATGAACTATTGGAAGAGCACTTAACTGCACTATCAAGAAAACTAAACAGTAAATAAACCAGAATCTAGAGAATAATACAATATTTATTTTAACTGAAACAAAATATGAGCCTGAATAGCTCAGTTGGTTACAGCGTGATGCTGTTAAATGCCAATGTTGCAAGTTCGATCCCCATATGGGACAGATACATATTCCTGCATTTCCAACTCTACAGTTCTGTGATTCTACAGTTCTGTGATTCTATTATTACATTTTTTAAAAAAAAACAACCTGAGATTCAGCGTAACATTCACTCTAAACAAAAGTCAGATCAACAGATTAGGAGCAACATAGCAAGGCTGCTCTTGAAAGTCTACTTGAGAGGAAAATGTAAGTATAATCCTCTAGGCACTTTGCCTGCCCCTCTGAACTGCATTGGAGTGATACAACATTTGCTTTCTTCCCATCATCTGTAGAACACTTCTACACCTGGTAAATCAATGAGCAGTCACAGTGCTCACTGTAGAGGCTTTTTTACCTTTATGGCTCTGAAAAGACACACACACTCTCTCTCTCTCTCTCTCTCTCTCTCTCTTATTTATTTATTTATTATTTATTTATTTATTTATTTATTTATTTGCATCTATATCCCTCTTTTGTTCCAAGGAATTCATGGTGGTGTACATGGCTCTCCCTCTCTCCATATTATCCTCACAACAATGCTGTCAGGTGGGTTAGGCTAAGAGGTGGAGACTCTCCCAAAGTCACCCAGTAATCTTCATGGCTGAATGGGGATTTTAATCCTGGTCTCCCAAGTCCTAGTACCTACAGGCTAACCACTTTACAGCACTGGATCTATGGTAGTTTACATTACATATAGCTCTATGGTAATTATATTACCATGATGTTGTGAGCATCCCTGTTCCCCCACCAGTGCTGCCAGGGGTGTGGTGGACACACAGAGACTTACAGCGTGGCGGTTTTGTGATCTATATGTTAAGTAGATCTAAATGTTATAGCCAGGAGAAGGGTCACTCACCAGAGGGAGGACTGATTTCAACAGCATCCCATTTCCAAATGCAAAGTCTAACCTGTGTTCCGGCTCTTTCGCCTTTACGACCTTTTGTTCTATCTTGTTGCAATAAATGGAAGTGTCCAGAGGAAGCAAAATAAAAGCTTTCAAAATCGAATGCAAAATGGATGAACCACTGACCTTCACACATTCTGTTTCATTAAACGGTGGACAGCTGATGGCTGATGTAATTAGAACAGGTCCAAATGGTGTGTTTGTGCAGTCGTATCTGACACAGTTCGAAATCCAACTGGTGCCAGGCTATTTTGAGTTTATAAAATAATTATCAGAAATACAAACACTTCAGAAACCAATAGAATTTGCAGTTTTTTAAAACAAACAAACAAACAAACTTGATTTAAGGTCAAAACAAGCCACTTGCTCGTACTGAGGGAGCTTTCACTGACATTCCTAACACCAAATACAATCAGTATTGTGCCTTTCTGAGAAACAAGACTTCCAGATGCATCCACAAAGTAATACAGTTCTGCACTATAGCAACCTTGGTTTATTATATTTCTTATTCCCACATAGTCCTGTGACAGACCAGCATAATTCAATGTGACTTCTGAAAGGTTACATAACTCTATGTGGGGTGCAAATTAGTAGTGAAAGTATTGCTGTTTCTCCTCTGTCCCACCTCTTGTGAAGAGAAGCCAAAGCCTACATACTGTTAAAGAGCTGTACTATTGCTCTACTACAGGCATCGCCAACCTGTGGCCCTCCAGATGTTTTGGCCTACAACTCCCATGATCCCTAGCTAACAGGGCCAGTGGTCAGGGATGATGGGAATTGTAGTCCAAAACATATGGAGGGCCCAAGGTTGGTGATGCCTGCTCTACTATCTATAGTGCTCCTTATTGATCTTACAGTTGTTAATTTTCCCACCTTAAGATTTTTCAATAAAATGAAATGATGGGAAGAAGAAGGGTCAGCAACTGCATTTGGCCACTAGACTCAGCACTTACCCATGTCCTCAAGGTGGCTGGGAGGTTGATGCTGTGCAAGCACACTGGTGGAGCCAATCTTGCACTCCTGCTGGCTGGTGTGCTTGCATGGCACCAACTGCCTCACTACCTTGCCCTCTCCCTCACAATAAAAACAGTGACTCCATTGTCAGGAGGCCAGGTGAGTACCATCATCCCACCATGTCATTCACTACTGTCCAGGTAGCTCCCATCATACATAGCTATGCCATCACCAGAGTAGGAATGTGCAACTTCATGTTTCCTAAATTTGTTTCACTAATGTAGTTTGAGCACAGATTGCTTGCTCAAAAAATTCCACAACAGGTTTTTTGGTTCGGAAGCACAAACTTAATTCAGCACTTACACTTAGTAACCAATGAGAGCTACTCTCCCTCCATAAGAAAAACTGTAAGTACGAATTTACCTTAAAATGTGAAACTGTTCCATTGCTGAAAGAGTGAACACAAGACACATTCTTGCATTTTCCACAGCAAGTTGTTAAATCCTCTGGAGGTTCATAGACTTCATTCTGAAAAAGTAAAGGATATCATTTCAAATATAGTTCAAATCAGGAATTAAGATTACAGACGTGTATTTTTTATTACAATATTCCGTTGGACTCTGTCATAGTATCTAACATTACTATTAAATGTATTATTGCACCTTAAATAAATGTACTGCTGCTATTACTAGGAGACCAGTGTACTTCAATGGCCCTTAGACTTGCATATGGGGAAGCTGGGTTCATGCTGTGGCTCAGCCACTTTGAAATTGATTGTGGGCCTTTCAACGTGATCAGTTTTTAGCATGATAAAAGTACAGTTCATACACATTTGTTGTGTCCAAGACAGATTATGTTCTGTTGCCAAGATGCCGTGATACAATAAAACCAGGATAACCTGGTTAATGTCCATCAGTGTTTGAGGCAACAACTTTTTAAGTTCTGCAGGGAAGTCAAGCATGGCTATTAAGTTTTAATTCATGCAGTGGTTTGACTTCTGTTTGCCCATGGCAATTACTCAGCTTAAATAATGAACTATGTTTGCATTTTCTAGCACATTTATGTGTATCACATGCACATTCATGTTTATACCACTAAAGCATACATAAAATGACTTTCTGTATTCCATATTAGCAAAAACATGAGCTTTTTCGCAATTAAATTGCATTTATGCATAGTGCAATATTCCAACAAGCCTTTGTCCAACACTAATAGCATGATATCCTGTCCTCATAGAAAGGATTGTTCGCTGCATTTGCTGTAACAGAATAGTTACGATGATGCTCAGTTTCTTGTTTGTTGTACAGAAGCTCTTCAAGCCTTAACAAACAGATACAATATCAATTGATTCAATATATGGGGAAATTTTCACCAGGAACAAAATGCATTGTATCAATTGATTAATTTATGTAATGTTCAGTAAATATACTCTACATTTCTGCAGCTTGCTTTGATCCTTGAAACTATTACCTATGCAGTGGAGTTAACTTCTAACAGCAAGTACGATATTTACTTTTGTAGAACAAATCATAGCAGCATTAAAACATCTGTTCTTATAACTGAATGTTATCAATGGGTCAACCACCAATCCCAGTATTCAAATAAGACCTCTTGTTATAAGACATCAGAGATTCTGGGTGGGGAAATTAGTGCAACTGCACTAGTTTCCTTTATTCTTAATAAATTTATTATTCCTATCTGCTGTTCTATTTTACCAGAGAAAACCCAAAGTTAAATTCTAAACTTCTTACAGATTTGCACCTTGCCGCACAATCTATAGTGGATATATTTATCCGATAGTACTTGGTAACAGGATCAACTATGCTTGTGCAGTAGGAAGTGTGGCAAACACCATCAGGTGAGTGTTCAACAATGGACTGTCCTGGATGCAGAACACCTCTCTCGCTGCTTAGGCACACTTTGTCTCTTGCTGGAACAGATTTCCAAAAACAAAGTACATTGGATAAAGTTAACTGAAATAATCAAAACAGTTGACAATTGATGCTTCAAAAGAAGAAAGAAAAGTGAGGACATAATACTTTTAGACCTTCACAAATAGCATTTGGCTTATTTGTGAAAGTGAATCAACTGAATCCATTTGTATCTATTTATGACTTTCTGTTGGCTCATACTGGTTGCCTCTTAAAAAAACCAAAGGACAAATTCATTAAACATATCTGCGCAGCTTTTCTTGAAAGCATAAAATATATGCAGGAAAATTTTCTAAGAATTATTTCCTTAGAATAATGAGGAAACTATAGATTTAGAACAATTTATAACTATTATACTAACACTGATTCAATAATAATAATAATAATAATAATAATAATAATAATAATAATAAATAAAATAAAATAAAATAAAATAAAATAAAATAAAATAAAATAAAATAAAATAAAATAAAATAAAAATACTTCCAATCCTTCTACATAATGCTTCCTTGGAAACACAGCAGCAGCATATGAAACTGGTTTGTCTTCCACTTCTGCTTCATCATGGTCCATTGTTTCATACAGACAAATGTGTTGATATTAATTATGGCTCATTTGAAATAAGCTATCTTGAAACCACGAGAGACGCGGGTGGCGCTGTGGGTAAAAGCCTCAGTGCCTAGGACTTGCCGATAGCATGGTCGGCGGTTCGAATCCCCGCGGCGGGGTGCGCTCCCGCTGCTCGGTCCCAGCGCCTGCCAACCTAGCAGTTCGAAAACACCCCCGGGTGCAAATAGATAAATAGGGACCGCTTACTAGCGGGAAGGTAAACGGAGTTTCCGTGTGCTGCGCTGGCTCGCCAGATGCAGCTTTGTCACGCTGGCCACGTGACCCGGAAGTGTCTCTGGACAGTGCTGGCTCCCAGCCTCTTGAGTGAGATGGGCGCACAACCCTAGAGTCTGTCAAGACTGGCCCGTACGGGCAGGGGTACCTTTACCTTTTTTTATCTTGAAACCAAGCTGGCTTGTTACAAGCAGATGGTACTTAATGTTAGCTACATTGTGCAAGCTTGGATAAAGCAACAAACTGCTTAAGCAAAAGGGGAAGTAAAAGCTTACAAACCTCTGGAAGGGGAGGAGAGTCTGTCCTAAACTATGGTACAGCATGATGCGTGAATGTGGCCATAGCCTTGAGTTAAATAGGATAAATTAAATGCTTTTTTCAACCAAAAATCTTGTATACTTACAACACTTGTACTTAGTGCAGTGACAAACATTTTCTGTGCTGTTCTGGAATTGTTCATCTATAATCAGTTTCTCTCCCTGTCCATAAAAGAAGAAAAATACAATTACTATGTCATTAATGTTGCATTTCAATGTCAGTGCTAAGAAGCACAGCTCTCTCTCTCTCTCTCTCTCTATATATATATATATATTCCCCTTGTAATTCTTCATTTTGTTTCTTAGTAATAAAGTACTTTCAAAAAGTGTAACTTAAGCTACACTGGGAGGTAAAAATCTGGTTTCATAGCAATGTTTAGAAATATGGAATGGAAAAGGTAGTCTCTGCCTAGTGGTATACATGCTCAGGGAACACAGGCCTAAAAATAATACAATATTTCTTCCTCTCAGACAGTTTACTTTTACCGGTATATGTTCAAACATTAAGTATACCACCCAATCTTATAATGATCATTTAAAAGTCTGATTGGATTCATTGCACTTATTCCTATTTATGCACAGGATGTCTTAGTCAAAGGGAAATTACATGCAATTCACTGCATACTAAAAGGCAATTTCTTTGTCAATGTTTGCTAAAAGCAGTAGGTGTCATCCTTTTCTGATGTTCCACTTGTGTACCAGACTTCTGCATCTACAAATGGGACTTCCCATTCCTCTCCTACCCCAATGCCCTCGTCCTAAATGTGCTCTGGAGTTTTGGGGAAGTCCTGCTGTGTCTGCTGGTGTGATGTTGGATCTCACCCATCGTTCCTAATCCAAATTCTATGTGAGCATTTGGATGCTTTCCTGAATGCTTTCCTGCTTTCACAAACAGAAGCAGATGCTGGATCAAAATACTGGCTACTTACTGCAAATGTTCATTCCAGGGAACTGTGCAGAAAGTATACAGGAAACAGAGCTAAGTCATCCTACCACCCAAGGCAGACAAGGTCACATGATGCAGAGGTGTAGAGAATATGTAGCTCCTGTGTTTCCACCCACAACCCCCTTTCTGGCCATATCTGTGCAAGAGGCATAGCACTCTCCCAGAACTGACATGGCCCATAGAAGAGGTAGGAAGCTATACACAGTACTCCAAGCTCATCAAGCTGAAAAAAGGGTGCAGCTGGATGTCTCCTGCATACTCCTCTGAAAGAACATTTATGATAAGCAACCAATGGTTAATTCCCTGGTTGGTGAGCAGGAGCTACCCAGGAAACAGAGGGATATATGCTCAAAATCAGCCAATTAGGGAGGGATAAATTTATTGCCAGATGCCTTTATGTCCCCAAGGGAGGAGGCTACAGAGGCAGTGCTGCCCTACTGGAGTGAGCTGATATATTTAATAATGTTGAAAGACTCTGGCCTCATGCACCTTGGTGATGGAAACACACAGCCAATGGGCCAATGTGAACATGTTGATTTCTCCTCCTCCTCATCTGGGGTGAAAGGATACAAAAGTGAGTGAGAATTATGAAATTGTTTCATAATTATGAATTATGAAATTATGAAATCAAACTTTCTGGGCCCTCCTGACTTCTAATTTATGGCATGTCTATGTGGGGCTTCCCTTGTGCTTGATCCAGAGGCTGTGGTTAGTGCAGAGTGCTGCAGCACAATTGCTGACAGGAGTGAGGCCTTGTCAGCATGTAACACTTGTGCTCAGAGATTTGCACTGGTTGTCAATCTGCTACTGGGCCATGTTCAATGTGTTACCATTAGTATACAGTGTCCTTAACAACTTGGGACCAGTTTACCTATGAGATTGCCTTATTCCACATGTGCCCACTCAATTGTTTCAATAGCTGGAACTGGCACTACTACAGGTGCTACATAATGCCCATTCCAACATTGCTTTGAGTCCTACCCTCCAGAGCATGAGAAAACAAGCTTGCTCCACCTTCCACGTGACAGCCTTTAAGATACTTGAAGATGACTATCATATCTCCTCTCAGTCTCCTCTCATTCTTGTTCAACAATATAAATAATGGCAACAAATTCAGTCTATGTCAAATATGACTGGAGTCAAAGATGGACAGCACAATTTGCAGGCAGTTCATTGTATTAGAATAACATTTAAAATGTGTTTTAATAGGATTTCCTCCTTACCAGTTTACACTGAGGCTTAGGAACGGTTTCACATGCACATTCTAAAATGGGGAAGGGAAGTGACAGAATAAATGTTCATACACTTTCATGAATGCCAGCAATCAGCAGACAAAATTATTTCCTAAAACGATGCAGTTCAACGTTTGCCAGGCATCCCATAAACAAGTCTTGTAGCACCTTAATTACTAGCAGATTTATTGTGGCACACACTTTATGGGCTAGAGCAGGCATTGGCAAACTCGACCCTCCAGATGTTTTGGAATTACAGTCCCCATCATTCCTGACCATTGGTCCTGTTAGCTAGGGATGATGGGAGTTGTAGTCCGAAAACAGCTGGAAGGCCAAGTTTACCTATGCCTGGACTAGACTTCATCTTAAAAAAGCAGTATCCTCAACAGTCATCCAGTTTCTCTAAAGTTTTATTCCCCTGAGTCAGAGCATTCCAATCTTCTTCATTCTCAAATAATGTTCAAATTTCCTCAGATGTTTAGTGGATGTAGGGTTGAGCTTACTTTATTGCTATGAAGGGGGCATGGGTAGTGCACACATCTTTCCCCCTTTCCATTAAACACTCTGCAACCTCCCCCCCCCCCCCCGCTGCCCACTCTTCCTGCTCTGAAAAAGCCCCTGTCTCAGCTGGGGAGCAGTAACCTTCCTGATCCTCAGCTGAGCTGTGCAAACAAGCTGCGTTGTCCCAGCCTGCAAGCACCTGGGTGAAACCACCTCTCTAGAAGACATCTCAATTGGCCCACACCATAGTTAGACTACTGATGGCTCCAGACATTGCTAGATTTTCAACATTAATTCAACATTGCCTTTTTATACTGCAAGATAAATTGATGTAACCTAATTAAAGGACATTGAAAACAACTGTACTTACCACATGTACGATATGGACAACACTTTTCTGGGCTCCATACTTCTACCAAGGACATCCCTAATAAACACTTAAATTCAGGACAACGGTAGGTTTCACAAACTGCAAGTTAAAAGTGCAAAGAAAGAAACGGTGTTGAATGTTCAAGCAGGGAGAGCATTTCCAAAACTCATGACCAAAAATAAAATGTTCAGCAAAGCATAAAGCACATTCTTCATATATACTTCACACAAAATTTTGTTTATACATTGAATCATAGTTATTTGGTTTAATAAATTAATGACATTTTTAAGAGGCATGGATAGCATCTCTTGGTAATAACTCCATATGCTTATTCCATGACTGCCTTAAAATGATTAGGGTAGATTTAATGAGCTTGTCTCTTAATGAAAATTCTGTATTGTTCATCATTTACAGCACTGAAAAATCATTGCAAACAATTAAGAAAGCCTCTAGAGAAATCATCAACTCACTACACTGGTAAGCAGGACAACATCTGTCTGTTGTGTTGCCTTCCACAGTAAGCACTTCTCCTTCCTGGCACGCTGGAATCTGATCAGAGCAAATACCACATGCTGATAAAAAGAGAAATATTAAATTATTAGAAAGCGCACACACATGCCATTTGTTTTCAGTTTTCTGCAAGTGCAAAAATTCTACCTAAAAGGATTGATGAAACTACAATGAAAAATTGAGCACCACCTAATTTCACTCCTGAATGCAGAACTGTCAACCTTACATCTAGTTAGAGAGTCAGTACAAGAATGAGATTGGTGTCGGACTTTTGGCTGCCCCAATCGTGTGACTTTGATTGTAAAAAGAAAGAGGTCAAATTGGGTGGAGAAGCTTAATTTAGCTAAGTAGTTTTTTATTCATTGGGAGAAAGACTTTGCATAGCTTAAAAAGGGATCAAGTATAGGTGAAGTATTGCCACAGAAACTAAATAGCACCCCTGTAACCTCAAACCACTCAGAGGGTGGAGTGCATGCAAGAGAATGCTTATTAGTTTTGGATGGGCCTCCAGTTTGGGCTGATAGCGTATAGGATGCTGAATGCACTGGGGGATTTGAGAAGCAGTCTTTTAGGATTGCAGTGGCCACCACGGAAGTGCAATTGGGCTTTTAGAAACAACTGGAATTCAAATATTGGGTGGTGTGGGCCTGCAGGGGGTGGGGGAATTTGAATCAGTTCTGGTTACATTGTATGCTTCATTGTAGCTTCTATAAAAGATGTGCCGGCAGGAAAATGGTGCCAGTACACCACTGCACACCGACACATCATTTCTCTCTCTGTAAGGTGTTTTGTTCTATCCCTCAAGTATCCATATTTTGGATATTGTGCAATACAAAATACTGGACTAGGCAGTAGAGCTTCTCTTATACCATTGTGGCATATATTCCTAGACAGTCTTCTTTGCTTACAAATTAATCTACAGGCTGTCAATAAGAACTAAATTTGAATACCACAGATATAGGATACACAGCAGGTGCCTTCCACATGGGCAGCAATCAGAGTTTGATCTGCTCGGCAGTTTGGAATCTGTTCCATAGACTCACATTTTGCTGGATCACATTCTGAAACAAACATAATATTCTCATAAAATATATGATATTCCATCCTGAAGCCTCCCTAAGGGAGCTTATACTAAATAATAAAATATAACTACATCTTATTTCCTTCTGCGGTGTAACTAGGAATACTGGAGCAAACTGTGAAATATAGGTCTAGCACGTCCTCTATATATGTTGGAGCAAGAGCTTTCACATACCACATTGATACAGTTTCTTCAGTCTTGCCTTCCAAGTATCTAAAAATGGATCTGGGACTAGTGCATGGGAAAATGCTTACAGGGCAAATGAGCACCGCCAAGACCTTCCCAGGCTTGTTTACCTTTTTGTCTCTGTTTCCTTTTTCCTTTGCAACTGCACATGGCACAGGGGCATATGCTAAAGCAAACATTTGGGTTCCATCCCTCATGGGCAGTGGTGAGCCAAACAGGGCTCTGCTTGGAAGTTGCCATGTTTTGTAGTCCTAAGTCCCTTCCCAGAACAGGGAATGGATTTTCTGAATCAACTGGGGGCAGGGCTAATTAGGGTTTTTAAACATAGACAGGGAGGGGCAGGGGAAGGAGGAGACACTGTGTCCCCTTCACCCTCCCAGCCTCACAACCAAGAACAGGAGGGTTCAGTCCTTACCCTGTGGGAAAGGAACTTGCAAAGGAGCACCCTGTGGCCCACAAGTGGAGGACTCAATCCTACTGGGATCTGATTCTCAAGCACTTCCCTGCAGGGAAGGCTCTTGTGAAGGGGTACCTTTACTATCCACAGGATTCAGTTCTGCTTAGGTCTGTGTCACTAGTGATTTTCCTGTGGGGAAAATCACCCTGCAGAAATAGACTCCTGCAGCCTTGCCTTCCCAATACCCTGCCCCTTGACAACTCAAGATTCAGCATGACCCAACTTGGGACCAGATCTAGGGCTGTCTCTAATTTGGCTGAATCTGATGCCCAGCCCTAATAATAATAGGGAAAAGGTAAAGATAAAGGGACCCCTGACCATTAAGTCCAGTCGCGGAGGAATCTGGGGTTGCGGCGCTCATCTCACTTTACTGGCCGAGGGAGCTGGCATTTGTCCACAGACAGCTTCCGGGTCATGTGGCCAGCATGACTAAGCCGCTTCTGGTGAACCAGAACAGCACACAGAAATGCCATTTACCTTCGCACCAGAGCAGTACCTATTTATCTACTTGCACTTTGATGTGCTTTCGAACTGCTAGGTTGGCAGGAGATGGGACCGAGCAACAGGAGCTCACCCTGTTGCGGGGATTCGAACTACCAACCTTCCAATCGGCAATCCCTAGGCTCTGTGGTTTACACCACAGCGCCACCCGCGTCCCATAATAACAGTGGTCAAGGTCAAATATTTCAATAGAGACTCCTTTGCCAGATATTTCAATTCTTCATTCAATACCTACCACAACTGTAGCTAGGACAGCAGGAATCGTCTTGGTAATAGGTTGCCAGTTTCTCTAGGCCCTTGCATTCAGGAATAAATGTTTCACAGAGGCTCTGATTACAAGCTTTTTAGATCACAGCAAAAACAAGAGAAGAATAGGGTTGAATGGCATTAATAAAACTGATTGCATTTGTTGCGTATTACAGAGAGAGAGAGAAAGAGAGAGACCCTAGGGCTGAAATTTGTAAATGTTTTGTAAAATCCAAGAAGACTTCAACTTGCTTTGTTGCTTGTGCCACATTAAACTTTTCTTCAGGCAATCAAATAAGTGGGGATAGAGTGCTATGAGAAGCTGTCATACTGCTGTATTCTGTTTATACATAGCTGCACTATGAGGACTTGATATATGGGTCTCATTCTCCATTCCTGTCTTTAATGTTGACTGATTTTTAAGGTTAAAAGGGGCACAAGGGCCTGGTATGCAGTATTCACATTGCAGTCTTATGTAAAGACAGGGTGGCAAAGTGGCTGGCAGCTGTCAATGAGGTTCTCTTCCTAGGTGAGTGCTTTTCCTTTCCAAGAAAAAAGCTGGGCTTAAAAGACAGCAAACTGTGCTAGGAAAAGGAAGAAGCCTTGAAACCTTAATTTTTTTATTTAAAAAATCCAATTCTCATGTTTTAATTAAAACTTTTGAAACCTCAGAAATGGAAACCTCAGAAATAGAGCGGAAACCAGTGGCGTTGTCATAAACATCTTATTTGTCACAACTCCGCCACCCCCCAAATAATCTCAGCTGCTTCCTAACATTACTCCTGCTCATCCACCTCCTAGATCAACATATCACTTTCTTCCTTGCACAGTATAACCTCAGCACTTGTCAAAGTGATGTACCTTATGAAAGCCCACATACTGCTTCCAAACACCTGCAAATTAAGTCATTTTGTGTTAGTTTGCATATATCTTAAATCAAGAAAAACTTGACTATAGTTTATAAGATATTGAAAGTCAGTGGTGCTGGTAAGAAAGTGTATATTAAGGATACTTACTACAAACTTTCTGGTGACAACAGGATTGATCATCTGGTACAATTAAAGCTACTTCCCCAAAACGCTGGCATTCCAAGTCATTATTTGCTGAGCAGTTGTACTCCACAGGAGCAATGGTCTCATTGTCAATGCATTTGTGCATGCAGCATCCACTATGGGAGGTTTTCCAAGTCTCACCCAGTGCATGTGGCACTCCAGAAGTGTCTGTACAGGCTAAATTGTTGCCAAAGGGGTGGGGGGGGAATTTATTTATTTTTATAAACGTCTAGATTCTATGACATGTTTATAACTACAGACATAAAGAATATATGACCATGGCAGAGGAAAAAAATTCAGGGGTTGGTAAAGCACTGTTACTCAGGAAACACACCTGAGTCATACACTCTTTCAGTCTACATTTTCCAGACACAGAATGGACTCCGTGAATCTTTTTAAAAATCTGCATGCACACAAACCAACCATCTATGAGTAATGCAAAGAAATGGCTTTTAGACAGATCCCTGAACTGCAGCTCTCTGAAAGCAACACTGCTGTTCTTGGGCCTGTGAGGAACTAGTTCCATTCATTCTAAGGCCACTGCAGCTCCATGTTCAAAGGTGAGTCATCTGAATTCCATCCAGCTGTTCTAATGAGTTATCTGAGGGGAGCAGATTCTGCAGCTTATAGTTATAGGATTGATTTGAAACTTGGCAGTAGGAGAGGTATAATATTTGGGGTAGAAAGGATAAGTGACGGCTTATTTTGAAAAAGTTACGTGTTTGATGGGAGACTTTGGCAAGTCGATGGGTATTGTGCAATCTTCTTCCCCGGGCTTCTGCTGGGGTGCATTTTTGCTGGGGGAAATTTCTCCAGTTGTACTGTGTGCTTTGGAAAATGGGTTGTAATGTTAGGTTGGGGGACCGACTAGTACGTTGCATTTCCAGGGGCAGCCCTTTCCATTTCACCACCTGAGGCAAAATGGGAATGTGCCGCTCCCCCTTCCGCTGCAGCCTTGCTTACTGGGGTCATGCGGTGGCTTCTGGAGAGATCTTCTCAGAAGCGAGCAGGGGCAGGTGGGACACTGTTCCATGGGATTCTGCTGTCTGAAGCAGCTGCCTCAGTCCACCTCATTGGCCTGACGATTACTCTTGAGTTGTGTAACATGTAGTTTTTATTTAAAAGGCATTTTTGTGGCCAATGTTATTTAATGAGATTTCATAAGGGTATTTTGGTGTGTGGATAGTGCACATGGCAAGTCAGCTCCTGGATGTAGGGATACCCTCTGTATTCGCTAGACATTCATTTATTATTTTTCTCATTTTTGTACCACCCATTAAAAATAAGTTACCTGGGTACTGTACACATCCTGAGGGTGATCTAGAAACAGAAGTCTGTTTCCATTCATACACATGCTGGGTAGGACCAGAATAATTCATCATTGCTTGTCAAATGATACAAAATTCAATAGCATATTGATACTTACCACACTTCTCTTCAGGGATGCAAAGCGCAGAGTGTACACGGTGAAGGATGGTCCCTTCTGCGCAAACACACCCCTCAGTCAATATTGAACAAGAGTCTGGATCCTGAAGTTCTGGCTCCATATTTTGACAAGTGCTTGGTGTCTCACAGGCAGATATACAGGCCTTATAGTAGAAACCTTCTGGACAGGGAAAGGCTAGCAACATAACAAACACAGTGTTTAACACAGTGATGCTTCTTCGTGTAATATTTTACATGAGCTAATGTTTCATGTGAACTTGTGCAGGAAAACAGTGACAACACTTTTATTCACTGCAAATTAGAAAGTAAAATTAGAGTGGGAAAATACAGTAGAGCTTAAATTTTCACCTGCTCACATGAATCTCCCCTTTCAACCAATTACCCCAACCCAATTATTCCAGACATATCTTTTTATCTTGCAAGCACGCAATTAGAACAGCCAGTGGTTGAGGAGCAGATGGCTGAAAAGTTAAGCACTTCCTCCCCTAAAATGCTTTTCTACTCAGAAGTATCCTTTCCAGTGCTGTATTTTTTGCCATGTGTAGTAGAGGATTGAGATTTTGTACTGATTTTTGTACTGATTTCTCAACATTATTTCTATATAAATAAGCTTGGACTTGAACCTCAGCATTTTAGCTCAAATTCATTGCTTTGTCCCATACACTGCACTGCCTTTTCATCTTGCAGTAATCAAAGGTGCACAGCCTGGGAGTCATTTTGGACTCACAGCTGTCTATGGAGGCACAGGTCCAGCTCCATCTGGTATGCAACCTTAGACCCTACCTGCTCACACACTGTCTTGCCAGAGTGCTGAATGCCCTGGTTATCTCCCGCTTGGACTACTCCAATGTGCTTTATGTGGGGCTACCTTTGAAGGTGACTCGGAAACTACAACTAATCCAGAATGCGGTGACTGAGAGTGGCTGCTGGGACCATGTAACACCAATCCTAAAGTATCTTCACTGGCTCCCAGTATGTTTCCAAGCACAATTAAAAGTGTTGGCACTGACCTTTGAAGACCTAAACGGCCTCAGCCCAGTATACCTGAAGGAGTATCTCCACCCCCATCACTCAGCCTGGACACTGAGGTCCTCCTCCGAGAGCCTTCTCCTGGTTTCCTCACTGCGAGAAGCAAAGTTACAGGGAACCAGGCAGAGGGTCTTCTCGGTAGTGGCTCCCTCCCTGTGGAACACCCTCCCTTCAGATGTCAAGGAGATAAAGAATTACACAACTATTAGAAGCCATTTGAAGGCAGCCCTGTATCAGGAAGTTTTTAATGCCTGATGTTTTTATTATGTTTTCTGATATGCTGTAAGCCACCCAGAGTGGCTGAGGATAACTATTATCATCATCATTATAGCCATTGCCATCAACAGCAAACAGAGTGTCTTTGATGTGAAGTACTTACAGCAATAATGAGAATTCCTCCATTCTATACAGATGTTAAATTTGTTACATGCTGCAACATAAGCAGCCAGTGCTATACATGGATTCTGAATGTATTCTTTATCTTGGACCCACATATCACAAAAGGAATCTGGAGAAACCTTAACACAAAAATAAAAGTCTTAACTTGATTACTGGTGGATAACTGGAGGGAAAAAAGATCATCATTAGGTGTTTGATGCCAAATAGAAGCTGGGGCAGTTAAATGGGTAAAAGACAGAGTCACCACAATTCTAGGAAGCCCCTAATTATAAACTTGCATCTGTGATGAGCTCACTGTGTAGCCAGCCATAAACAAGTGCCTCTCTCTCTTCCTCAGCCCTCATCCAAAACATGAAGTATAATAGTGGCATAATGTGCATGGTAGCTGTAAGAGGAGAGGAAACCTCTAGGTACACAAAAATACAATTTTATCGGGCCCAAAATGTCATCAGGACACAGTAAAACAAAAATGCTTTGTGTTCTCCAACTGGTCACTTCAAGAGATAAAGTTCACATGCAATTAGGTATGGCAAATGTTGGACAATTTCTCTGGCAGTTGAAGAAGCACCTCTAAGATGGTGACAAATTATATGTGCTATAAGTAGTCCTCTTAGAGGTTGACACATCTTTGACATGTCGCTGCACCCTATAAAGGTGCTAATGTCAAACCCAGAAAATAATCACTAGTTACTAGAGTAGTAGATGATGTGATGAGGGACTGCCCACCTAACCTCTGGACAATCACATCACTGCTGCTTACTGTGAAGTAGAGGTGGAGGGTCAAGGCCACAAGGAAGACTGGTTCTCCTGGCATGTTTGAGCCATGTAAGTATCACTGCCACTTTGCCCTTCCCCCTCTACCTCCTGGTAAGAGCAGTCTTACAATGCTGTTGGCCGCTGGCATTAGTGGAGTATTAAAAAATGCGAAAAGCAATCATACCAATGCTTTGATAAATGTTCTGATTTATCTGTTTCTAATATATGTAGTACAGTACCTGTACTCTGATAAAAGCTCAATGGTTCTGAAGCATTATATGCATCTTATCATAATTTCCCTGGAATTATTATGGTTGAATAATCTCTCGGTTGATATGTGAAATAGGCAAAGTTGTTTGTCAGAGGAACAACCCATAAAATAAATACTTTTGACTCCTTAAATATTAACAAAAACAGATGATCAACAATAAATTTAATTCAAACAGAGGATCAAAAGATAACATACGTAAGGATGGCAGCTGCTGAAGGTTTGGTTCAATAACGTGTTTAAACAAAGGGAACAGTCTGTGACTGAACAGTTAGTTTCATGGATTCTCTGTTCTCCAATATACTTCAATGTGTTTGGCACCTGCCAGCTATCTGTGAAAACAACTGAAGCACCTACAGTGCTTACGACGGTCCTGTTGGGTAGCATGAGATCATTTGCTGAGATTCCATCACAGAAGCCTGCACAAGAGTACAATATACAGATTAGCATATCTCCATGTACATACTATGATATTTTAGGACTGGCATCAGTATTATGCTAATCACAGAGTGGCTGCTTGAAACAGCCTCTGTGTAATGACTTTAACCCCATGGCTGTTATTTTACGCTGAGCTTGTATTTGCAATTTATGTGAAGAATCTCCACTGTATTAGCTACAGCTGCTGATCAAAATCTCCATATAGCATAGTTTGAGGCCCACCTAATGCCGCCTAATGCCAAAATATAAAATGGTGACCGATTCTCTATATTTTGGAATTGGCACAGGAAAACCTAGACACGGAGGCATTTTAAGCAGCCTCTGTATGATAAACAATACGTGCAGACCAGCCCTAACAGCAGGAACCATAGTGTCCTATAAAGTACCAATCCTGCAAGATCTCTCAAAAGACATATATAGTGCATTAAAACTTTGCACCAAGCTTCCCTCTTGCTGGTTTTATACTGTTTTTAACTTGATTTAGGTATTTTGCCTAAGCTGGTTTTACATTTATTTTTTTTTTGCTATTTTGATTTTTTTTTATAATTAGCTCTGGTGGTTCATTGTGTCTGCTTTGAATTGCACACTTTAATGCCATTGTATACCGTCCACAGAACTTAGTTATATGGGTGATACACAAATGTAATAAATATATTAAAAATTAATAAGAATACAGTAATGTATCTACGCAATGTAAAATTGGTTAATTAGTCTGATAATTCTTTATGAAATATCTCATGATTGGGGGAAAATAATTGTCAATTTGAAAAGTACATTCTGTGTCAACCCCTAATACTATTTAAGGATGTAGGAAGCAAGATTATATTGGGTCCACTCTGAGTTTTTCTCCTAGTAAAGTAGGTGCCAGTACTCACCATGAAGTTGTTACAGTAAGTGTCACACTTTTTTAACCAAAATAGAGAGGGGTACCGGTACTACGGCCCATTGAGTAGCCCTTGAGGGTACTGGGTTCAGTACTGGTTAGAGTCTAGATTGACTGGCAGTGCCTCTCCAGGATTTCAGACAGTATTTTTCCCTAAGCTCTGCTTATGAATAGCAGGCATTGAACCGGGGACCTTTTGCATGCCAAACACATATTCTGTCACTACCACCCTTCTCTATCACATGCGCAGTCTAGCAGCAGCTGTTTTTACATAGCTGCTTTAGGCCAACTTTCCTTTATTTAAAATGTTTCCTCTTTTATGAAATAGGAGTAAACTTCTGGGGTAGGGGGAGACTGCTTTGCAGAAATGAAAGTGAATACAGAAAAGAGATGAAGCACAGTGAAGTAGATAGCATTTTAATAAGCATCCTATTGTGGCCTTCTAGATTCTAGAATCTATCATAAAATGTCTTGTTCAATCAAGTTCTGTCTAGCATTTCATTCCTAATCAAGCTTATTTTCAAGTCAGTCACATCAACTTCAATGGAATGTATTACCAAATAGAATGTATTACCAAGTAAGTATTTATTTATCTGGATTTTCTAAAGCAAGGCAGCTTTAAGTAAGAAACCATGGTTAGGACTTTGGCATATGCGAAGCCCATTAAAGCATTGCCTTTTCTCAATTTATACTTCAAAATTTAAAACTGACATTAAGAAAAAATAAATTAGAAACTAGTCAAACTAACAACTCAGAATAAGAACAAATAGCACCAACATTTATTTCAAGCACCTCTTCTCTGTAGGAACATTACTGTTTGCAAGCATTGAAATCTGACTAAGTATCACTGATATTTCATACTGTTGCTACACATATTTGCCCTTTATGAAACTTGGCAAGCTAGCCACTGTAATGATGGACTTTGCATCCAAGCCTTCCAGCAACCATAATTCAAGTGTCAAAGCTAAGATTTATATCAATAGATATCATGCTTCCAAGAGCCTATACCAAACATATCATCCAAGGTTAGAACTTCCAGAAAGAATGAAGCCATGTGCACATACCAAACAGGCTTAAGAGCCATTCAAGCATAACCTTTATGAGCTGTGAGCTTTTTGGTACCCATATATCTGAACTATTTCTGTAACTTGGACTGATTCTAAGTGAATAACCGGTGTTCCAATAAAAGGTATGACTGAATATAATGCACACTGAGGATATGTACAGTGTTTTGAGTTCTACAGTGGAAGGGGTGACCCTCCAGACATTCTGCTCCATGAGTGGTTGCAAGGTAGGTCAGATGACTGCACCTTAGTCCCACCAGCTTGGCTTCTACAAAACTCCAGGTTTGATTATATGCATCTCTGTTCAAAAGGATTTCGCAGCATTGTCTTTACTTTTGTTTTTAAGTAACTAATGCATGTTTTATAGGATGGGATGGGTGTGTATTTATTTTTGGGCTTCCCATAGGCATCTGGCTGGCCATTGTTAGTGCAGGATGCTGAACTAGCTGGGCTATTGGTCTAATCCAGCAGACTTGACTTATGGCATTGCTGTTTTAGTCTTACTGTACTATGAGCTCAACATTGAGGAAGGCTGGTATAAAAATGCAATTAATAAGTAATTAATTAATTATTGACTATGTTCACACCTTTTTTCTATTCTCAGTAGCAAAGAAGAATTCTGATCTCCATTATTCCCTTTCCCAGTTTTGTGTGTGTGTGTGTGTGTGTGTGTGTCTGTTTTGGGGGAAATCATGACATTTATTTGAAATTCCACCAATTATTAAAAACTGGACCCTTGTATTACATTCTACTTAGTAACTTCTATGTTAGCATAGAGTAGGCAACAAATCTCTAAGCATTATTTTATTTCTTTGCTTTATGGAAAGCTCAGTAAGATACATTTTCTCTTTATTGCAGTCCTATTTATTTCCATGTTGCTTCAGCATTCATGCCTCAGTTTGAAATGCTCTAAATTAGGAAGCAAACTTGCCTTATCCACGACTACCTGAAATCTGATCCCCAAGGGATTAAAACCAGCCTGCACTTTATTGATTGGCAAACCTGGCATTTTCTCTCTCTTCCTGAATCATTTTAATCACTTCAGCAATCAACAGAGTAGCAGCTTCCAAAATAATCATATTTTCATTTTCTGTCTTCTGAATATATACCTTACTATACATGCTCTATCAAAAGTTGTGAAAAACCAAGTTTTTCACACATTTACCAAATGTAACATCACAATCTTACTAAAGTTGCTTACCACACAGTCCCATTGCTTTTGGATCACTGGTTGCATTAAGTTCTATTACCATCACTCCAGTGGTATGAAACCACTGAATTTTAGTATTTGTCGGAGTTTCAATAATATACATGAAGCCATTGTCCTCAATCTTAAATCCATATTTTGTAACAGTGGGCCATGCATATCTTGAGTTGACAGCTATCTGGAGAATATACATACTTATTTTAGCAAACAGTAAGATTTACGCTTTTCCATAAAACTATGTTTTTGCAATATTTCGCACAGCCCTCCACAAAACATAAAAATAATTGAAATGAAATTTACATGCACTGTGCTAGTCAAATATTGTCTAATGCAGACCTATACAGCTTGTGTATTCTGCTTATCAGGTGCTTAACAACTTCCCTATTTCTGAAGTCCAAACTAGGTGGCAAAATCAAGTCAACACATGTGCTGCATTTGAGTGGTGGGTCAGGCCTCCAATTTGTGAAGGGATGGAAACTTTTGCAGTGAAAGGACCACATTCCCTGAGGAGCAACCTTCCAGGGATCACATAATGTATTTTTAATCTACTGTTGGAAGCCGCCCAGAGTGGCTGAGGAAACCTAGGCAGATGGGTGGGGTATAAGTAATAAATAAATTATTATTATTATTATTATTATTATTATTATTATGGGTGTGCCAAAAGGGGTTAGAGCCAGACACACACCACTCTCCATCTTTCATCCAGGCAGATAAGAATAATTATCATATTTAAGGACACATTCTAGGCAGATAAAATCCATGCCCTCCAATACTTTGAAGCCAAAATCCAGGACACCATCTTCCCAGATGCCATCTTCCTGTTTTCTATCATGATAGCATGGTGGTCAATTTGGTTGCCATGATCTCGCCCAATTTCATGCCATAGGACATGTGTTTTAGGGTGCCGCATTAGATCATGGTCCCCCCAAAGCACTTATTGGGGGGAGAAATAACACAATATCATGGCAACCAAAATGACTGCTGTTCTCTCACAATAAGAAACAAGATGTCTCAGTTTTTCTGAGACACTTGCGGGGTATGAAAATCACTAGAGGACAGGCCAGAGGATGACCTGGTGTGACCTGGCAGAAACTTACCAAGTGTGACTTGGTAAAGACTCAAGGGCCATATCAAAAGGCACTGAGGGCCATATCTGGCTCCTAGGCCTGAGGTTTCCTACCCCTGGTCTAATGCCTTCAGGACACTGGGTGAATAAATGTGTGATTTCTTCGGAGCCAACATGAGACGAACTTCTCAGAAGCTGCTTCACAAGATCATAAGGAATATCATCTCTAAAAATGTAGTACAGGAAGCAGAAAATCAATATGAACAGCACAAAAAATACTAGACCTGTTCCAGTTTTACTGCATATGCAGAATGCAAATAATAAAAGGCTGTTACATGTGTCCTCCTCTTGAAAAGTATCAGTTCTATTACTAGAGTCACAATTCTCAACAAAGCTACATGCATGTAAATTCTAGGAATCTAAAATAGGATACTTGAATGAGAATTATAACAGAAGAAATAAACTTTACCTTTCTGTTTAAGCGGTCAATGGTAATCTGGTTAGACATATATGTTAAATTTAACATTGCCAGGCACAGCTTGGTAGAGGTTAAAATGCCCTGAATGAAGATAAGAACCAAATCAAAACAACACGTCAGCTTATTCCATGGTTAAATGCAACATACATATATTATACATATACTCAACAGAAAATCTTCCCCCAGATAATTCTACCCTCTGCTTTTTTAGAATAGGTTTAAACATTTAAAGAGCTGGAAAATGCAAAACTGAGCAGCTCCCATCCTCAAAGCTCCTATATTCTACAGTCTTGAAGATGATGAGAGGTCCATATAGCTAGTTACATAAACCATTAATTGAATGTGACATTTAAGGTTTGTTTAAGAATACAGAAAACAATGTTATCAGTCACATTGCATTAATGCAGGCATAGGCCAACTCGCCCCTCCAGATGTTTTGAGACTACAATTCCCCTCATCCCTGACCACTGGTCCTGTTAGCTAGGGATGGTGGGAGTTGTAGTCCCAAAACAGCTGGAGGGCCGAGTTTGCCTATGCCTGCATTAATGTGAAACAGCAGAAAATTGCATACTTTTATATGCAGCAGCATAACTGCACTTGTTTATGATCCTTGACATACTCAATAAACAACAAAATTCCACAAGGCCCTAATATTACCATATGAATCTTGCTGCAGTCACTGATGTGGATGCTTATAGTTTCATCTTGAGTTTGGCTGATGACATAGGAGGCTTCCTTAAATAAAGCCAAATGGTGCCCATCAAAGGTGATAAAGCTCAGATCAGAGAAGAGCGTACATCGACCTGATCAAACAAAATAAGGACTTATTTATTTTATGAAATAAACAGCTAACTACTGATCAATCACTATAAACTGAATCTAAGTCATTAAAATAGCTTGCTTAGTTCCTTTATGTTAGATACAGATCGTTAACCTATAAAGGATTGACTGCAATGAAGTCAAAGCAGACCCTTGAAATCAATGATATAATTTATTCATTATGCATTTATTTCATAACATTTATACACTGCTTGATTGTAAAAACCTCAAAGTGGTTTGCAAGAAGATGAAACAATAAAATATAGAAAAAAATCACAACCATACTTTAAAGCAGGTATGGCCAAACTTGGCCCTCCAGCTGTTTGGGGACTACAATTCCCATCATTCCTGACCACTGGTCCTGTTAGCTAGGGATGATAGGAGTTGTAGTCCCAAAACAGCTGGAGGGCCGAGTTTGGCTTGCCTGCTTTAAAGCATACAGAAGTTAAAATCCTAAAACATATTAAAATCACCTCAACTTGCTAAGCATCTAGGTAGGCTTGTCTAAAGAAGAACCCTTTTTTTGCAGGTGCCAAAAAGAGTAGAGTGAAGGTGCCTGCTGGATCTCAATAGTCAGTGAGTTCCAAAGTGCAGGTGATGCCACACTAAACAAGTGAATACTTACACATGCAGAATGGGTATTATTTGGCACCTATTGTAGTGCCAATTCCGCCAATTGCTCAAGGAGGCACATGTGGGGTAAGGCAATCTTGTAGGTAAGTTGTTAAGGGCTTTGTGTGGTAATAGTAACACTTTAAACTCAGGTAGCAAATCAGCAACCCATGCAGCTCTCTGAGCTCAGGTGTTATATGCTGACAAGCCCTCTCACGCTGCAATATTCTGCACTAACTGCAGCTTCTGGCTCAAGTACAAGGGAAACCCCACATAGAGCATATTGCAGTAAACTTAGCCAAACACATCACTCAAACAGGAGTGAGACTTGCTCCTGGACACTCTGGATCCAACCCATTACATAAATTGTGTGAAGCCTCTACATAACAGATGAATCTGAACTAGTTCTTCTGAAAAAGGATCTTTCAACAATTTTTGTATTTACAGGCATTAAGGGTCGCATGTTTTGCTGCTGGTATTTTGTTCTAAAAAATAAATAAATCTATTGCTTGTCCTTGGAAGCAAAAATTAGCCGTAATGGGATGGTGACTATTCTCTCATTCTTTGGATTTCCAACATCCCACATAAGTCATTCTGTTTTTTAGTCTGCTTCTTTAGTGTACTGTGGTAGATGATGATGCTTATTTCTTTTTATGATATTGATACTTTAAAATGTTTTCTATCTGTATCATGTCAGCAATTAATAGGCCCATTTATAAATCTCACTATCTGTTCCATTTACACAAATGTTTTAGTGTAATCAAACTATCAGAGTAATGCAATTTTAAAATAAATACAGTATGGATAAAACTTACATGCACATTCCCACTTGGGGCAGCATTTATCTCCATTAATCTGAACACCAAATCCAAGAAATCCACAGCTGGGTTGTGTTGCATTGTACGGACAGTTCTGTGATTTGTTAACTTGGATTAGTTGTCCATCTAAGCAAATGTGCTTTATGCACTCATTCTCTGTGATTGGCTAAGACATATTTAGAAAACATAGGTTACTATTCTTATCAAAATAAGGTTATATTCAATAAATAAATATTCACTGAAAACAAGAAGTTCAGTATACCAAACTACTGAATGCCCTTTTCAAGTCAATTCTTGTAGTACCATTAAAAAGCAAAAACATGAAATCTTTCAAATGGCACACAGATCAATGCAATGAATCAATATAATAAAAAGGAAAAACTGGAAACTGAGGGTAGTCATGGAACATTATAAATTTGACAATATGGACATATTTCAAGGATTATGTTGCCTTGGTATTTGGGACAAGCATCTAAAGACCAAAGTTACTCAGGGGATCAGCTACTCAGAATACATAATTTGCATTCTTTCATCAATAATATTTTACACATGGAGAGCAATGTTAAGAGGCTGGTCAAAGATATGCAATCATGCAGTAGAGGCAATGGTCTGTAAAATATCTAGAATTAAAGCATTTGACAACTTTATAAGCGCAATGTGATGTAATAAACTTTGGTTGTGCCAATTGACACTTATGAGTGTTGGCAATACTCGTTAACTTCTGAATCAGCAAACAACAGCCAGATTTTCTTCAGAAGTCACACCATACACAACCTCCCTTTCATAATTAATTGAATCTGGAGAATAATGTGACAATAATGGCTAGAATATCGTATAGCATAGTGAGGGCTTTTTTAAAAAAAGAAAGGAAAAGAAAGATGTTCTGCTAAATACAGATTAGTGGCAAGTATGGCCCTAATAGATTAGCTTATCAATGTATCAATTCTTAATGATAACTAGAATCTGCAAATTATTTTTGAAACATACAAAGCAACTTCTGGATTAGTGGGGGGATAGTGAGTTTTATAATCTGAGCTAAATCTTTGACTTCTTAAATGTAACTTACATTCTACAAACATATGTATGTCCCAGAATATTGTTGAAAGTTCTCCATCTCTATACCACAATGCAGGCCACTGTGATGAGATGAATTTCATGTCACAAAGTAAGATAAAGAGGCAAAAATATGCCACTCCATGAGCAGTTAGGAACCAAGCCACCTTCATTTCATATCCATCAGTAAAAGAGACCCAAGAGTTATATATATGATACAGAAATCACCCATATGGTTAGGGTGGGGGATTATCTATGGTACTCACTACACATGTTGGCGGTGTTGCTGTTTCTTTAGATGGCATGAAAGCTGCTGCTGTAACTCCTGAGACCATTTCAACAGTGGTTAATCCCGATAAATATGTGGGAACTGGGATGACTCCTGTAGCATTTGGAGGTAGTGGTGGTATCAACAAAGAACTTGATGAAGGTGTGGACATCTCTGTGACAGATGGTTCTTTGGCTATTGTAGTTAGGACAGTAGAACCAAGTGAAGCTGGAGAGGTAGATGAATGTTCAGCGAGTGGATGTGATACAGGAAGCTTTGTAACCACTAATTGCCCATCAGTCTCTGACAATGTGATGCTCTTTGTTTCTAAAGCAATGGAAGGCACTGAAAATAAGTATGTTGTCATGAATTCTTTTATCCCTGCTGTCTTTTCTGCTAATGATTTAGTGACACTCCGTGTTGTGAGACCACTGATCCCAAGCGGTGCTGACTCAGTCGTAGTTGTTAAATGTGGGGTAGCTGGTGTCACTCTAGACGCAGGGAGTGTGGAACTGAAAGAAATGGTGGAAAGTGGCACTTGCTTAGACAAAACAGAAATCTTCTCTGTGGCACTTTTGCTCATAGATGTAAACGCTGTTGATTGTATTGGTGTTAAAAATGCCACCTCTTGTTTGTCTGTTGGACTCACAGCTGAGGTTTTTGGTACTTCCAGTATAAACAATGAAGGAGATGCTGGTCCTGATTCATGAAATAAAGTACTAGATGCTGTAAGTGTTTGAGGAGGAGTCAGTGCTTTCTTTGTGGTAGGGAGCTCAAGTTTTGACTTTTCAGTAGGAAATAACTCCACTACTTCTTTTATTGTAGACAATGGCAAAAAACCTGTTTGGGTTACTTTTTCTTCACTTGTTAAAGGAACTTCTGGTGAAAACACTGAAGTGAGTGATACAGTGGAAAGAGGAATCCCTGGTAGTGGAGTACTTTGGAATGTGGAGGGCACTGCAAATTTGGTTGCTGACTCTGTTGTACTAAAAACAATTTGGGGGTGGATACTTGTTCTCAACAGTTCAACTGGAAAATGATAGGCTGCAGTACTTCCCTTGGTTGTTAAGTAATCTTTAGAAGGTGGTGAATAATCAAGTTTTCCTGTCGTTTGGGGGATAAAATGTGAAACAGTGGATTCTTCTTTCATACGGGAAGAAAACCTTTCCATTGGAGAAGTAGGAACAGATGAAGTAGCCTTGGAAGTTATAGATGGTTGTGTTATCTCAATTAGCTGCCCTGCAGTGGCTGCTGTTTCAGGTACTTTTTGTGTTAATGGGAGAACTGTTTTCTCTGGCCGGTAAAGTGTGGTTGGAAGTGTTGTTAGAGGAAGAGCAATAGAGGAAGAGAGAGTTGATACTACTTTGGTTGATGCTACTTCTTTAATAGTTGGTGGCTGGCTGCTCAGTTCAGAATATGGCAGTAAAGTAGTATCAGTGGCACCTAAAGCTTCTGTTATTGTCAATTCTGGAGCAACTGTGCTTGGCAGCTTTGTAGTAAGAGGAAACTCTGAAAAAAATGATGTAGACTTTGCTGTTATTGGATGGTGAGTATCAGCACTGGTAACTCGCACTTCAGGTGATGATGCTATCGGACTCTTTGCTGTAGAAATGGACACTGGAAGCAAACTAATGGAAGGTTTTTTTGTAGTGGTTTTTTCTGACTCTGCAGTGGCCTTTTCTGACTCTGCTGTGCCAGGGTACAATATCACTCTTTCTGTATCAGTCATAGGATGCAGAAATTCAGTTGTTTGAACTGGTTCAATTTTTTTAGTTACCAGTGGAACTAGGACACCCATAGCTGCGGCTTCCTTTGTCAAATCAGATTTTGCTGTTTCCACTTTTGTCACACCAATAGAATAAGGTACAACACTCACTTTTGTAGTTTCCAGGGACGAAGGTGTTCTGTATTCTGTTGATGTTTTATCGGTGACTGATTCTGGCAGAATCGTCATTTTAGAACTTATTTTGGTAGAGAGGGGTGTAACTGTCATAGTGTGTGATGAAGTGGGATACTGGGTATACAGAACAGTCATTGTTTCTGTCACATTTGGTTGAATAAATGGTGAATATGCACTTGTCAATCCTGTCTCTAAAAATTCTTTTGAGTCTATTAAAGTTGGTGAAGTTGTACCAGGCACTCCAGGTAGTTTGGCAGAAGTACTATGTCTTAGAGTCGTAGCTGAATATAAATGAGAAAAAGTACTTGGGGGGTGCATAATGCTTGATGTTGTTTGTGCTATTTCCTTTTTAACAGTAGAAACTGGAAAACCACTTGTATGTGTTGGGACTGTGGTGGTGGGCTGCGTTAGTGCTGGAGGTACTGTAATAAATGTGGTTTTAACTCCTTCTTTGATTAAAGCAACTGTTGTTTTTGTTGTTTCTGAAGGAATTGGCTTTCCAACAGGCCTTACTGTTGATAAAACAGTAGATAAAGTAGAAAACGGAGCTACAGTGATATTTGCATCTGTTACAGTCAGTTGACTTACACCCAACATTGTTCTGTCTGTTGTTTGATTCACTGTGGGGGCATAGGAAGACATTTCCAAAGATGGCAATGGGGCTTTGGTAAAAAAATGACTTGTTCTTTCTGTCTTTGGTGTTGAAGAAATCTTGCCTTCTGTAATACCTTCAAGTTTTCTTTCTGCTTCCTCTGTTGGGGGAAGTTGAGCACCTGTTACTTTTTTATCCAGTGCTATTTTAGTTATGGCTGGTGATTTAGCAACTGTAAGCATTGATGGCAGCACAATAATAGGTGAAGTAGAAATTAATTTAATTTCTGATTCAGTTGCTATAGATACAGAAGGGAGTGTTGTACTACTTGTCTGTTTACCAGGCAAAGACTCCGTAACTGCCACAGTTGTAGGTGGAGGAACAGCAAAAGGGAGGCTAATATCAGATACTGGGTGTGAAACTACTGGCATTGAGCTGGTACCAAAAGCTGAATATGTTGAAGCATTTGATGTTGCAGATATGGCTAAAACTGTAATATTTGGCAACAAAAGAGAAGAAAATTTAGTTGGAGTAAATTGCCACTTGAATGCCTGTGTTGTTTCTCTGTCCTTTGATATTGGCCTAGGAGATAAAGTTAGTTCTTTACTCAGCATTGTTGCAGAAGTTTGATGAGCCCCAGATGTTGTATGTGTCTTTACAGTGGATGATAGAATTTGAACATCAGCTGTAGGTTCAATGCCTGAAATAAGACAAACATGGGTGCTACTTTCCGGACCTGTAATAATATAGGCTCATACATATGCACCAAAAAGAATAAATGTGAAGAACAGTATTAAAGAAACAATTTCCAACTTTAACAAGTCTTCTTGGTCAGGAAATTATGTTTTAAAATGGGAAAAACTTGGTTCAATTTTAATGTTTCAAAACCTAATTTGACATCACAAAAATGTAAATGTAATGATTTCTATGACTGCCTATGTATTTTGTGAAGGCTTTGGATAAAAGCAACAACTTTTCGTGTATACCAAGTAAGGTAACCTTCAGAATATATGTTCTTATTCCCAGGCAGTTCCTTTTCCGGAGTAACACATATTTCCATACATGTCTACTCCAGTCAGAAGAAAACTAATGGAAGTCATATAGTGGATAGCATGTTGGACTTGGACCCAGTTCCATCCCTGCTCAGCCATGAAGTTACTAGGTAACATTTTTCAGCCTATCCTACTTGACAGGATTGTTTATGGGGGAAATGGGATAACTCTTTGTATGCTATCTGTATGCTATCCTTCAAGGAATAGAAGATTTTAAGAATGGTATATTATGGAGATTGACATGCATTTTCCCCCTAGATCCCTTAGAAAGCTAGCTGTGGCTGATGGACTACAAAAGCAGAATGGAACTAAACTAGCAGGGGCCTTGCAATGGTTAGGAAGAAGTGGGAAGGAGGTTTTATTAGGCTCACGATCGAGATCCTGAACCCTGTACAAGATACTGAAAGGAATCGTAGCACTGTATTTTGAATTTTATCTAAACGTAATATGAAATGTGTTCTACGTACAGTCTTCAAAATAGACACATCTTTGAGTGACTTCATCCAGAACCATATGTGAAGGACACATAGGAACACATCCTTCCACTCTAAAAGAGAAAATAATAATGATGATAATGATGATGTAACTATTCACATAACAGCATGTGGAGATGAATGAGAGGGATTGAATAATATCCTTAGGAGCCCAATTGACAAAACACCTGAACAGGCATACTTGCACTTAAATCCTTAGGAGCCCAATTGACAAAACACCTGAACAGGCATACTTGTCTTAGTCTGCACCAGTCAAGCTATTTTAAATGCTTGTGAATTACATTATTAATTTCTTAATCATTTAAGATGCAGAAATGTCAGATTGTTGTCACAGTTTCTGTGACAGGCTTACATTGTGGCTGACCTAATGTGCCATCCTGCTGATTCATGAACAATGTGATGTAACCTTTGGAACAAAAACATATGCTTCTCCAATGATGAATACTTCCATTTAGAACTGGCAGAAAGCCTCTACATGCTTGTACAAAATTGTGTTCCTTGTTTGTTTATACCAACACTGATGGCCCATCAGAGCCCTTCCAAAAATTTGCCTTGCATGGAAAAGCTGAGACAAGAACAGAAGCGATTGGAGAGGTAGTTTTGTCCAGGCCACTGGATATTAAAGGGGTGATTCTAAATCTCAGAAGTCAATGCCAGTTATTAATAACATCTTTAAGTGGGACTATGCATACAGTCAATGTCATGACCAGTATCCTTTACCTCTTTCATATGAAAAATATCTCTCTTACTCCTGCAGTGAATGCTTGGCCAGTGTAATTTCTGCTCAGGACGGCACTCCTACTTTTCTAATACTATAGTTATGAATCTGGCTGCTTCCTCCATTACAGCATAATTTTATTCCGTATAAGTGGGGGGGAAGTTCTATTTAGGAGGAAAGATAGGGAGAATGCAACAAGGTATTTTTAATTGCCATGAGTTGGTATGGCAATTTGTGACCCAGGGGTATGGGAGAGGGGATAACAAACATTAGCTGGGGTAGGCCTCTTGGCCAAGAAGCATTATGAAGTATTGAATGAAGGACAGATGTGCTGGAATGGAAAGAGGCAGCTCAGTCAGATGGACACATGTTTTTGGCACAGGAAGGAGATAAGTTGCAAAATTACAAACATTAAATTAGAAATTGTATTGCTCCATATTACAACAGGGCTCCTAGTCTGAATTACCAGTATGCCATCAGCATCTTACTTTCCTTCATACAGGAAATTCAGACAGATTATGTTTTTATATTTGATAGGTTTTTAGTTCTGTGCTTCACCTACTATTGTCCACACTGCTGTCTGCCCCCCCAACTTGTCCCCAAAGTTGTCCCCACTTCTGCTTTGTGCCCTTTCTCTCCCCCCCCCCCACCCCAGCTCAACTGCTATAAGTATTCCATACAATCTGGAAATTAAAGGTGGTTCCAAGCTGCTGAATATGTGTTGTTTTTCTTTTCATTTACAAAGTTGCATTCTCCTGTGTATGTAGAAACTGCACAGTTCTCTATAGATGGACCTGTTACATTTCCAAATTGAGAGGCACTCAACCACCTGAAGTTACTATTAGAAAGAATGTTGTTAAAAAAAATTTAAAATGTAGATACTTACTTTGGAACAGTTTGACAGCGTTCTGCCAAAGGATCTCTGCATGTTTTGAAACAAGGGCTTGCACAAACATCATAGCGCCACTCACATGTTGAGTGAGCTAGAAATTTAAACTTGGTATCTAGAAATAGAATTAAAAAATTTTAATGTAATGTGTATACACACACATATTCTAGTTTTACTTGGACCTCTATGCATTGAATGATCACTCCTTATTGAACTGATTTTATGTATTCCACAAAGAGTGATGCCTAATGTAGACAGTGCTTTGATTCACAGGTATTGGATCATACAGGTTATACAGCAGACAAATGTTGGAAATCTAATGTTTTCAGCAAGAAGCAATCTTAATTTTTAATGACTACAGAAAACATTGATGGACTTTTCAGTATCTCATAAGGTAGAGGCAGTTTCCCTAAATGTCCTCACATTGCACTTAACTGAAGAGGCTTACATCTCTGGGTGATCCAGTGCTGAGTTCCTTTATGTTTGTCTCAGTTGGAAGGAATGTTTTCATATTACAAACACAGCAACTTAGGTTGCTGATACTATTTATTTATAGTATACAGCAATCCCGGCTGAGTTTCAAGTGCCCGCAAAAGTGCTTTCTTTCTTCACAAGCAGTAGAGCATTTTAATTCCTAGGAAGTTTTATCTCCAAATGGTTGCATGCTTTGGGGTGGCAGAGTGTGGGCTGTACACAATGCAACATTAAATGGACCAAGTATGGTATTGATACCTCAAAAAAATTTAAAGTAATTCCCAGTGCAATGTTGTGAAAGGGCATTGCATGCACACATGAACACACACAGAGTGAGAGATAAATTTCTTTCCAAGTCATATTTAGAACAGTTTCTCACATTACAATTTTTATTCATGGGAGCTTTCCTACAAGTAAGAAATATCATGTAGCACCGCTCCTAGACTGTACCATTTTAGAGTGCCAGTGTAACATTTTTCGAGTGTACCTTTGTGTAAAAAACATATACACAAGGAAATGGCAAAAATAAAGGAATCCAGCTAGTAATGAGTGAAGTTGCCTATACTCCATTTGTACTAAGCATGACTCATTCATTCATACACGATAATTTAGGATGGGATCATTTAGGCCCATTATACTTGAAGTCCACCATTCCCTTTTCCAAACTTCCTCTTGAGATGAGGGAGGAGGATGGAATTAGGAAGGCTTTGTGGCAGTGGAGGCTTCCATTTTAAGGTACGTGTTGAGACTGGGAAGCATTGGAATCCAATGTGAACTACAAATTGCAGGGATGAATTTGGGGAATTTTGAAAGGGAATATCTGGCATTTGCTGGAAAATGACAATGAACATTTTATAAAGTCAGCTGAAATCAGACAAATCTTTCTCTGTCATAATCTTATTGATGACAGAGATTTGAATTCATTTCTTATATGTACATAATTTCAACTGATACAGTTCTGAGTTCCATTCCTGGATTCTCATGTGAAAAAAGATCCCAGGGAGCAGGGCTCGGAAACATTTGTAAGATATTGGAGAGCTGCTATAAGTCAGGTTTTACAAAACCTACCTAGCTGAAGTGCTATATTTGATTTCTGCTGAGAAATGCTATTTGTGTCACCATGCAACCCTAATTAGCAATTTCCATTCCATTCTTCTTAATTCTGTTTTGGGTGCATTCACTTAATTAATAGCTGGGCATTACACTGCTGTACTGTTTCTGGATGCCTCTGCAGTTAACTCACAACAAAAGAATGATGTGCTATTACTGATCATTCAAGTCATGGCTTTGCACCAGACCAGACACATTTCTCTGTAAAAAAAAAACTAGCCATGAAATTGAAAAGAAACCTAATGCCATCTGTTAAAGTTCAGTCATTTGTTTTCTATATAGTGAATAGCACAATCCTTACTTGATTAGGGAGCAATGCTCTGTACGGCGATCATGGCACTTGATACGACAAACAACTCTGAAACTGCAGCTGTATCACTGCATAAATTTGCTTATTCTGGATAGCAAAATGACTATAGCAAAAAAAAGTATATATACTATAGTTTGAGGTAAAAAATATGTTGTTGGCTAGATAATAAATCTAAAACAATTCACTTCAATACAATGAAGGTGGGTTGTACAAGGGAACATAATTCTGTGCATAGAAGGCTTCTCAGTATAAAAGAGAAATCAATAGAGGTTAAAATACACAGTACCTAGAAGCTAACGCTTTCTGCTGTGTGACCTTTATTGCAAAATAAATAGGCCATGTTGTCAACGGTTACAGTCCAGCAACATGCTTTGTGGAACACGACAACCAAATTTAAATGATGGAACTTTCATGTAGCTTGTAGACTCAACTTTTTAAAAAAACAACCCATCAATTTATGGCTAGACTTAAGTCTATTTCATTTTGGCTCAAGATCCACAAAGCCAGGAAATTAGAAGCTAAGGTGGATGCAGTGACAGTGAATCTTTACTGTATGCTTAATTATAAGAGCTTTCCTCTGTGAATATCCTGGGTGTTATTTTTTAGTCAATTATGCGCAAAACAAATGGATAGGATAATTTCAGTCATTCACAGATTTAAGGAGATGAAATAGTAATCCAAATAATTGCAGTAAATATCTCCAGAGAACTACAACATTATTTTGTTATCAGCATCTGTTATATTGAAGGTGCTCTATCACTATGATATGCATGTTGGTATCTATGGTACACTTATTGCTATCAAGTTGAGAATCTTCACATGACCTTTATTAAACAATGGTTTTCTCTAGGGGTTCTTGGTCTTTAAAAATATTTTAGATATGCTTCAGAGAACATCAAGCCTATTCATGAATACACTTTTGGCCAAGGGGATTTAAAGGAGCAATTATACTATTCCCAATATTTATATTCAGGAATAGCAGTTCCCAGTTAGAAAAGTTCTGCTCTAATATGCAAAGCATTTATGACAGTCAGCAGGAAACCCAATCTGCCTTTGCCTCTGCACTCTAGAACTGGTGTAACTTTTCCATTAACTTAAACAAATGCTGCTATATTTTTAGACCATGTAATTATCCTGCATCAGCAAGTCGGGCCTTGTGAAAGAACACTGGAGAAAGATTCAAGCCCCATGTTTCTTTGCTTATAAAACTCTGAAACCCAAATCCTCGGATGTGGTGATTAATGAAATGCCTCATGATCATTTGATATGATCCCACTTGCTGAGGTAAATTGTTTTAGTTTTCCACTGGCATAGATAGGATTCTTTGGCATGACTGGAAGGCAAGGACTTCACACTTTTAAAAAGATATACAATTCTCAGCTAATGCAGCACTAGGGAAGTCTACTGCAAATCTTAACCTCTTCTTTCCCTCTTAAAGAAAAAAGGCCACAACATTTTTGTTTTGTTCAAACTAAGGTGCATGTTTGTAGCACTTTATATCCTGGTAACAGCAATAGCTTCATGTATCCTGCTCCACTCTTCAGCACCATCATGATTAAAGGAATTTGTCAAGAGGCAACAAGCATTTGGCAGTGACAAATTCTGTCATTTTTTTGTGAAGTTGGAGTGTGCCAGCCAACAGCTGCATTAGGATCTCATCTTAGCATGCCCTCAAATGTAAGCAGATTCACAATGCCACTATTAACACTTTAATTCAATGGCTTGATAACAGGAAACTCTGCATGGCATGCAGTTGGCCCTTTCTGTCATGAAAATCAATGTGCTGGTAACTGTACAACTAGCCTAAGCAAATCTTCTCTCTCTTTTTTGCAACATTTCATGTTCTATCCTTTGCGTATAGGGAAAAGAATATTTTAATTATATTAGTATGAACAGATACCCTATACAATTAGCTCAATAAATGCTGAACAGTTCAGTATTGGACTCTAGATTTGTAATAGCTGTAGATGTACTTGAAAGTATCTTATGTCCTATTGTGAGGGATATCTTTCAACATGTGCAGTGTGAGGATGTGGACAAAATCCTTACAAGTATAGGTCTAATTCTATGCATGCTTCAGTCTTGCCTTTCTGGGTTAAAAGCTTCCAGATGTTATTAGCTAAGTGGGAATAAGGTCCTTGCAGTTCTAAAATTATCAGCTGTAAGACCACTCCCTATTCTAAAAGTCCTTGTTGGATCCCTCTTGCTTGGACAGTTACAGACTAATCTACCTTTTCGGGGCAATGTAACTAAATGGATGCTGGCAACCCAACTCCAAGAGGTCTTGGATGTTATAGATTCTTTGAACCACTTTCAGGCAGATTTGCTACCCAGATCTGGGACTGATAATGCCTTGATAAGAGTCCTAGTCTAGCAATGTGACATCTTTCAGCGGCCCTTAATACTATCAACCACATTAATCTTCCAGATTGCCTATCACAGTTGGGACAAGGCAGCATTGTCATTTCCTGGTTCTGTTGCCACACTGAAGGTAAGTTTTAGAATGAGATGCAGATGGGACAGTTGGTCAACTCTTTGGCCACTGCCTTATAGGGTGCCACAAGATTCCATCTTGTCCTCAGTGCTATTTAACATCTACATGAAGTCTCTGGAAGAGGCCATCCAAATGTTTTGGAGTAGGCAGCAGGGGTTATCAATATATTGATGGCACCCAATTCCACCTCCAGATTAGCAGCAAGGAGGAGGCTGGCTGAGCCAGAACTGGGCAGAACACCTTCACTTAATCCAGTGCACAAACACAGGTATGGCACTGAGGGGGTGGAGGCAAGATTACTTTGCCAGTTAATCTACATAGGGGGAGCTCTTGATGATGGTGACAAACTCTACCAAATATTGATCTTTAGGGATGATATTTTAGGAATGGGTTAGGTGACTGAACTAGTAATGCCAGAGGGACCACAATAAGATTCCAAAATGAACCAGTGGAGACTCCCTAACAAAGAAATTCTTAATGATTCCTAAGTATTAAGTCTCCCAATGACCATAGAATCCCCCAATGAATAATTCCTCAGAATGTTCACGAATTCAAGGCCCACAAATAACAGCAACATTAAATGTCATAAGCAATACAGTACAGTGATTAGGATTGCAAGGTGCATTCTCTAAGGACTGATCAGAGTGTACATTAGCCTACAAAGTCAACCATCATCTACACATATCTGTGGACAGGCTCAGTGTTTGAATGGGTAGCTTTCATATCTAAATTAAAATTATTTTGATTCTCGAAGACATCATGTTGCCATAACACCAATCTATTCCAATTAAAAGTATATATTTTGGACATTTGCCATTACAAGGGTTTCATGGTGCACAGTTAACAATTGGAAATTAAACTGCCAAAAGAATTCTTCCAAAAGAAGCACACTCAGGAAAAACAGTGGGTTTTAGGTTGGGACAGATGACAACAACCACATACTCAAGAGGTAATTAAGAGAACTAACCCAAATAGAGAATATATAGTCAGTAAACAAAAAGCAGCTTATCTGACCTGATTATGTAGTTCAGACCAGCAAATGAGTTTCAGTGAGAGTAACGGGTTAACACTAAAGAATTTCAGTGCATGTGCCTACAAAACAGCTGGTTGTGAACTTCTGGTCTGCGTGCACATGATCTCATTTTACATTTCAAGCTAGAGAAGAAAAGAGGAAGGGAATGGCGCTTGATTTGTAATAAAATTGAACATTATATTGCTAGCTGGATGAAGTTATATTCTGAACCTGGTAAAACTAAAGGAACTAATTTAAACTACAGAAATATCACACTCACAAGCAATTCAGCACCAGGATGCTGTGTTTTAAATTGATCGGTCATTTATGAGAACTCCTATCAGGCACTGCATGATAAAAGATGATATCATACAAAGGATGCCAAAATCAAGTTTAAAAATGTAGCCACCACAATTCATATTCAAATACTTACCAACAAGTTTGAAAAGTGTAGCAAGTCTGAATGCCTCAGAGTGGCGATATTTAACAATATTCACAGAAGCAGCAGAAATGTGGATGAAGGCTCCTGGCACTGCAAATGACTCAAAGGAGCTATATCCTGAAAGCCATGTGTTTTTGTGGATGGCAAACGTCGATCTGTTTTGAAAATGTTCACTTCTTTCCCACTTGGCGAGAACCAAGGTATTGTTGGAAGCTAAATGAAGAAAATAATTTGGTCTGTCAGCTGATTCAAATGAAGCCAGGTTTGGATCTGGAAAACAAACAGCAATAACAAAAAATAATTACCTGACCTGAGCAGAGGGGTTTTGTTTTGTTTTGAGATTGCCTCCAGCACACTACACTGTTTTGACTGTTTCTACACTTTTTAAAAGCACAGGCAGGTTCTGCTAGGCTCAGCTTAGCCCAAAGCGACTATACTATCTCAAACTATCTTTAGGCATTGAAGAGGCAGCAAGCCTAGTAGAAGGGACCGTGGGGGTGCCTGTTTAGTTTGATGTTGAAAAACACAGAGTTCTTCTACAATCACTGTGCTGAGGCATTTCTTATGAAGCAGGCGGCCTTTTAGCCATGTCAAGTTTCCTTGCACCTCAGAATACTAAATTGTGCAGGGAGTCTTCACACACAGAACAGATACATGCTTCGGGAGTTATTTGCCCATGTGATAACAGAAAAAGTGGTGAAAATCATGTGACTTTGGGGACAAGGCTAAATACTGGGGTGGGGATGTGTCAAATCTGTCTGTACTGTGAATAACGAAACAGATTGGCTTGATTTAGGGCAGTCTTTCATGCTGCTGAGTTGGATAGCACCATTAACAAGGGGGAGGGTATAGGTGGATAATGATAGCCGTTGCACTTACTTTTCTGAACTTTGGCAGGTTTCTTACCCAGGGACACCTTCCTCATGTCACCAATTTCTAAACTGATTATTATTAATTATTATTATTATTATTATTATTATTATTATTATTATTATTGGTGGGCATATGTAAAGTGCTAGGGGAGGAATGTGATTTCTACTTTCCCAGTCCAAAATAACAGAGTCTGCCTTTGTGGGAGAACTGGTGCAACTATCTTTCTGAAAACTGGTGGGCTTCATCCTCTCAGGAGGAGGTTGCTATATCTTCAGTTTGCATCTAAAAAATATAGTAAAAAATAAAAAACAGACATTAAATAAATAAATAAATAAAGGTTTTCTGCATGAAAACCCCAGGATGACTCAGCCTGAAATCTGGAGTGGCTTCTTTGCCTTCAAATTCATCCATTTATGTGAAAAGGAAAAAGCTATAGCCATTTTTAGATCTCCCATTATAGTCAAAGGAGAGAAAAAATAACACCTCTGGTTTAAGAGATCATATTTGGACCAGAATAATGAGTCAAATCAGAATGACATAGATCAGATCCAAAACAGATCAGGCTGCTTCTAAATGCTATGGATACAAGGCGGATCTTGTGGCCGCTGCACACTCCTGTTAAGTACATGACTGAATAGGGCTATTGTTGTAAACAGAGGAGTTTCTGAAACTATAGACTGAGGAATTTCGAAACACTACATTTTTCAGAGAACATTCTAATTCCATAAGACAAATGGTGTTTAACAAGTTACATTTTTCATTAAACTCGCTCTCCCCAATGCCCAGGAAATACCTCCCACCAAACCCTTATTCACAAAAATATGAAGAAAGCAACATTTCTACTGTAGGTTCTTGTTTTTCAGTTTTTTCCTCATCAATTGGCCACCTTATCCCAGAAAACATGTCCGTAACAGGCAATTCTATGCATTAGCCATATTTTTACTCTGGAATTTTCAACGGGTCTTCAAAATACAGAGACGCTGAGAGCAGATTTAATTGTAGGGCAAAGTAACGCTCACTAAAAGGGTGACAGAACTGAGACTCAGATGAGCATCTGTTGTTCCAAATATTATTTCGCTGTACATTGTGTTATTTTGCTTAAAATAACCATAAAACTACTGTAAAATCAACTGTCCCCCCTCAGGGCTGGATAATGTTTCTTTAAAAATCCTGCAGAGAGAACAAATAATCTCTGTTAAACAGATGTTGTGTGATGCACAGTTCATTACTCGGGAATACTGTCTAATTTTCCAAGATGACAACATTTATTGTGTGAATCATAATTGCACCAAAGGAACTGACGTTTTCTTCCATACACACAGTAGCGAGAAAACTGGCAATACCAGTGTAAACTACCAATAGCTAATTCTTGTAACAATTTCATTAAGTTTCAATAAGCATTGGTGAACTCCAAGAGTCACCTCAGACAATGCACATGGAAGGGCGTGAGAGTGTACCTGCCCTTCTCTGACCACCTAGCATAATTGGCCCACATGAAGATATTGTGGGACAGCCACATAAAGCCATAACATATAAATAAAGTCTGCATATGTAAACATCCGTATGCTAATTTCATGAAGATGATTTCCCGATAAAATCCAGCAATGCAGATGTCCACTGAAGGAAAGGGGATGTTTTGCAATCCACTTCACAACTTTGAACAGTGGGTCACTTCAATTTGGCACTTTGAACTTTCACCTCAGCAGGAACTCAAATAAGAGTTTTGCTTCAGAAGATTCAATACTTTGTCAGATCGATAATAATGGGCAAATAAACAAATGGCTTTCATTTTCTTATGTTGGATGCCATTTACACAATTTTTAACAATATGCTTCCTTAATCTTTCCTTTATTGCACTACTATCTTCTTTTAGTTATTTCAATAACAGTTTTAGATTTTGATATTTTTTTTAAAGTACCATTTACTCCACAGACAACATTGGCTTGTTTGCTTTCTCATTTCTAAATAAAGAAGCAAAAATTATTTTTTTAAAAAAAATTAAATTTAAAAAATGGTTGAAGAAAATATATTTGTAAAGTACAAATAACCACACATTCAATTCTAAAGTGGAGTAGATATCTGGCTAAGCAACTATCAAGAAACTCCAAAATCATCTCTCACATCATTCACACATCACTCACTTTTTTCTGTTATCTGATTGCTCACTCACGCATGTTTTAAAAACTCAAATAATGAAAGGTGGTGTTGGAAGTAATCCTAAAAACCTCTTTACACTTGTGGTTTCCCACTTAACTACAGTCCCACCACCTGCCAACCAACCATAATGTGAACTCAGCTGACCTAACCATTTGTACCTCACTAATTCTACAGCTGGCTGCCTGTTTCCAGACTTCCTCCCATGCTTTTCTACCTCTGTTCCTGCCACAGGGAAGATAAGGACTGCTGGGTCTACAAATTTGTTGATCTGAAAAGCTGAAGTGTCAGACTATTTATAAATCAGCAATCACCCTGTAAAGATCCACTCATTAGATAGAGATTTTGGCAGACAGCCTTCTTGTTGAGAACCTACTGATAGATGTAGAGTGAGGTTTAATGCTCCTTCTACAAAACTTCCTACATTCTGATGCAGCCAGAACCCATGCTGCCTACTAAGGAAGGACTGCCTTGCTGGGGGGGGGGCGGACATTGAAAAAGGATATGAAAATAATACCATTTCCCCATTGTTTGTGTCTGGTACATAAAAGAAAGATGCATCTGAAATGAGCATTGCCTTTGCTAATTTTCTAGATATTTTACAGCGACAGTGAGTTTACCATGTGCTTTTGGCTTATACAGTCCCGATGTCAGCATAAAGTGTACTGCATCTCCAGGAGCAATAGCATCTCCTCTTGCTGGAAAAACAGAACCATCCAGCAGCTTGGCTCCAATTGCAATTTCTCTGTCCAAGAAGCTGACCAGCTTGTAGGGGCCCTTTCCCAGAACTGTCAAGAGAAGGCAAGGTTACATTTCCTGTTGAATGCCACAAATGCTTGTATCTCACATGTTTATTGGTCAGTTTGTACAGTGGCAAAGAAAACACCACCATCAAATGACATCATCAGAACTACGAGTCACGTAAAAGCTGTTAGAGATGTGCAATGTTTGCAAGCTCAGCTTCAAAAATGGTTTCAACCTTTTCTCCCTCTGTCAGGAGGAAAGTATCCACGTTAGAGTTCTTCCCTATGTTAAAGCCCAGTGCTCATATAGGTGGTGGTGGGGAAACCCCTGGAAACAATCATTTCCACCGCAAACACAAACATTATTAAAGTGGGCTGCTAGTGTGTAAATGCATTGGGTACAATTCGAGGGCAAGAGTCGGACCCTGCAGGCAGGGTGGGTCACCAAAGGTTTTATGAAAAGCTTGGGCTTGTGGAAAGATTGTCAACCACCTCCCAAAGCTAGTAGGGACCAAGGGTTGGGCTTGTGCATATATCTGGATTTTGGCAATAACATTCTGTTGTTTCTCCTGAGCCTGAGACCTAAAGGAGAAGGGACTTGCTCTGGAGATTTATGTACCCTAAAGGACATTTTATTTGAGCTCCTAGGATCTTTGTGATGAAGAGTTGAAAGGACGGGGCATGGATAATTTGCTTTAGACAGCATGAATCATCTGGGGCTAATTTGTCCCACCCATCCCGCTAACTGTGAAATAATTTCACAGCACCCCAGATACATATCACAATAGCTAACGTAAGTCCAGCATGCAGACCTTTATCAAATTAAAATGCAGAGGGTGATATCCAATATTAAGTCATACGCTTAGTGGACCCATTGAAATCAATGGACCTAAGTAACTTTAGTCCATTATTTCAGAGCACCTATAATTTATGCAGACATCCCCAGAGATGTTACATGAAAAAACAGGGACCAAATCTGATGTACTATTGCAGACCCAGGCTAGCACCGTGATCAGGCCCAGTGCTGTCAACATAATGGCAGTGATACTGGTTTGGGATCCATCAGAGACCAGATCTACTCAGCCCCACCCCAGATTGAGCCCCATGCCCAGATTCGGGGAGAGGGGGTGTTCCACAGACTCCTGATGGTGGGAGCAGCAACCAATGGCCTTCCCACCTGCCTGCATGTTCAGTGAGGAGAAGGGGGGCCAACAGTGGCTGTTTTAGCAGGGAAAGCTGAGCAGAGGGACACCTCCACTCATTCCAAGCTACTGCAGCCTGCTGTTAAGGGCATTTGGATTGCTCAGTAAGTACTATAAATCAAAATGTATAGTGAATTCTGTAAAAAGCATGCAGCTTATCAATAAAAATGTGCTGCCAGACTATCACAAGGCAGGATGTAATTGAAAATCACTAATATGTGCAAAATAATGAGTTGGATCTGAATGTCCCTTCCTCTAATGGAAAGTGTCTTCCTCCAATGGGAAACCTGAAGGAAGGACTTTTTCCATTGACAGAAGGAAGTCTTTGGATCGAACCTAGTATATTCAAGCAATATTGAATCAAAATTCATGGCAACTAAAATACTACCTAAGATTTATTAGTTCTGCCTTGCCACTAATCTGGAGGAAAAGATGAAGACAAGTGGACGATAGTTTACCACTTGCTAAGCCTTTTTACTATCCCTTCAGAGGGAAGTGGAGCTGGTACTTAGTGCCCATCCTGTCTGGTACACAACAAAAGAAGACCTTAGACCCTCACTGTAGTTTTATTGCACGCATTCATATGTTTAGAACAATATCAATACTATCTGAGGAAAACTCAAAAGAAGTATTAAAAGAATGGAAAACTAAAACAATTTCAACCTGACGTTTTTAGATCCCCGCCCCATTACTCTATATATCTAAAATACATAAATATGCCAAACATGGATATGGATATGGATGGATACGGAGTCATACCCTTTTAGCTATATAAGAAAGTGTACAAGATGAAAGTGTCAAGTGATGCGTTGTTGATTTCTTACACCAATAATGAATCTGAATATAGTAATAACAGCCAGGGAGAGACTAACAATTATCAAAACTTGCAAATTAGCTCCCTCTTGAGGCCCTTCAGGGGGAAAAACACAGAGCATATCTCTGGGAATTGCACATTACATCTGAACATTTTCTGCTGCAAGATGGGAAATGCAACTATTTTATTTTATTTTGTTTATTTTTGAAGAAGTAGTAGTAACAAACAGTGGTACAAATAGTAGTAACTAGTAATTCTAAGATATGGAATCATGATGCAGCAGTATTAGACGGTACAGTATTAAACATGATACTTGATAAAACTTGATAGTAAATATTAGGTAAATAACAGGAGAGGCAGAAGGAGGCAAAAATCTGGATTTGGCCATTCTTAACTGTTTTATGACCATTCCAGGAAAGATGCACCTGTACCAAATCTTGAAGTCATATCCAAATGGCAAGTGCAGGTCTCTATCTCACAAAAAGCTTTCAAGTGCTGAGGCACACAGAGGAGGAACAAGTATGGTAATCTACTACATATTTTTATTACCTTCATACTCTCCTTTGCCTTAGAAATACTGTTCAGAATGTGAGATATTAGATGGAGAGTGCAGGAGTGCAACTCGCTCTCAAATGTATGGAATAATTATGTGGATCAGATATAAATTTGATCCACATTTGATCCTGGTATACATTTCAAGGTTAATCAGAACCGTACCTGTATGTTTAAACAGTAATGAATGCTGCTTTGAGAAAACTGGATATGAAGTTGTTATTTTATTAAAAGTGGACAGAAAAATACTGAACTGTTTTATCATCAGTTCCCCATGATTTGCTTACCTTTATTGATATATTCACAATCATAAGCTAAAAGGAAAGGAAAGGAAACGGTGAGCAATATAAATCTGGAACACAACTAGCAGTATATTCTGTATACAAATGGGCATATTTGCACAATCACATTCCATTTCTATTCAGACTGGGAAGAGAAATTAAGACTGGCAAATTAATTAAAAACTCACATACTACTGACTAATAAAATTGATACAGAATGAAGTATCAGCTGCAATGAGCAGATGCTTATCCTTGTGTGACCTCTAGTGGATAGGAATAAGCTTGGTCACACATCTTTGTACATCTTTCCTGCCGAGAGATGAGAAATTGATGTGAATACAACAGCTTTTGCATCTTCTAGAGGAAATGCATAATGCCCAGCTTTGAACTTAACTTTAAAAGACCAGAAAGAAATCTGAATCATTCACACTTCTTGTAAAGGTAAAGGGACCCCTGACCATTAGGTCCAGTCGTGACCAACTCTGGGGTTGCAGCGCTCATCTCACTTTATTGGCCGAGGGAGCAGGCATACAGCTTCCGAGTCATGTGGCCAGCATGACTAAGCCACTTCTGGCGAACCAGAGCAGTACACGGCAACACTGTTTACCTTACCACCGGAGTGGTACCTATTTATCTACTTGCACTTTGACGTGCTTTCGAACTGCTAGGTTGCAAGAGCAGGGACCAAGCAACGGGAGCTCACCCAGTTGGGGGATTCGAACCGCCGACCTTCTGATCGGCAAGCCCTAGGCTCTGTGGTTTAACTCACAGAGCCACCCGCGTCCCTCACACTTCTTGTACTTCTGCTTAAATGGGGGAAAAGGTAGAGCTTTTTGCCTTCACTACCAGCTGAGAGAATTCTTTAAGCACCAATACTCCTTCAACACAACAACGTCCCACTAAGCCTGGATCTCACTGCAGGGAGGATGGCCCACTTAACTAGGATGACCAGCAGAGATTGAGTGGTTTGTAAATTCTAAAGAAAGACAGCAGAAGAGATAAACTTCTAGACTGCCATAACTCAACAGAAGTTGATTGGCACTGGAATTGATTGAAAACCGGGCTTCGGAGTAAAAAGGCTACAGAACAGGGTATCAGTTCAATTTTTCTTCTGCAAAAGGAATAAGGAATCCATAAATGCCTAGATTTTCTCACTAGCAAATCAGTAATGCATGCATTGCAGTAGTTAAAGCTGGGTGCGGACACAGATTCTTCCATTCTATTTCAGCATGCAAATAATATTTAAGCATACTTACGACACAATCTCGGAGATCTCCAGTCTACTGTAACTCCTTGTTGACAACATTGATGTGCATAGGCTGAAACACTTGTGCAGAAACACTCACAATCCCCTCCCTGGTTACAACCACATGTGTCTGTCAAACAGTTTGAATAAAACCAGGTGACATCAACCTGAAGAAGATAATTATTACTGTAACATATCATTACCTACACAAACATTGGCAACCGTGTTTTCAGCACAGAGCCACAGATATCTAAAAAGTTCCAAAGGATTCTGGCATGCAGCATTTACTGTTGATTTGTATTAAACAAGTTCATCACTATGTCCTTTCATATATGCCCTGTTGTTTTGCAACATTTGACACTCCTAGCCTTCAAAGGTAATCAAGGCACTGGGCTTCCATAAGAACAGGGTCCTACAGTCCTTCTTCCTACCTTCCCAAAGCCTAGTTAGCACTTTTCCAGCTTTGGGAAAGAAATAGGAGGACTCCAGGACCCTGGCAGAGCCTCATGCCTCCTTACCAAAGTTTCTATATTGTAAACAAGAAAATAAATATGAACTAATATGTGGGATTTATTGGCCTCCTAACATTTATATACAACATTTATGATAGTTAAAACTGGCACAGATTTAACAATTAAATAATCTTGTTCTTTTCTTCCCTGTGCCACAATCTGGTAAAACCTTGTTACTGGCATTATCAATTCATCAGTCAATCATGCTACACCAGTGGCGTAGCGTGGGGGGTGCAGGGGGGGCCCCGGCCGCACCAGGTGCAACATCTGGGGTTAGGGTTAGGGGGTGCAAATGCACGGGTTAGGGGGCACAAATTACTTGCCTTGCCCCGGGTGCTGACAACCCACGCTACGCCACTGTGCTACACCATTGTACTGTGCTATACAGTGGATGCTCGGGTTGCGAACGTGATCCATGCGGGAAGCACGTTCGCAACCTGCAGGGTTCACAACCCACAGCGCCGCATCTACGCATGTGCAGGTCACAATGTGCGGGCGCTTTTGCGCATGCACAGTAACCCGTTCCGGTACTTTTGGACTCGGCGCGGTGTGCAACCCGAAAATGCACAACCTGAAGCGTCTGTAACCCGAGGTATGACTGTATATTGGTACTAATGCTGTTATATCTGATCGCTGCAAACATAAATCATTTCACAGTTAAGATTACCCTATGTTGGGAACATCTTTCTTGCAGTTCAAAAAACAGCAGTAACTGGTAGTAATTGCTCAGGATCATGGAATGAGAAGAGAGGAAAATAATTGCTTCACCTAATTGCTTCAGGTGAAGACTGCACACACTGTCAGCACAATGTGATCACTGCCAGCAGGCTTGGAACCTCACCAAGATAATGTAGAAACACTTTTTATGTGAATTAATGTCTTTATATTGGTAGGTGAGCATGCAATGCCACAATTTGTGTTCAGACACTGGTTGTATGAACTGTCACCTCCACAGGTCAACACAAATTCCAGATGGGGACTGCAAACTCATTAGTGTTCCTGAACCATCAGTCTTACAGGTAGCCATATAGAACCCAGTTAGTGTAATTACTGTGGTTGTTCTTCCTGCCCATCCTAAATGCAACAGACTTTATGATCAAACTGTAAATGCAGGATCAGAGTTCTACATTATTCTAATATGGAATTCAGGAGCTATACATTAAAAACCTTAAGAATTATTATTATGCATTAGCAGCTACTTACCACTGGATGGCAAGACTCAAATATTTCACTTAAGAGTATTCCACATTCTTTCTTGGCAAATGGTTCTCTGAGTGGACTTAAAATGCATGGATGCCGAATGTCAGAGCTGTCAACACACTGAATCCAAAAGCAAAATAATCAACCAGGAGAACATTTTCTTACAAGCAGTATGGTTTTCTAACTTTTAAAATAGCCAAGAAGTGTAACATATAATAGGTTCTCTCTCTCTCTCTCTCTCTCTCTCTCTCTCTCTCTGTGTGTGTGTGTGTGTGTAGCACAGCTGTTCTGAACAGCACACTGACTGTCCCCCATGCATAAACACCTATAACCACAGAAGAATTCACCATGTCTAACTGTCTATAATATGTACAGAGTATTTTCTTACCAGTCCCTAAAGTAAGATGACTATCAGTATGCTGCCCATTCTGATTTAACCAGTCACCAGGAGTTGGGATGTGGACTCATGCAAACACACACACACACACACACACACACACACACAAACACTTTAAGAGGCATGGATATACTTCTCCTTTAAAAGCCTACTTTTTTGGTCATGTTGCTCCCCTTATTCCTCCCTGGCCCCATGTACTGAGAGTGGCATATTACTGCTATATGTTTGCCAAAGGGAATGTGCTGATGGTTGGAAAAATCCAACTTAGGTATCATAAAGCTTCTGAAAGTGCCCTCTATTGTCATTTTTTAAAAAGAGCTACATTGGGATTTGAATAAAAACAAAGTTACACAATAGTACAAACAATGTAATACTTTTAAAATTATAGTTTTTAAACCATTGTTTAGCACTACTATTCAGAACATGAAAGCCAGTAACATACAGTGCAGTTGGTGCTTGATTTTAAATGATAAAGAACTATGTAGTGAAATAGAATGAGTGACCACTCCAATTATTTACCTCTACAGCTGCCCAGCTACTTCCAAATTCTTGTGCATTTGTTAACTCAAAATTTTCTGGAGTTCTCATTTCATTTATTGTTTTTGAATCAAAATTTCCACATAATCCTGTCAGCACACCCTAAAAAGAAGGCAAAGTTATTATGACCAGCTAGTGGCATTTTGTTTTCTAATCAAAAGTCCTGTAGAAAAATCTCTGTTACCAAAGGCATATAATCAAGTGCCCAGTAGTGCCCTTCAAATATTCTTAGACTACAACTCTCAATATTTATGACTATTGGTTGTATATTGGACAATATATGACTGTATTTCACCCTAGATATGGCAATGCTCATTATTTACTACAATATTTCATTTATACAATAAATCTAAGCTTCTTAATATGTTAAATATACGACTCATTCTAGCCAAAGCCAAACCCTTGGAAATCCCATTGACTTCAACTAGACTGTTAAGTATAATGCTAAATCTCTCCAAGAAAAATGAATGGGGTTTCAAAGTGCTTAACTGTAACTACATCATACCTATAATTAGATGAGGCAATGTGCTCTTACCTGCCATTGAGGTCCTATCTCTACATGAACAGTTGTTCTTTGATCCCACATTACTGTGATGTGTTCATTGGGAAAGTGAACAAGTGTGAAAAAACCAGCTTTCCATATATGCACTTGCTGCAGTTTGTCTAGGTAACTCAATGGACTCTGTTAGGAAAAGCCAGCCCACACATATTTATTCATTTAAAGCATTCTTATACCATTTCATTAATATATATCACAGCAATACAATATCCAGTGGGATGGCAGTAAGTGTACTGAATACTAGTGGTAAGGTTTAACATAGAATGAAAGCATAGTGTTGTTTATGCATGCTGTAAAGCTATCACCGTAAGGGCCATCATCCAAGAAGTCACAAAGTGATCACAGATAGCTGTGGCATCATCAAAAGGGCCTCGTCTGCTCATCTCAGTGCATGGGCAGATCTATATGGGAGAAGGCACTTTCTCAAAGTAGGATGCCCCAGCAGCTTGTTAAAAGGTAAAGGTAAGGTAAAGGTACCCCTGCCCATACGGGCCAGTCTTGACAGACTCTAGGGTTGTGCGCTCATCTCACTCTAGAGGCCGGGAGCCAGCGCTGTCCGCAGACACTTCCGGGTCACGTGGCCAGCGTGACGAAGCTGCTCTGGCCAACCGGCACCAGAGCAGCACACGGAAACGCTGTTTACCTTCCCGCTATAAAGCAGTACCTATTTATCTACTTGCACTTAATCGTGCTTTCGAACTGCTAGGTGGGCAGAAGCTGGGACCGAACGACGGGAGCTCACCCCGCCGTGGGGATTTGAACCGCCGACCATGCGATCGGCAAGTCCTAGGCGCTGAGGTTTTACCCACAGCGCCACCCGCGTCCCACTAGCAGCTTGTTACAGGTTATTTATTAAGGGTTTATGTGCTCGTGGTGGGTTGCTTCAGTGAACTGCCACACAGCTGCATTCTGTACCAGCTGTAGCTTTAAGGGCAACCCCACATAGTGTGTGTTGCATCAATCCAGTCTCATGGTTATTAATACATGGATCACTGTAAAAGTTAAGATAAAGGACTCCTGGGTGATTAAGTCCAGTCAAAGGCGACTATGGAGTGCTGTGCTCATCACACAATAAAAGTTTGTGTAAACTACATTTAGAAGAACTTCAGTGTCTTCTGAACATCTCTCTAGGTTAATATTTTTTAATATATGGGCCTGTTTTTTCAAAAGATGTGACGTTTCTTGGCTTGAAACCATTGTTTAAATTATGCATGCTTAGAGGTTGCTTTGTACATATGTCTAATGTGCAGGGTCCATTTTGCATTTTTTCTGCATGCTGCTTATCACCTTGCTTCACACACACACACACCAGCAAATCCATCATGTGATGTCAGGTGCAAGCATGTGCAGTGCAAAACACAAAGGCACTGAGGGGGAAAATATGTATATGTGTACCAGAGCTGGCTCAAGCACAAGGCAAATTGAGGCAGTAGTCAGGTGTGGGAGAAGAGGGTGGCAAACATTTGTAGGCTTGCAGGGTTGGTGAGCAGAGCAAGCAGGGGCAGCAGTCCCTAGTACAGTTATACCTATGTGTCTTTCCTTCTGCGGTACTAGAGCTTACCGGATCTCCAGTGTCATCGTCAAATATTATGAATGATTTTCCAATGTTAATGAAAATATACTTTCTGCAAATGATCCCAGTGTTAAAGCAATTCACGTTTTCTATGATGATCGATATACTAGTAATTGAGGAACTCTGCAGAAGGGGGGGAAAGCAGCTGGTTGTAACTTGTTGACATTTGATGAAAACCGGTCTAATATGTCCAATTCTCCAGCCTCTCTGATCCCACCCCTTAATGATATCTCTCTCTGGCTCTGAAGATAGAACTCACACAGAGATGGCTGGCAGCAGGTAAAAAAATGCCACCAGTCTTACTTTTTAATGCAAGCTTTATTCAACTTAAAATTTAGAATAAGTAGTATGTTGTTTTTTTTAGAAAAAGGCAAAACAAAACAAAAAACCCTCAAAGTCTTACCTTAACCAGGTAAACCTTACAATTCCCAATGTAATCAAAGGAAAGTCCATCGAAAGTTCTGTAATGGCGGTCTCCATATGTAGTACACATTGATGGGCAAGGATGGAAAGTGCATTCAAATGACCCATGATAGCAGACGCTGGTGATGGTGGAAAGAAAATCAAGAGATATAATTTCAAAAGTAATCGTAATTATCAATGCACAAATAAGTCTGTTAATCTTCTGTGAAAGCAAAATGCATTGCCACTCCTCCTGATCCAGAAATCCAGTTCGGACACAAAGTTGTTGCACATGCAACCAATCCATACATTTCAGTGAATGGATAAGATGCACATGCATAAAGCAATGTGTGTGAATTCTGCTTCTGGGCCCAGATTGCTGGACCTAACTGAATGCTGCAGTGCCAGACAACAAAAACCTCATAGCATCCCACTTTGGGAAGAATAAAAATGTTTGCTGATTCCATGTGAAATTATATAATCATCTGAATTATAATATATTGTAACACTAAACTGAACACATTTAAAGTAAAAACTCAAAATGAAAAGTAGGAAATAAATGAAACTACCTGAAAATATTACAAAAAAAATCATAGAACTGTATCCAATTACATAATGGATCACATAACAGATCCATGGAAATAATGGTCATGGCTAACTTGGCTCCATTAATGTCACTGGATCTGCTCTGAGCATGACTTAGTCTGATACAACTAATACAAAATATCAAACAGAAATGCCACATTGAAAAATAGATATACAGAGGTATTGTGAAGGTGTTGTTGTTTTTTAAATCTACACATGTATTTATAAAAATGAAATACAGTTAGTCCAGTTTCATTAACACGTTATACATTCACTGGATATCCATTAATAGCAAATTCTATTCTTATTCAGTGTGATGTTAGTCTAATATCCATTTCAGCATCAACCTGAGATATGAACAATAATCAATAAGACATATTTACTATAGGAAGATTCATTACTCGGAGAGACAATGCCCCCGTGATTCTGGACAAATAGAAACAATAGAGCATGTGCTTCTCCAAAGCCTATATTATAGACACATCTGTATTAGCCTCATCTTCCCACTACTCCATAAGTAGCCAGGGCGCACAGGACAATTCTATACCTCCCTGCTGCTTTCAGATGCCAACCCTGCTACAACATACAATGTTGCTAGGTTCTGCAAAGCAGCATTCAAAATTCATTGGTTGATGACCTGCACCACAAACTAGATTTAATGAACACTCATATCAGAGTGCTTTGTAAATTGATAGTCATAGCCTCTTATATACTAACCTTTTATGCTCTTCCACATCCATTTAATGCTCCTAACCCTTCTTTTAGCTTCTTTTAGCTTCTTATAGTCTTTTATATATACCTTCTGTTTTAATAATTTTAGCTCTCCAAAACATTTTACAGATTTTAAATGATTGTACCCCCACCCTACTTATGCTGGCCTATGACCATAATAAAGATTTGGTTAATTGATAAATATTTACATTCTACCAAACTCACCTTGAGTATCTTGTAAAACATATTGGGGAAAAACATATCACACTATTACAAGCATTCTATTCATGCAAGCTTGCCAGACAAAATTATCCCCCATCCCCCTACATGCTGTTTTGGGAGTTCTCCTGACCCCCTCAAGCCAAATTGGGAGGAGAGGGCACAACGGGTAAGACCCTTTGACCCTTGCGCTGGGCTTTCACTGATAGAGCTTGTTAGGTGAATCCTGCCCACTGAGCTTTCTTCTATAAGCAACGTGGATATTGCTAGCATATTGGTGGATAATTGGAAGTTTATACTGTGGTGAAGATTCACTTCTTGACAAGATCAGAAAATAAATACTAATGATCTAATTATCCTCTTGCCTGTTATATTATTAATGACTGGGTTTAGACTTCTCAACGAATACACTATGCTGTTTCAGAATTACAGCAAGCCGTTCGTGACATCCTCTACAGGGAACGAATTTTTGTGTGTGCAAACAATTAGTGAAAGTTAAAAGTGTACAGGCCTTGGGGACCAAGGGAGGTAACACGGGGTCACTTTACCTTCCTGCCAAGTAGAGATGGCTTGTAAGTCGCTTCACCAGTCGGCCAAAGGGCTACAAATGTCTTCTAGAGCAGATACTGAGAACCTGACAAGAGGCAGAGGCAGTCAGTCAGCACAAGGCTGGATTGGGCAAAGACATCCAGACAAGGCATTGACTAGTGCTGACTGGACCAGCCTGGATTACTTTAGGCCCTATAGAGTGGTGCAGGCCCAGTGGTAACCAGATGGAACAAATTAGCCAAACTGGTCAAAAGGGGTTAAGATACTGTTAAGATACAGAGTTGTGGTTGCAACACTCTGTAATACTTCTGCTATCAGTCTAGATGATGGGAAGAAGAGGCATAAGATGGGGTATTATTTCCAAGATTTTAGCTGTCACACATTTAGCTGTCACTGGTTCAGAAAAATGGGTGGATAGTGAAGGACCTTGCTTAAGAACTGCTGTATGAGTATAAACCACTGTTAAGCAAATGATGCTGTAACAGGATTTGTTTATTTGGGTTTTAGTCCAAATATGAAAAAGACAAGGAGAAAATAAGGTGATTTATGAAAGGAGACTAAGACACATCTTTAAAATATGTATGGAAGTGGGAACTAATCTAGGAAAGGTAGTTAATAATTGTGTTTAGATGTTAAGGGAAAACTATACATCACAGGCTAATTAATGCAATAGTCCCCCTATGACTTCGTTTTTAGAAAAAAGTGAAGCAGCTTTGAAAGGAAGGCGTTTGGCAGAAGCGGGTGCTTCACTATAATGGTGGAATAGTGTGATGTGATAGTGTGATTACCTGACCTCCCAGCAGCTGAGTCTCTGCTGCTAACAGGGAGAGAGAAGTGTATGAGCAAGGAGACAGGAATGTCAGTGCAGTGCAAATGAACCAGAAGGAGTGCTAGATTGGCTCTGTCAGTGCATTTGCAATGTGCTGTCCTTCCCACCACCTTGCCTTGTCCCCTCCCTCCAGGTAAGTAGGAGTTACTCTGCTGTCAGAAGGTCAGTTGTCACCGCATCATCTTTCACAGGTGCTTCACCTTTCCCCGACTCCAAATCAGTCCTCTGGAGTTATTACACTGATTAATTTCTAATTTTTTACCCATAGCTATCCATCATTTTCCCAATGCATAATTTGGTTATTAAAAACTATTTTAAGATGGTTATTTTTAAAAAATCGTTTAAATGCCGGTATATGCATTTAAATACTGAAATAGGGGAAAAACAAAACAGCAATTCAGAACCAGAATAGTATAGTTGCATTTATAACATGAGATTTTCTTTTTTAAAGTTTCTACTCACCATGTATGGCAGGAAGAAATTACTTTATCCCCAGGAAAGTACTCTTTGCCTTTCCAAGAACACGGGCATTCATCTGGCTTGAAACATGCATCACCATGTTTAACAAGGCTATAAAAAACATCAAATAGAAACTCATTGTCAATTATATTTTTAAATGTATGTAAATTTGAAGAAACGGTGTGCATACATATATTCCTGGTTGCCACTGAATAATTCAACTGAGCATGGGTGGGGGCATATACATGTGAAACAGAGCATTGATGCCACAGTCAAGATCAGACAGGTACCCATGATGTAAGCATTGCTATTACTTTTGCCCTAGTTTTGACACTTGAGGTGTTTAAGAACATGTCTTATTTCTCTGACTGTAAGCCATTTTAACCTATTTTTAATATTGTGTTTTAATGCTGTTACTTGCCCTGAAACCTTAGGATGAAGGGTGGAAAATAATAACTACAGCTAAAGTGTTTTAAAATATGCTCTCCCTCACCAAGATTTATCATTTCAATTACTCTTTATTTATTAAACACTGCATTTTGTTGCTGGTTTAACCATCACAGTCACCTAAGCTTTTCTGCGATAAAAAAAGAATTTAACAAATTTGCAGTAATAATTCCCCCTCCCTCGTCTAGCATCTTCTACAGTCATCTAGAAAAGTCCTCTAGACTAGAAAAAAAGTTAGCCAGCGAACATTTCAAGTATTGGTACTGGATAATCAGTGCCAGGATAACAAATACATCTTTTTACAAAGTCTTTGGCATGATGACTGTTTTGGTCAATGTCTAGACATAAATGCAACCTAAGATTTCACAGGAACACTTTTATAAAAAGATGAATCACTCTTTTGTAAACTGTGGAGCAATAATAGCCAAAGCTTTCCTGAGTGTGTTTTCTTTCTGTAATTTTACAAGTTATCTATAAAATGTTTACCGAGAAGGCAGTAACTTTTTTCGAAAAACAACATCTATATGAAACTTTAAAACTATAATTTTATTTAAAGCCTGTTGGGAGTTGCTGTACCATTTCAAGTTCTGTGTCACTTTCTTGGATGGATAGTGAACTACAAAGCTGAAAATTCCCACTGGTTTAAGCTACCAACTAAGTAGGCCACATTTAGAGACAAAGAGCATCACTTTGACAAGGTGAGACCAAAGTGCAAGTTTCATGTCTGTAATATTACCCTGCATAAAACAAGTGTTAACAGCTTTCTCTCTTGGAAAGCCAAGCAGCCAGATTGATTACAATGATCTAAGAACTCAAAAAAACAAAACAAAATGCCATTTTGACATTTTGGCAGGTGGTCTCCACACCTCAAAATGAATATTGTATAGCTGGAAAAGGTTCAGAAAAGGGCAACCAAAATGATCACGGAGCTGGAACAATTCCCTTATGAGGGAAAATTACAACATATGGGGCATTTTAGTTCAAAAAGTAAGCAAGCGGGGTGGGGGCGGAACATAATATAGGAATATGCTTAAAGTGTAGAAAGCACACAGACATAACTTTTTTCTTTCTCTTCATAATGCTAGAACCTTGGCCCAGCTACTGAAGCTGCATGCTGGAAAATTGTAGCTAGACAAGGAGATACCTCTTCACACAGTGCATATAATTAGACTATTAAATTCACTACTATAAGATGTAGTAATGGTCACCAGCTTCAATGACTTTAAAAGGATTTTAGAGAAATTCATGGAGGATATCAATGGCTTCTGTGTGCTACCTCCAGTATCAGAGGTGGTATGTCTCTGAATACCAATTGCTTGAAAGCACAAGTATGGAATGTGCTATTGCTCCCATATCATCCTTGAGGGCTTCCCATGGACATCTGGACAAGATGGGCCTTTGGTCCAATACAGCATGACTTTTAGGCACTTATTACAAATGATTTTATTTCTATTATATGTCAAGGTTCAATATGATGCCTACAGACCAACTGAAATGATGGACCTTTTCATAGACCCTATTATTGAGCTTAGTAAAGGTAAAGGGACCCCTGACCATTAGGGTTAGGATTAGGTCCAGTTGTGGCCGACTCTGGGGTTGCGGCGCTCATCTCGCTTTACTGGCTGAGGGAGCTGGCATACAGCTTCCGGGTCATGTAGCCAGCATGACTAAGCCGCTTCTGGCGAAACCAGAGCAGCGCATGGAAACACCGTTTACCTTCCCACCGGAGTGGTACGTATTTATCTACTTGCACTTTGACGTGCTTTCAAACTGCTAGGTTGGCAGGAGCTGGGACCAAGCAACGGGAGCTCACCCCATCGTGGGCATTCAAACCACTGACCTCCTGATCGGCAAGTCCTAGGCTCTGTGGTTTAACCCACAGCACCACCCGCATCCCCATTTAATGAGCTTAGGCATGATTTAATTTCACTGGCATCTCAATCATATGCCATTTATCAGCCCCTACTATTAGCAGCAGTTACCAACCACATACATGAATGCATGCATGCATGCACAGAACAGAAACTGAGAGGAACAGCGTTGAAGAAAAAATCTCACCTACACTCATCAGCAAGGGCCACTTTAGATATTTTAAGAAGCAATGACAGAGGAAGAGTGTATGATTCTTCCACACATTTCCCTTTAGGAGATAGTCACATTGCCCCTCATTAAATTTAGCACTTTTAAAGTAAAAACTTAATATTGCCAACTTGGTAAAATGAGACTTTCACATTATTTTTAGTTGATCATAGATCAATCTTATGCCATCTCATCACTTAACAGGAGAAGGCAAGCCTGGATGTTGTTAAAGGCAAGTCATGATAGATTTATAGTAAATTCTGTTTATTACTATGATCAGCTAACCTATAAGCCTCTACACACCTCCCTATAGTAAGCCTTACACAGTGGAGATTAAAGGTAAAAGGTAAAGGTACCCCTGCCCGTACGGGCCAGTCTTGACAGACTCTAGGGTTGTGCGCCCATCTCACTCAAGAGGCCGGGGGCCAGCTCTGTCCAGAGACACTTCCGGGTCACGTGGCCAGCGTGACATCGCTGCTCTGGCGAGCCAGTGCAGCACACGGAAACGCCGTTTACCTTCCTGCCAGTAAGCGGTCCCTATTTATCTACTTGCACCTGGGGGTGCTTTCGAACTGCTAGGTTGGCAGGTGCTGGGACCAAGCAACGGGAGCGCACCCCGCTGCGGAGATTCGAACTGCCGACCTGACGATCGGCAAGTCCTAGGCACTGAGGTTTTACCCACAGCGCCACCCGCGTCCCACACAGTGGAGATTACTTCCACGCAAATAGGCATAGGCTTGCACTGCAAGTATCAATAAATTCTATGGAAAGGCTATTATAGAAAGAATGATTTAGCAGCTGGGAGGATGCACACTTAAAATGAAGGTTATTGTCAAGCTTTTGAACTAAATATGTAAAATACCCTTCCTTCAATCCTGCATCATTTTTAAAAGACAAGACAACAGTCCATTTGAATTTATAAAATACACTGAAGATATGCAGACTGTTCATTTTACCGCAAGGACAACAGAAGAGTACTGCTGTCACAAAAGGTGGTTAAAAGAAATTACATTCTGTCTGTGTTATTACATTCTGTCTATGTTAACTTCATTAACTGCACAATCCTAATCATGTCTATTTAGAAATAAGGTCTACTGAATTCAATAGGACTTATTCCCAATTAAGTGGGGTTAGGCTAGCATAATTCTCTCTGGCTATTGATAAGAAACATTCTTGGGCTCCATTAAAATCATTATTTTCTTGTATAAATTAGAAAGTGATGATTTTTCTTTTCTTTTTTTAAAAACAAACCTTTCAGGAATTCATTTAAGCTTCTTATAAGTTATTTGATCCGGTATGCCACCTGTTTTACAATGAGAAATATTTTTTTCTTTTGAGATGAGAAAAAATCAAGCAGAATATTCCGAGAACCTTGTTTTCATTATTCTTGCAACATTATTCTTGCAAAAATACCATGGACAGTGCCAAAGTTCAGAACTGGAGGAGGGAGGTCCATAATTGTGAACCTAGGTGCATTCAGCTTCTTTTGAGCTGAACACAAGCTCTACATGAGATTTCCCCAGTGCCATCACTTCCCATCACTGCAAATGCCTCTTTTCATTCCCTCTTTTAACTGACAATATCTTCATTACACTATGGCTGGCATCTGGAACGGCAGTCATCCAAGTACCAAGGATCCTGGAAATGTAATTTCTCGGGACATCTGACAGACAATTTTAAGAACTTAGTAAGGCACCCTGGAAATTTTGATTGATCTGTTAGATTTGTTACCTGCTCTTCACCCAAAGACCCTGACAGGTTATATAAAAAGATGAAATGCATGCATGCATTCATAGTAAAAGCAGCAAAGGTGGCGGCATCAGTAAATATCTCACCCTATCCCTCCCAATACCTGGATAAAAAGGTGCATCTTGACCTACTGGCAAAAGCTGTATAGTGACACTGTAATACATAGCTCAGATGGAAGACAGACAGACAGACAGACAGACAGACAGACACACACACACACACTTCCAGTTGCTCCATCTGCACAAGCATTTCAACTTGCCAAATGGAACAACCCCCCTTCTTCTCCCCCTGAAAGCCAATTTGAAAGGCGGACACACATGAGGGAAGGGGAAACCCCACTGCACAAGTGGAAGTCCTTGAGCGGAGCTGCTGCTGACAAGGTTGCTTATGTGAATCCCACCCAAATTCTTCATACAGAGATACTGCTTTTAATAAAACGGACCCTCTGTGGAAAAGATACCCAATCTGGATGTCTCTATACCAGCCTTAACCAAACTGGTGCCCTCCAAACCTAAACCATGATGCCTTCTTAATAAAGATGTGCAACTGTTTCCATAGTTAAAACAGTTCCTGTTTGGGAGGAACTGTTGGGAGTTGTAGTCCCAAACATCCAGGCGGCACCAGATTCATCCCTGAAGATATTGAGTGAGTTCTCCAACGGGTACAAACGCCCCATGGAAAAGATAACAAAGCTACACAACTCCACAGGAATAAGAATGGACTGAAGGTTGTTTGATCAACGGAGACTTTTTAACACTGCTTCGTTGCATGATGCTTGCTTTTTGATGTCCAGCATATGACAAGATGGGAGGAGGGTGAAGCATCCCCTTGCCTCTGCTGCCAAAATAACTTGAGCTAGCCATAGTCATCAAATGTCTTTGACTTCTTAAAAGGCAGAAGGCCATACTACCAAATGTACACTAGGTGCTGAAGTGGCCATAGGTTTTATACTAGTAGGATAAAATTGAACTTGTGTTTGTCTTTACTTACCCCTGAGGACACATGCATCCTGAAAAACAAGGAAGATGTGCCGATATAGTGAGGTTTAGCAGTTGGTTTTCACATGTTCTCTCCCTGCCAAGCTCCATAGTTTGTGGGTTACTGCAGTTTACATAGATCTGGTCATCTGGACAGTCATGAACTACAGCAATAGAAGACACACATACATCATATTTAGTTTGCTCTTTACCATAAAACCCAAAGCACCCTCTTTAAAGCTAAAGCCTAGCCAGATTCCTCCATTTTGTATTTATACATTTGGTCTTCAGTCCTACACATCTAATTCTTTAGAGAGTTTTTGTCCCTCTCTCATCACACTAAGAACTCCAGGCCATCTGATGAAACTGACTGGAGGAGAGTCATGACTCACGATGGACAACTGAAACTACTTCCTCACACATTTCATCATTAATTTATGGAATTTGCTGTTATGGGTTGTGGTCGTGGGCAGGCCAGTAGTTCATATGATTTTAAAAGAGGTTTAGACAAATACATGGAGGAGAAATCTATCAGGGACTACTAATCATAACTGCTGTGTAGAACCTCAAGGTTTAGAGTCAGTATACCCCTGACTACCAGTTACTGGGGAACAAACCAAAACAGCACACTAAAAATGAGCAAGATAATCCAAACCACAGTCGAGAAGTGGCAAGTCATGACAGAGAGGCCGAGCCAATAGCCCGCATCCACAGTCCCATCACTCACAGGAAAGAAAGCAAAGGTAGACAAAGCGCTGTGCCAGCCTGAATAGCACTGAGCTCAGCTTGAGATCCATTGGGTCCCGGTCTGGCTCAGGCCTCCCCTTAGAAAATTCCTGCCCATGTTTGATGGGTATAACAGGGAGCTCTAGCTTTGGCATGGCTAGGACTCTACGAGGGAACTCTGGGTTAAATAACATCTTTATGTTACATACCAATGTTGTTTTCCTCACAGTTCATCATTCCATCTCTGCAGTGGCTGAAACAAAAATGCAAGAAGTCAGGACCATCAGAATCTTTTTGTATAAACCCCAAGGAATCTGGTCAGAGTTCTTCAAAGAAAAGAATGGTGGCAGTACTGTACATACATGCTATTTTCCCTCTGATTTCCCTTTTAAGAAACTCTTGCACCAGATTTCCCAGGATTCTTTGGGGGAGGCTATGTGCTTTAAATTGAGTATTAAAAGGTAAAGGGACCCCTGACCATTAGGTCCAGTCGTGGCCGACTCTGGGGTTGCGGCACTCATCTCGCTTTACTGGCCGAGGAAGCCGGCGTACAGCTTCCGGGTCATGTGGCCAGCATGACTAAGCCGCTTCTGGTGAACCAAAGCAGCACACGGAATTGATTATTAAAGGTGCTTTAAATCTATGGTGTGGATATGACCCAAGTCACAAATCAAATTAATATTTCAGACCTCAATACATACAGTATTGAGCAGGTGAAAAAAGATGGGGCCACAAGGGAAGCCATCGTAAAAAATCATTCTTAGCCCTCCAGAAGCATAGCTAGTGAAGGCCCATACAGACAGGGCAGCTGCAGGAGCAGAAGGGAAGAATGCAGTGGAAAGGGATAGTGCCATCTTTTAAAGCAACACCAATGCTCTCTCCCTGTGGCTGATCTCTGTTCCAAAGTCAGAAGGGATGGGGCAAACCCAGTGTCTGCTAAACACAGCAGCATAAAATTCTGCCAGATGGTATGCGTGGCAAAACCCACAGAACATTAGAAACTGCCCTTTCTGTGGGAATAGCTTACCATTTGCCCAAAGACGTGATTATGTTTTCTCCAGGTGAATAGTCAATACCCTGAAAATAGCAGGGACATTCATTTCTATAAAGGGGGAAAAATAGAAAATTTGTTTCCATGGAAACAACACAGACTCCCCCTGTTATAAAGATGCATTCACTTTATAAATAGTTATTAACATATTAACAAGTATTCTTGTCAATCACTGTATATTGGAAAGCATTCCTATCCCTGTACTATCCACAGCCAATAATAAATAACAAATGGCAGAGCCTATGGACAAGCATTTATGTTTCCCCTTCAGCAGTAATCCATGCTGGTCACAAAATATATTTTTTAAGGAAAACAAAATGAATAGGCTGTGACAATCAGAAACCTCAATAAATTACCTCACAAGACTGCAGGATGGTGCAAATTTGGTAATCTTCAGTAAACTCTGAACACTAAAAAATTCACATGGAAACATGGCACAACAGGCTCTTTGGAGCATGAGACAAAAATGGACTTAATCTGCTCATCCATTCCCAGGTGAGGGTCCAGAAATGCTTAGCTCTATCACAGAATTGTGTGTGGGTTCCTATATATACATATCTTGCTCAGCACTATTGCCTGTTTCTTCACTTGGTAAACGTGAAGCAAAAGCAGACAGTCTTGGAGGGGCCATTCTAGTGCACTCTCTCATACTTTGAGGCAAAACTGACAGAAAAGTTTGGCCACCCCAAGTTTACAACCATCACATATAAGCATCAACAAACCCTACTATTCCCACTGCTGGCTAAATGCAGCATGTCCCCCCCCCCCACTGCCGCCGCCTCTTTAGTTCTGCAGTTCATTTCATGTCTGAAAGTTAAAGCAATTTCTCAGCTGGTCCCTTAAATCTGAAAATATACTTTTACAAAGTGGATGGTGTCAGCACTACAAATTATACCTACTGTTGCACACATCTGTCAGTTTTGATGTTCAGATACATTCCAAGAGGACAGGTGCAGCCTTCAACACAATCATCACTGCACGTCTCTGGCACAGAGAAAGCTTGGCAGGATCTGCCACAAGTAGATACACAGGTACTGTACTCCTTTGTATCTTCACATGAAAGAGCTAAGCAAACGAAACAGACTTCTCATATTACAAGCCAAACGCATAAAAGGCAATCCACTCTCAAAGGCCTGTAACACATTTCATCCCACACACTGGGATGGCTTCTTGCATGCTTACTTGGAAATAAGTCCAACTCACTCTCTGGAAAATGTGCACAGAACTACAACCTAAGCCCAAGTTTAGTTAGCCCTAAATCATATCCTTGTGTATTGCTGGCTGTGAAGTGTTTACACTTTTACTACACAAAGAAAATTATTTATTTATTACGCTCTCAACATTTAGTGTAGGCCTGAATCTTTTCCCCCCCCACTAAGACCCCCTTAGGTTACTTTACACAGCCACCAAGTACTGTAAACTAGACTTGCAAATCACATTTGATCCCACTTACATGGCTAACTATAACTGTGTCATTTAAACAAGAAAAATAGAAAAATAAACGGGGGAAAGTGAGCTTAGTTTGGAGGAGTGAACCAAACAGAAATTTTCCTTAATATATTTAAATAGGAATGGCTTGGACCAAAGGTACCCTTCCACTATTAGTGGAACAAATCATCCACAAATGGAAGGTCTGTTTCCACCCTAGCATGACAAAATCACCCCAAATATAGAGAAGTTCTTCTATTTGTGCAAGACTTGTACAGCATCTTTTTTGAGATATTTTTATAGCATACTATAATTTATATACTAGACTGTATGACCGTATCCCTGGTTCTGCTTTGCACCATATCTATGTGTTTTTACCTAGCTTGAATATGTCACTTAGCTGTGATCATGCCCCTTGCTTGCCTGGATGAGACAAGTTGTTGAGGAGGGTGTAGAAAAAACTGGTTTTTGCATGGCTGGAATGTAGCATACTGTAAAACAGTAAGAGTCATATTCATTGCTCTGCCCATTTTTGCCTGTGGACCTGCATGTGTGCCCCAGAATATTGTTCACAGGAGAATGCAGTGCTTGGTTCCCAACCCAGCTTCACAGTTTGGGCTTTCTTCATTACCATGTTTCTCATCTAGTCATGTATCACTTTGATCTACTGTAGCACACGGTTATTTCAATCTAACCATGTGCATTCAATTTGGATATCCAGCAAATGATTTATCCAATTTAGATTAGTCTTGAAATGTACACAAGATGTCAGACAGCCATTAAATTAATTACATGCTGAACAATAACTTACCACATTCTGGGACGTAACTCCGAAAGTCTATCACCACTCCATATCTGTGGCACAGGTGGGCATAATGGGACAGAGCGGAGCACATGCAGATCTGCCCACATTTACAGGTATCTCTTCTGCACTGTTCAAAATAGGGGAGAGGACTCAGGTAGGAGAAGCATGGGGCAAAGAGTTCTTTTGTAATGATGCCGCAAGCTTCTGTTGCATAAGTGGCTGTTAAAGTAAATGATAATAAAATAACCATGTTAGAGTCTCCAAATTTAATAGCAAAGGCTTTCTTCTGTGGAACAAACATTACTTTTTACAGCTTATCTGATTCAGCCATAGATAAGCCACAGCCAACTGCAGAACTCTACAACTGACTACAGTCATTTTTATGGGAATTTTCCAAATGGCAATCACTATTAATATTTCTCTTCAGTTCATCAGATATAAATTTTATTACTATATTTTCAGTAAATAAAGCTCAGTCAGGGTCATGATATTGATTACATATATTATCGTTGTTTTATATTACTTTTTCTACACAATCCTTGACAATAATAAATCATGAAATGCATTTTTTGTCAGCTGCACAACTGATAGATGAAAACTCAAACGAAATATAATCAGCTGGCTAAAATGACTTAAAACACAGATATGCTTAATTAGGAATACTAATAAGAATGCCTTTCCACACTCCCTTCGACACACACACAACATCATGCTCAAAGTGGCTTACAAGAAAGAGAACAGCAATACCTCTCAAAGTCAACAATATCAAAATCAATTTCATAACCGGAGTAATAAAACAACATCATGGTAGCTAATGTACCAACATACACACCAAAAAAATTTCAATACTGTGGGTTATTCAGGATCAGAAATTTAATGGATCACCACTGAGTAAAAGTTAATTGAATATGACCCTATAAAAGCAACAACATTTTGCTGCTGGCAATAGCAGAAACTACAAGGGAGCTTGAAAGTTTCATTTTGGTACTAGAAACATTCCTCCCATGATGTTGCTCACAATTCCTCTCCTGCAACAGCTTCTTATAATGCTTCCAACCCCATCATCAATATCTGTCTATAATATCGTCCCACTTACCTGATTGTAGATGAATATCACATGGATCCACTGGTGAATAATCATGCTCAAGACCACAGGCAGATGAAGTTTTCCAGGAATTTCCAAAAAGCTGTGGCGTACTTTCTGGCACTCCTACTGGAGATCTTTCCCCCATTTAAAAAACAACAACAAAACAATGTCACAAAAATGATATACTTCAAATATCAAGTACAAACAACAGTAATTCAAAATCATGGTGTTGTCTCATTAATTTCAAGATACTATGTACTGGATTCATTGTGGTTTATTTTCTTTTATTTCTTTTATTTATATCCTGCCCATCTGACTGGGTTACCCCAGCCACTCTGGGCTGCTTCCAACAAATTAAAACACACTAGGGTAAGTCTTCCTCTTATGCATTCTATATTTTGTACTTCTCTATAGGAAAATACTTATTAAATTAAATATTTGTGGATTAAAATAATTTGAAAGGACATTTAAGTGGAGCTTTCTTGCTCCCAAGAATCAGACCCTTGAAAGTAACAAGATATATTATTACAAGATCTCTCTTCTGGGTTGAATTTCTTCAACATTATTATTATTTCATTAATACTAGGTTTGCTAATCAAATTTTATATTTTATTCTTCTAATAAATAGCTACTATGTTTTTCTATACTGTTTGGGGGGGTGGAATCAATATTCATGAAGACAGATGTATTTTTTAAAAATGTTAAGGATACATACAAAAAATCATCTTGCATATTTCCGTTGAAGGTCCCACAAAGTCCTATGGTATCATCTTTCCATTGAGCATCAGCTTTGAGATAGAGCCTCAAACCCTTCCAGTCATACAGTATTTGTAATCCAATATATGACTTTATTTGCAAAAATACAGAGGAAAGTTTCCGTATTTCAAAAGCGTCTAGTAGATAAACATTGCAGAAAAAATGTATTAATAGTAATCTACAATATTATCAAGAGATCAGGAGTTGCTTTTATTCTTCACAATGTGTTTAATGTTAGTTGCAAATTAACCTCCTAATCTCTACTTGAATTTAGCCCAAATAAAATTGTTTTGCGGAGATCAAAATATACTCTATTTTACACATGCCATGAGCCCTCATCACCACCACCTTTTCCAGGTGACAAGTGGTGACAGGAGGTTCTCAAGGAAGTCTAGATACTATGAGCACTTTTCAACACCACAATGTATCCTTGTGGGTAGCAGCAGTGGGGGTGCTGATGAAGGGTTGACTGTTAAACTCTCAATGATGGAACTGACAGCAAGATAAGATCTGGAAAGAATCAAGCTAAAATAATTGCTTTGGATAATTTGTTGTTCATTGAAGCCTCCTAAAAATAATTTGTTGCTCAAGCTGATTCAGGCTGAAGATAGCTTGTCCATCAGTAAAAAGGCTTCCTTTGTGTATATCGCTTAGTTCACCTATCTATATCAAGTGTGGGAAACCTTTGGCCTTCCAGATGTGGATGGACTGTAACCCCCATCAGGCCCAGCAAGCATGGCCAATGGCCATGGATGATAGGAGTTTTAGTTCAGCAGCATCTGGAGGACCACATCTGATCTACATGGTGAGATGAAAGGGAGTGAGTATACAACTAACATCTGGTTCCAGGGGTACCATGAGATGATGTAGATATTAGAGGAAGGAAACAGAGGGTTAAGTGAAGCTATAGGAGAAGAAATAAAACCAGAATGATTGACATGATGGAATTAGGGCATGATATGTAGACATAATTTAAATCATAGCATTTTCACTGTGGCTAAGTGTTATTTATTTTACTTACCATCAATATAAGGCAGATTTACTTTGTACTGATCATATACCAAAACATCTCCTGAATGGGTCAGAGTCACTTGCCTCTTGGAATCTTGATTGAGAATAAGACTGACTGACTGGATACATGCTCCATCTTGATTCTGGAAATAAATTGAAGAGTAGAATTGTAAAATAAGCTTGGGTTTAAAACCTATTTGCCTTTTGGTAGAATTTGACAGGTGCAGAGCAGGAAAGGATCTCCTGGGAAAGTCACTGGTACACAAAAATCAGTTAATAATTTGCTTGGAGATTTTACATACCACAAAATGCAGTGCTATGAAAATGAGAACACCCAGTAAGATGAAATTTATAATTTAAGAAGATAAGAAGAGCCTGCTGGATCAGGCCAATGGCCATCTAGTCCAGCATCTTGTTCTCACAGTGGCCAACCAGATCCCATGGGAGACCCGCAGGCAGCTCATGAGCACCAGAACACTTTCCCCTCCTGTGGTTTCCAGTAACTGGTATTCAGAAGCATACTGCTTCCAACTTCTATAGTGGCAAAGCAAGTTTCAAGACTCAGATAGACATGAGCTGAGATATATACCCTAGATAAGGTAGAAATGTCCATATCTGAAAGGTAAAGCACATGCCTTGTACAGTGGAACCTCAGGTTGCAAATGTGATCCATGAACCCGCAGCGTTTGCAACCCGCAGCACCGCGTCTGCGAACATGCATGATGCAATTCGGTGCTTCTGCACATCTGCAAAGCTCAATTTAGTACCTGTACTTCTGGGTACTTGGTACTGGTACTTCCGGGTTTGGCGCGTCCGGAACCCGAAAACACAAACACAAACCCACAGCGATTGCAACCCGAGGTATGACCGTACACAGAAGATCCCATGGTTAATTATTGGCAGCTACTGTTAAAAAATGGCCAGGTAGCAAGTGAGAGAAAGACTTCTGCCTGAGACCCTGTACAGTCAGTCAGGCCAGACAGTACTGGAACTAGGTGGACCAATCATCTGGCCACATACAGCAGCTTCCTATGCCATTTTCAAGATGTCCAATCAAATATAAAAGCAAGCCCTTAAATGTTAAGAGCAGTAGATGAATATGGGAGTATATATTGGCTACATATATCTGTGTGTGCATATGCATATTGTCTAAAATAGGCTATAAAATCCTGGCAATAATTCTCTGATCCAATGAATTGTTTCTTTCATAACATTGACTCCGCTAACTATCAGCAGCTGCCTTCTCATGAACTGTACCTCACTCATCACCAGACACTTAATAGAAATTCCTATATTAAAATATCCTTCTCATCATAACTAACCACAAAACCTAGTGATACTGTCATTCGAGACTCAGATAAGGCTAAGCTATGCTGATCACTTGACTGATCCTCTTTCAAAAAGTGTTTAAAGCTAAATTTTACATCATTCCAAACTCACTTGCTGTGTGATGATTGCTTTTGTCACCAAACCTGAGGTTCTAAGTGACTGTACTCTTTGTGATTCAATGAGTCAAAAACCTGTTCAGGTGCTATCTGGCTGTTGCTGGAGGTGTTTTTCTTTTTCAATACAGTAATCTGCTTTATTGCGATAGAGCTCTAGCATTTTAATGAACATTTCTCAGTAACTCTACAGAAATTCAAAGCTCAGGAAAAAAATCAAGACACTGAAATAGAGTAATTTATGCTAATGTCTAATAAAAAATGCAACATTTCCTTATCTCACAATTTGGTGTTTCTACATAAGACACTTTAAGCAACCATTTTCAAAAATGACAACTAGAAACCAAGCATTCAATATTACAGTTTATTAGATTATTCACAAATCAATGAATCGTGGTTGTTGTTAAAAGCACAGTTTAACTGAATCAATCCTTGTGAGTCAACGCCTTGTGCCTTGAGATTTTGTCGCTTCAAGTTTTCGCTAGACTGTGTTTGATCAACAATTAGAAAAGAAAATGCTTGCAAAGTGATCATGGCATCTCCCCTGCCAGGTAAGTGGCTTTGTTGGAAGAAAAAGTGCTTTATTGTATATCCTCACAGAGACACTAACAGGTTATTAAAGTGGTATGTGTGCAGCTATGGACTCTGTGCAGGCGCTTGGGAGATTATATGCCATTCTAAAACTGCCTTTCTAAGGCGCTCTAGATCTTAACAATGAACAGTGTATCCTTTGTTGGACTTGCCATCTGCAAGACGAGTTGAACGTAGAAAGCATATTATTACGGTATATTACCATATTATTAAAACATTTTACTGAAGTCAGGGGTAGCTAATACAGTGCCCTCCAGGTGGAATACAACTCTCATCATCCTTGACCATGCTAGCTGTGACTGATGGGAATTGTAGTCCACCAGCATATGGAGAGCACTACAGCGGCTATCCATGACTTAAGTAGAAAACTATAAACCTTAGAGGAACTAGATAAAAAGTCAATATTTTCAGAACCTATAAATAGAGATAAAAAGAGCAAATATTTCTTTTTTTACAAAAAAAATATCAGGTGAAATAATTCTACACCTCCCTTGGCAAAAGGTTTCAACACTGTACTGTTGACTATTTCTTTACATAACCTCCTGTTACAACACCACAGGCACCATTAGCCAACCAATCCCAGCATTTGACATATGCTTTCTGGGGAACAGATTAAAATCGTGCTTACTGGCTTCAGCTTTATATATTCGTCCATTGTTTGAACTAACTAACCTCAATTTTCTGAATGACACAAACACTCAAAAAATTGGCACTACTCACATACTAGCAAAAAGGGTGAAAATTCCCTGCCAATGACAGCTCTGAAACAAGGACTCCAGTCTAAGGACCCATATGTTACATCTACTCTTTTCATAGAACCATTGAAGAATAATGAGAATTACCTTACTGGATCAGCCAAAACCTGCCTACTCCAGCATTTAATTTTCAGTAACATCCAGTCCTCCTGCTGTCTACCCTGTAGTGGAGGTTAAGGCCCACCCAGGAGCCTCCTTCATATCACAGGGCCACGACTCAGTGCAGAGAAGGTGTTTTGCATGCAAAAGTTACAGATTCAATCTCCAGATAGGTCTGGGAGAGACCCCTGTCCAAAGCCTTGGAGAGATGATGCCAGTAAGTAGAGAAAATACTAAGCTAGGTGGGCCAATGTTCTATCTCAGTATAAGACATATTCTTATGTTCTTAACAGGAAAAGAAATCACTAGCTCTATGTGGAGCTACCTTTGAAGGTGACCCAGAAACTACAACTAATCCAGAATGCGGCAGCTAGACTGGTGACTGGGAGCAGCCGCCAAGACCATACAACACCGGTCCTGAAAGACATACATTGGCTCCCAGTATGTTTCCGAGCACAATTGAAAGTGTTGGTGCTGACCTTTAAAGCCCTAAGCGGCCTCGGCCCAGTATACCTGAAAGAGAGTCTCCACCCCCATCATTCAGCCCAGACACTGAGGTCCAGCGCTGAGGGCCTTCTGGCGGTTCCCTCCCTGAGAGAAGTGAGGTTACAGGAAACCAGGCAAAGGGCACTCTCCGTGGTGGCGCCCGCCCTGTGGAACACCCTCCCATCAAATGTTAAATAAACAACTATCTGACTTTTAGAAGACATCTCAAGGCAACCCTGTTTAGGGAAGTTTTTAATGATTGATGTTTTACCGTGTTTTTAATATTCTGTTGCGAGCTGCCCAGAGTGGCTGGGAAAACCCAGCCGGATGGGCCGGGTATAAATTAATTAATTAAATTATTATTATTATTAAAATAAAGTCATAAGAAAGCACATGTGCTATTTGCTATCCACCTTTTGCCACTGGATATTCAGAGACAGTTAGCTTTTTAAGTTCTTGAGAAATGTCTGCACAGTAATTTCTCACCACACAGATACACATAAACTGAAGGGACCTAACCTAGGACCTTCTACATCCACTGAGCTATGGTCCTTCCCCAAGGAAATTAGAACTGGTTCCAAAGATAACCTTCCATGAATGGGAGGAATCTTTCAGTGAATGAAAAGTTCCTTCCATTCACCAAAGGGAAACTTATAAATTGAAAGTTTAGTTTAATCTTTTTGATAATGCCAGTTAAGTACCCACACTTGATGCAGTCCAAACATTTGCTCTTACAGTCTTACCTGTCCACAACGAGCATTTTGCAGAGTCACAGCAAATTTTCCGGAGGTGAGACTTTTTGCCAGAATATATTGGCAAGTGGCTTGAAAAGTATACTTGCGCCCATCAAATGTCATGAAGTGAATATCTCCTGAGACTGAACATTCAGCTAAAAAAGGGGGGGGATAAAGTGTTTCAATATGTTACCAAAATATTCTGTGCTGCTAGTAATGTATGATATTAAAGTCGCAATAGTGAACAAAAAGCCTGAAGGAATTAGTGATTACAGTTTGCATTCTGGGAGCTAATAATCCTTTTAAGCATTTATATGCTGCTTTCCAGGTGTAAATAACTAGGAAAGATTGGAAAAATAATCAGACATCAATATTAACACTTGGATCACATGCAATATACCCAGCATAAAATATTTGAATGAAATATCTGAGAGCAGACATACCTGGACAGGTAAGGTTTGTGCAAATCCATTTTCCTCCAGCACATGTACTGAAAACAGAAAGAATTATTTGATGTTTTAAGGCTGTTGGCACAGCCCTTATGTGGCAATTGGAAGTAACAGTTGTAGGACTGCAAAGGAAATCTTATAGTGAATGCTTCAATTGATACCACGTCATGAAACCATGAAAAGGCAGAAGTAGGGGCAGAGCCCAGCACTCTGATTGAAATTATGCCACAAGTCTCAGAATGCAAGATACACCTGGGGAACACTAAGGAAAATGAATGGGCATTTTGATGTTAATGGAGGTTTGACACAGGTCTTAAAGGTTGCATAATTGCAGACCCATAAATTGTGTTTAGGTTAAAGTTTTGAATAGGCCACATCACAGAATGCTCAGCCACAAAATAATAAATTAATAATAATAATAATAATAATAATAATAATAATAATAATAATAATAATTTATACCCCGCCCATCTGGCCGGGCCTCCCCAGCCACTCTGGGCGGCTTCCAAAAAAAATACTAAAATACTGCAATACATCAAACATTAAAAGCCTCCCTAAACAGGGCTGCCTTCAGATGTCTTCTAAAAGTCTGGTAGTTGTTGTTCTCTTTGACATCTGGTGGGAGGGCGTTCCACAGGGAGGGCACCACTACCGAGAAGGCCCTCTGCCTGTTTCCCTGTAACTTGGCTTCTTGCAGTGAGGGAACCGCCAGAAGGCCCTCGGTGGTGGACCTCAGTGTCCAGGTAGAACAATGGGGGTGGAGACGCTCCTTCAGATCTAAGTAAATCTCTCAAAGCTAAGTAAATCTCTCAAAGTAATGATGGAAACATCCTCCCTATGTTGTGAGGTTCAGCAAGCCTATCACAACCAGGTGACTGCAAGTACAGCATCTTCCTCACCGTCCTGTCAGCACTTATTTAAAAACTCAAGCATAGATTGTATGATAAGGAGAAGAGTCTGGGAATTTGCAGCTTGAAACCTTCATGCACCAAAGGCATGCAAAAGAACTGGTCACCATATTTAGTACGCAAAACCATTAAAATTAAGATTAATCCACAAAATTACAAATGGCAAAAGGAAAGAGAAAGCACCTTTCTATGAAGGTGTATGCTTTATAAAGTAAGGACTGGTATATATGCTAAGGCTTATATATTGGACATTGTTTAGGGAATTTGTGCTATATTAAAGGGAACAAATATATGGAATGTTACTAACCAGTTGTTGCATTCTTCATGAACCACAGCACCAGTTCTGAAGACAGATCCGTGATAATCACAAGGGCATTCTGATGGCCTTACACATAATTTGTTTTCATAAATAAGTCCTAAAATGAACATTTGACAATAAGAACAAAATTAGAGCCATATGCTTTGAAAAGGATTGTTAAAAAACTGCCTAGTACTTCTAGCTAGAAAATGAAGATGCGATAAATTATATTTAAAATCCTTGTGTATGTTTCCTCATTGCATCTTATACTGCAAAGTTTAATGGTATAATAAAAAACAAAAGCAAACAGAAGGTTAAGATGTATTATGAAACAGTTAAAAGCTGCTTTTGTCATAAAGAAAAAACAACTTGAGTTATAGACAGTTGCAGCCAGATACCAAAAATATTTTCACAGAAGTCCATTTGATTTCATAACATACTATCAAGTCAATATAGAGCATGCTATCACTTAGCCTCTCAGCTGAAGCCTGCTTTCTACAATGTCACACCAAGTTTTGTAAGGCTTACTCCCAATAAGTCCGTCCCCAATGCTGTCTAATATCTATACATAGCCACTGGGTGCTGTCATTAAGAGTTTTGGAGCAAGGCTGGATTACTATAATGGGCTCTATGTGGGGCTGCACTTGGGTCTGGTTTGGAAACTCCAGCTGGTGCAGAATGCTGCAGCCAGATTGCTGAGGGGAGCTTCTGGTCAAGAACATGTGACACCATTGTTAAAACAGCTGCACTGTCTGACCATCTGCTACTGATCCAGGTTCAAAATTCTGGCACTGATTTACAAAGCCCTGAACAACTTGGGTCCAGGATACCTCAGGGATCGCCTGAACCCTTTATAGTCCAAGCTCGTTCATAGACTTCTGCTCTGGAGGCTCCTCCAACTCTCTGTAGCAGACTTAGAAAAGGCAGAGAATGTGCATGGGAACAAGAGAAGAGAGGAAAGTTCTATTGCACAAGAGGAAATCCTTGTATTGACAGGAAATGTTAGTTGAATACCACCCATTGCCTCTAGAATGAACCCATCTGGTTTTCTTGACAATATCTGGAGTGTGACTTAATTACTGTGTCTTGTAGATTGCAGAAAGGCCATAAGCTCCTGAAAGGCCACAACTTCTAACAAAATTCCACCCCAAAACTGCATTACCATCTGGACAATAGCATCCATCAACACAGGGCAGTTCACTGTCAACACAATGAGTTTTTTGCTGACATGAAACTGGGCAGCAGTCAATGCATTCATTGTAGACAAGATGCTCCTCACATTTAATGACTGAAAAACAGAAGAAATGAAGAAATGTTAAATGATTTATGCTTCTCCTTCCTGGGGTGGAAAATTGATGCTACTTTAATTTTAATTTAAGCATCTAGTGAAGTGGTCTCCATGCAAAAGCATATACTGGTTAGTCTTAAAGTCTGAACTTGCATACAATAACCAATTAAGGTACAATATTTAAAAATGAGAAAACCAGCAGAAAGGGGAATAAACGATATGCAGAATATTTAGCCAGAAGATAGCATTCTAAAACCTTGTCATTGCATACCACATTCCTTAAATTGGGCCCGCCAGTTGTGGAGAGGTTTTCCTGCTTGAGCACAAGTCCTTGCATACTCAGTTGTGATTCGAGACCCCCCCCAGCACCCCAAAAAATGAAACAGTGACATGGGATTTTAGTTTAAGTAATTGGGCAAAATTTAGGCCACAACTTTATTGAATACAGAATGTGAGTAGTATTGACTTAGGCATTGGCATCATCACGGGGAATCCCTTAAAGGATGAACAACACCAGAGGGAGCACCGCCAGCGGGTCCTGACTGGCGCTCACCCCCGGTGTCCCTGTGGGGTCCTGGCAGTGGCGTAGTGTGGGGGTGCAGGGGGGGCCGGCCGCACCGGGCACAACATCTGGGGGGGGCGCGCTCGCACTCGCAGCTCTCTGCCCCTACCTGGGTCCATGGGTTAGGGGGTGCAAATTACTTGCCTTGCCCCGGGTGCTGACAACCCACGCTACGCCACTGGGGGCCTGGTATGGCTCTAGCCCCCTCTGCAGGCGTTTAGGACAAGACCCAGGCAAATCCCTAGATTTCTTTAATGGAATACCCTTGAGCTTGGAGGGGCAGGTGATGGCCCCACCTCCCCTCCCCATGATTGCTGATCCAATGCCTAATGGCCAAACCTTACAAAGTTGTGACGATTGCTACGGTGGTAGCTGAAAACCAAATGGCCCTGCCAATTTGCCAGATGGAAAAAATCCTACCAGGCCCCCATTGCAAAACAGGCAACCAACGGAGTCCATAGCAAGGCCAGATGAACCTATATTTAAAAATGAGAAAACCTGCAGAAAGGGAATAAACGATATGCAGAATATTTTGCCAGAAGATAGCATTCTAAAACCTTGTCATTGCATACCGCATTCCTTAAATTGCGCCCGCCAGTTGTGGAGAGGTTTTCCTGCTTGAGCACAAGTCCTTGCATACTCAGTTAATGCTCGACACAAAGTTGCATTATCAGCTCCTGACCTTAACACACACAAAAAATAAAATTGACACAGCCTTATTTTCACTGTTCTAATTAACCACAGTTTAGGACTGGCACAACACATAAAACTGCTGTTAAGCTAAAACAGAAGTGGAAGTTGCTAGTCCCTTCCCTGCAGCTAAACAAAGAGTAGAGACAGTGATTGCATTTGAGTACAAGTCATGCTGAGTCTTGTTTCCATAGCGCTAAGCCATGGCTTACTGCTAAATTATACCAATGATGAACATTCAAAATGCATATAATGTTTAAATCAATAAATATTTGGCTTTAACTCTACTGCCACTCATTCTATTATAACTAGAAATGGTACCACAAAGGACAGTCAGTCAAAACAGTGAGAAGAGAAGCATGCCCCCAAAAAGAGATGTATTTAATATTTGCAGAAACTTAATGGCCAGAATCCAAAGAACCCCATTCCCACAGCTACCATGGTGCCTTATGCACATTAAAAAGCTACTCCTAAAGATACTGCCTGGAATGGCATTCATCAGTATGAAGTGCTGCAACTAGAAGCTGAAAATCAGCACAGTCCCAGCCATACCAAGAAGTGTTTTAAGTGGACCTATCTGAATCCCAACCACTGACTGCTAATTTGGGACTTAGACACTTACATGCATAGATCATTTGTGCAGCTGGCCATGAAAGGAAATGGGCTCACAAATTCATGGCACTCTTTGAAAGGGCTCCCGAGCAGAATGCTGCAGAATGCATACGTCCTCTGAAAACACACAAAGAATTAGTGTGAAGGAAGAAGCTTTTTTAAAAAATGCTTTAAAAAAAACAAAAATAGTCCAGAAACTAGATCATCTGATAAGTATCCGGCCTTCAATTTTGAATCCAAAGTCTGACAGCAATGGTCCTAGAAAGATTGGCAAGGCTGCAAAGATATTGCTGAGTAGGAGGCTTGCACAAGGGGGATTGGGTTTTTTATTTTTTCTATGTCATGTTGCAGGTTCCTATGTCACATCTCACTCTGTGCCAGAGAGCCTACCAGGCACCCCCAAACTCGGCCCTCCAGATGCTTTGGGACTACAATTCCCATCATCCCTGACACCTGGTCCTGCTAGCTAGGGACCATGGGAGTTGTAGGCCCAAAACATCTAGAGGGCCGAGTTTGGCGGTGCCTGGCCTAGCCAGTCCTTAAGAGTGGGTTTCCAGGGAGGTACAGGGTGTTATATAGAGAAGGCAGGAATGCCACGATCCATGAATGGAGTACCATTCCATCAACAGGTTTTAGTTGAAGAGGCAGCATTGTGAATTCATATTTCATCTAGCATGTGAATTGTTTATATTTTAGGTTTCAAATGAGGTCTATCGGATTCAACACAGATGTATAATTTGTAATTAAACATACTCATATTACATTTCCATAATACATGCACTATACTGTATGTACGTTGACAGATTTTATTTGAATAAACACTAATAATTTTTTTCCCTCCAGGGCCAGTAGCAAACTGGTGGTATTTTTTTTCCTCATCCCTATGCAGGAAATCTAAAGCAGACTTGGTATGGGATAAGTTTTCTGATGAAACTGAAATATGGTAGCCAAAATTATGATGAACTTTTTCTTTGTCATTATGGACAGCTGTCTATGGAGACAAAAGCTCTTTCACAGATTTTAATACAAGTGAGGAAGAATTATCTGATTAAATTCTGGCACTAGATAACACAGGAATCCACTGGCTGGCTACAGGCTTTGAATGCTAAAATAGGAAACTCTGAATAATAATATCAAAGAATGAAATAAAAGGAGGAATTAAAAATAACTCAAGCATGATAAGAAATCTACTTAATCTATGAACCTTAAGCACTCCTCTAGGAAATAACATTTTCCACATATTTTGAGGTAGAGAGTAAAATCAGAAATGAACTTGAAAGCAGGAGGCAGATAGAATCTGAAATCATCTTCCATTTATACCCCAGCTAGCTCAATTGCTGTCATGTCAATTTCAGCCAGTATAAAGCCATGTGAGCCATCCAAAAACTATGTTTATTATGTAAGCAATGCATCACAGCTATTTAACTAGGAGTCTCAATCCCATAACTATGGGCAGCGGTTTCTTTTTGCAATTAGGAAGTCATTTATGTCATTTTTAAAATAAGAAGTTTCAGAATTCAGTCTCATACAAGTTTATGTCTTACATAAGGGGTGTCACCTAGAAGGGGCTGAGGGCCCCCACAATTTTCAAGGAGGGGGCTGGGCCTCATCAATATTTTGCAGTGATGTGCTCATGCCATGTGCTCATGCCACACTCACATCACTCATGTATGCCACATAATGTGCATGTGACACATCAGCACATTGCACAGCATGTGCACAAAGTGTGAGCATGTCGTGGAGCACCAGCCCCCTCAATCGCAGGAACAAGCCAGTGTGCCTGCCTTACATTAATTATTGTGCCTACCTGTAAAAATGTTTGACTTTGAGTCAGACAGGGTGGCTCATAGTTAAATGAGGTATCCCAGGAGAAGATGTTCTCCTGTGGAGGATTTTCTCTCCAGCTTTCTACAAACTCTTCAATGTCTTCAGTAAGTTTTCCTAGGGAAAAGTGCACAAATGCAGGAAATTAACATTTTTATTGATCGGGTTTAAATGGAAGCTATGAAAGAAATGCAAAGCATCTCTGTCAGATAGATAGTTGGATAGAAGTGTGACTGCTCCTGTTAATGCTAAATTCTAATCAACAGCTCATCCAAGGCCACTTCTTATATTACATTTTGTCCACGGGGGGAAATGGTATAAAGACATTGGCACACAAAATGCACATGAAGCCCATCAATATTGAAGAGCAAAGTATATATAGAAATCACAAAGAAATCATTTTAAAGCAACACAAGAAGAAATTCTGGTCCTTTTCTGCTCATGGACAGAAGCTATTTAATAGGCAGTGCCACCACCATCCCACTGGCCATAATGTGCCAGATTCCCAGCTTTCATTTTAAAAAGCAAGCCATGTAGAATCTGAGATATGAAGCAAATTTTGCCCATTTGTCTTGTGATAACTAACCTGCTCTCACCTTTCAGTGTTTTTAGCCAATGGATGAAGTCATAGCAATTATGGCATTTAGGGAAGCCAAACAAGACAAAAAGAGGACTATAGCAGTCTTGCTCTTTCTAAGTAAGGCCTGTAACTGCTGAGGAACACAAATAACATCTTAATAAATTAGATGAAATACTCACCATAACTAGTGGCAAGTTCATCTTGCAGAATGGCATTGTTGTTACCACACAGTCCATGAGTTCTGCCCAAGTAGTCAGGAGCCATCTTAATATAAACAGCAGAGGTACCATCCCAAGCCAGAGAGAATGCATACTGGTGTCTAACAATGACATAACCAGCTAATGCTTGGATGTACAAGTTCCCTATGGTATATGGTAATTGTATCCTGGGAAGCCAAACAAATACCATGATAAACAAACAAACTCATTGTCATCCTTTATACCCATTATATCAAACAGGCAGGAACGTGGGTGGCACTGTGGTCTAAACCACTGAGCCCCGTGGGGTTGCCTATTGGAAGGTCGCGGTTCAAATACCCGCAATGGGGTGAGCTCCAGTTGCTCTGTCCCAGCTTCTGCCAACCTAGCAGTTCAAAAGCACACCAGTGCAAGTAGATAAATAGGTACTGCTATGGCAGGAAGGTAAACAGCATTTCCATGCACTCTGGCTTCTGTCAGGGTGTTCAGTAGCACTGAAAGTAGTTTAGTCACGCTGACCACATGAAGTAAGATGAGTGCCGCACCCCATAGTCACATTTGACTGGGCTTATCCATCCAAGGTCTTTTACCTTTACCTTTACCTTTACCTTTCCTATCAAACAGGCACCTTATCTATGGTCTTTTCAGTGCCTGCTAAAGATGTTCCTCTTTCAACAGACCTCTTGAATACCCAGTTGGCATTGATATTGGGTCAGAATTGATTTTATGTATGTGCTGTTTTAAAATGTTTGTGTGTTTGTTTGTTTGTTTGTTTGTTTGTTGTGCGTGTGTGTGTGTGTGTGTGTGTGTGTGATTGTTTGCATTTATGCAGTTTTTTTAACCGTTTAATATTTTAATTATATTGCAAAAAAATTTGGACGCCTCATGGGGAAATAAATAAATAATCTCTTTCCAATTATAGTAATTACTGCATTAATCAATGATGCTATTTTTGTTTCCAATCACTTATATCACTCTGAGATTATGCCCCCATTTCTGAAGAAATGTACACACACTATTTTTTTATGACTTAGGGTTACAAATAATAAACTTAAAATGACTTGCCAACTCAATTACTGTATTATTAATATGAACATTACTGAGTTCGTTTCACCCACAAACATGACTAATTTGTAGGAATGAAGATAGCATATAGTTACGAATCAATTAAGGGGCCTACATCTCTGCATATCAAAAGAACATGGCAAATAAAAACACCACAGATCATGAGAGTATACATTGAATTTACCCAATCCCTTTGTAGGTGACCTCACTACTTAATCTGATTTCCCCGTCTCCAGAAAAGTATAGGCTAATTGATCGTTTACAGGAATATGGAGAAGACTTGCAATCTGGATCATTATGGACCTGCCAAAAATGGGAGAAATAAGTATTTTAGCAGCAACTATATTTTTGGCATTTCACATACTGCTTTAGGAATGTGGCCCCAAAATGACTTTGAAATTGCAGCCTCTGTGAGCATCTCTTATATATTCCTTTAAATACAGTAGCATTCCATATCTCATATTTATTCACTTCAAGATAAACTGGAGAACCATATTCAGTCTCCTGGTCACCACTGGAGGAAAGGTAGAATATAAATCCATTCAGTCAAAGGCTATATTACCTCCAGTGTCAGAGTCAGTACAAGAGGAGCCACGTTGCATCAAATAAAAGGCCCCAGTCCAGTATCCTTTTCACACAGTGGACAACCAGATGCCGATGGGAAGCCAGCAACCAGAATAGGAGTGCAACAATCCTCTTCTCACTTGTGCTCCCCAGCATCAGGTTCTCAGATACTGCCTCTGACACTGGAGGTAATATAGCCTCCAGTGTCGGTAACATAGCCGTCATGCCTAGTAGCCATTGACAGTTTTATCCCATTTTCATTTGGCTAATCAACCCCCTTCTAAAGCTATCCTAGTTGGTGGCCATCACTACATCTTGTGGGACTTGATTGCATGTGTGAAGGAGTACTCCTTTTGAATACCAGCATTTTCATGCCTCTGAATACCAATTACTGGGGAACACAAGCAGGATAGTGCTATTGTGCTCATACCCTGGCTGTCAGCACCCTAAAGGCATCTGCTTGGCCACTGCCAGAACAAAATGCTCATCTAGAAAGGACTGTGGTCTCATCCAACAGAGCTCTTCTCAATCAAATAAAACAGAAACTGACCCAGATTTTTGTGCACCATCAAACAGTATAATTTGATGGCACAAACAAAAGCAGAAAGCATTTGGAAAACTGGAAACTTGGAATATCTTGGCATAGTGAGATTATTCATCCACATTCTTTATAGCCTCAGACTATGGATAACACATGGATCTTACAACAACCAAAGAGCGCACATGTGCTTTTTAGTTATTCCCCTACTGCAGGCCCTCCCAAACCACTCCAATAGCTTTGGGAAACCCACCATGACATTTCATGAGACATAGACTGCTACCGATAAGAAAGATCAGCATTCTTCACCCCTCATGTACACAGAAGCACTTTACTTGTGATCTTAGGGGAAAGCAGCATACACTATGCATGTCTACTCAGCAGCAAGTCCTGTTGAATTCAATGGGCCTTGCTCCCATTTGTGTGTATGATTACAGCCATGGTAAGTTGTAGTTCCCTCCCTCCCTCCCTCCTATATTACTTGAACCACATTCATTCATTTTTATTGCATGAATAACATTTTTATTGCATCCACCTTTTTCTTCAAGGGGCACAAGGTAGCACACATGGCTTTTCCCCTCCTCATTTAATCCCCTCAACAACCCTATGAAGTAGGTTAGGTTGAGAGGCAGTGACTGGCCCAAGATCACCCATTTAATTTCATGGCCGAGTGGAGATTTGAACACTGGCCTCCAAGATCCTAGTCTGATACTTTGACCACTACACTATACTGGCTCTCTATTGGAGGAAGGCCTCCAGGATAGCCTGAGTCTTGGCACTGACCATAACAACTTCTTCCAAGCCCTCCAGGCTCTCCTCGCTCAACTCCTTTCAGTTTCCAATGAGCTTGGCTAGGCAGCAGTAGGTATAGTTGTCACTCACAATCTTGATCAGCTCTGGGAAATGATACCCATATGCTCCATAGCACCATGCATGCTGAAGGATTGCTTGCAAGTCAAACCGTACAAGCAGCCCAACCCACTGGAACTATCAGTTCAAGAACTAGCAGGAAGCAACAGAATCAAACAATTCTCACAGTGGGGTTTTTTTAATACTACTACTAATAATAATAATGATAATAATGCATGAAATGCTCATATTTATTGCAAATCAGATTTATTTTAAATGATTTGGAATGAACTTTACACTGTCATTTCTCACTTGTATAGAGAAGCTCTGTTCGTCCAATTCATTCTGCCTTAAGAGAGTGTATGTAGATTTTCCAGAGAAAAAGTAGTAGAGCCCATCAAAGGTTTCATAATGGTATTGTCCCCATGTTCGGCAAATGTGGTCTCGTTCTGCACCTGTGTTGTATACTATGGCAGAAAAATGAAAAGAGATGCGGGGAAATCAATTTTTGAAACAGGATCTCTCACTAATGCCTACTCCTCTTCTGGGGGTGAGCTCCCGAAAAGGAGGAATGTTTAAATATTTATTTATTTAGCAAAACATATACTTAATTTTAAAAAGCAGTGTACATAAAACAATTATTGATAATACACAGGTGTGTTAATACACATAATAATATACATAAGCAGGGTTATTTTGTAATACAGTCATACCTCGGGTTACAGATGCTTCGTGTTGTACGATTTTGTGTTGCGCACCGCACCGAACCCAGAAGTACCGGAACAGGTTACTTCCGAGTTTTGGCGCTTGCACATCTGCAGAAGCACTAAATCGTGCTTTGTGCATGCGCAGAAGCACCAAATCGTGACCCGCTCGTGCACAGATGCGGCGCTGCAGGTTGTGGACGCTGCAGGTTGCGAACATGCTTCCTGCACAGATCACGTTCGCCACCCAAGCATCCACTGTATCTTATTGCATTAATATCATTGTGATTAACTGCCTTGATCATCATTTGGAGGAAAGGTGAGACACAAATTATCAATTAAAATCAATAAACAAAACATGTAGTAGTTCAATTACTGTATCCATCACCTCTTCAAAAAGGTCCAAGAATACAATTGAGCCTTCTTCTGAAAAGAAGTTTGCCAGTAAAGCTATAAGTGTGGGTCTTATGTCATGCTAGACACAATATGTAACATGCAAACTACTTTCTACTCACTTTTCTGACATCTTGATCCAGTTGCATTATATCGACTACAGTCACACAGTTGCCAATGCACGCACTCACCTCCATTAAAGCATGTGAATGAATCTAATTAAGACAGAATGCATAATCCTTTATTTGCAAGTCATATACATGTTAAGGGGTAATTATATGGACACATGAAAGTAGATAATAGCAACACATGTTTCAGATAATGGACTGCAAGGGTTTTCTCAGAAAACAATTGTTTGCATCTCATTTGTGGACTGAAAATCACACATCTCTTAACTGAGAAAAATGTTTTTGTTACCAACATGTGATAGAGTGTTGGCTACTGCTAAGCATTTATAAATCATCCTACTTATAGGTACATCATACATTACAGATGCTAGTGGGTACCTCCCTGCAATTATTGGGTACCATGTAGACCTGCAATTTCCCCTAACATATGGGAGCCAAACCATAGACTTTGTTTGGACTCAGAGCAATTACTACTTGTTGCAGTTTTTTGCATGGGATGGGCTGCATCCAAAGTTTCCCTTCCAGATAAAAGGCTCCTAATCCAAGGGCAATGACACCTCAAAAATAGATGGGTATCATTCTCACATGTTAAAGGAACACCATAGACACATATACCTGCTCCTTCTGCAGCACGTAATGATTCCCATCCTCTAGGCAAAGAAACATTCCATCTTCTATAAAATGCACAGCGCAGTATTAAATAGCAGAAGTAACAGGATCCAAAGATTCCCTTCCACTCATGGAAGGAGTCTAATATTCACAGAAGCACCCCTTTCATTCACAGAAGGAGCCTGTTGATCCAGCCCAGTATCTGTAATAGTTTGCAAAAATCATCTTTTCCCCCTCCCAATATTTAGTTTATAAAATAAATTAACTATTTAAGCATACACATTGACATTTACAAGTGATCTAATATCACTGGAAAACTTCTGAATCATATTTCTACATACCACATAAATAATGTGTGACAAATAATCAATTACAAACTATTTTTTAACAAAAGCACCAGTAATACTTTCAAGTGACCCAGTTTCATAAGGAATATGAAGATGTAGACTCAGTGTAATAAGAGTTAAATTTAATAAGCTCTAGGCTCATATTCTGTGTTGTTGAGAAGGATCAACTCCCATTAATTTAGGATCCTGAAAAATACTGTAAGCCAATGCTTAAATACCAGGTAAATAGCTTTTGACGTTGTCAGATAAGCCAGAAATAATAATATTCATTGTATTCATCCTGTAATCCATCATTAACCAGCTGGCAAGAGAGCTGCAGACAGACTTTGAAAATGGCAATTCAAAAGCCAATTAAATTTCAAAGGCAATTTTCCATCTGATGTCCTGTTCTAAGTTCATTTTATTAATATTTTCATTACCAATTTTGCCCCAGTGCCTGCTTCTACATTTGCCCAGTTTGTGATGCCAGCACTGGAGAATTTTAATAGAAATGCTATTAATGGAGCTAGTGATCCATAGAATTCCTCCTGCTAGAAGACCTTATAAGTTTCCCTCTTATATCTGGGGCTTTCACACATGACATGTTCCACTCTCTGGCTCCATTTACTCTTCGGGATTCTTGTCTTTTACTTTGTCTTGCCCTTTGCCTCTGGCTATACAAAGTTTATTATTTCTATGGAACAGAAGAACTAAATTCTTCCCTTCCACTATTTTGGAACTAACCATTATCCTACATCAGTAGGTTATTAAGTGTGTGAATATAAATGGTGAGCCTCCCCATAAAGCAAATGTATTTTCATTCCTTTTCCTCCTTGGGGGAGCTTCCACACATCCCATACAAATCACTTGGCATAGTGAAAAATTCCAACCTAGTCAATTTCATGTCTAAGGGAAGTTTGCCATAAATTCTTCTTTTACAACATATGGGGTGGTATTCAACTAGGAGTTACTCAGAGTAAAGCCAATGAAATTAATGAACATGACTATGTGAGATCTATTGCTTTCAATGGGTCAACCCTGAGTGAAGGAGGTATGAATACCACTCACAGATTTTGTTGTATTTCCTAATGTATTCTAGACACAGCTATCACCTCTCCCTTACTTCCCCTTTCATGCTACTTTATCAAACTTTGTTTAGATACTTCATCCAGACTATATACACTCTAAAACTGCAAACATTTTAATACTTAGCAAGCAGGCATCTTGTTTGCATGTACATAGTCAATTATGAGAAGTGTGAAGTGGGGACACATGTTACTGTCGTCAGTGATTTTTAAAAATAACCATAATCACATCATCATCATCATCATCATCATCATCATCATCATTATTATATACCCCGCCCATCCATCTGGGTTTCCCCAGCCACTCTGGACGGCTCCCAACAGATTTAAAACAGAACAAAGAGGGAGCTTACTGGATGATTCACAAATTGTGTTGTGAAATTTTCTTTGCCTGGAAGATACTGTAGTAGATGAAGAGTTATAAACTGGTGTTCCAAATTCCTGTACAGAAAGGATAAAAAAATTAATCTAAAAAAGCATAGCACTGTGAAGGGCTTATAACTCTTTAGAAACATAGTTTTAAAAGATGTTGTAACACATGCTCATGTTTGCCATCAAGCTTTAAATCAAATTTCAAAAAAGGATTCAAGTTTAAAGCATAAGATAACCCATAATGCATTAGAGGCTAAGGCCATGTAGTTACCAAAAGGAATCTTTTTATCATGTAGATATTCCTTTTGCAGACACAAGGTTGTTACTCTATAGTCTGTTATCTCTATGGTCTGCAGTTATCTCCCAAGTGTCAATCATAGCTGTAACTTCACTCATCGGCTAAGAGCATCGAAAGAGAAACGAGATGCATTTCTCACAAAATGTTTGGATAAAATAGTGCCTGAACATTTTCTCTCAAATGAGGGAATCTGTATGGTCTACGCTAAATAACTTTCAGGAGGAGGAACTAATCATGCAAATAGGCATTGGGTGGCAAAGCCATCTGGATAAAACCCAACCAACTGGGCAATATGGCAACCCTACCATCAGCCCAGCTGGGCAGAAACAGCAACAGTACTCTTCTTTCTTCTTCCCCAGATGGCTGAGAAGGCCACCACAGCTGAGTACCAAAACGTGTACCAAGCCTCCATCTGCCCACTATTTTAGTTTAAATCATTTCCACAACAGGACAAGAGCAGCAGCAAGTTCAGCCAATTAGTTCTAGCTTTGGGGGCTCACAGCCAATAAGGCCCTGAAGCAATAAGAGGTTGGACCAAGTCCCCTGGCCCACCTTCTCACTGCTGTACTGCCCCGAGTGGTGGCTGATAGGGTGAGCTTGCACTCACTCTTTACCTAGGGTGGAAATTTCAGAGATTAAGCCAGACACCACGTTGTTCTGCTTCCTAGCACACCTACATGTTGCTGCTAGGGCTCTGACTGCACAGGGCACTGGACTTGAGGTCCATAATGTGGCTCTAATGACACCAGCAATATTCAACAGTACACACATTTTCAGTATCATCAGCTCACAACCTTCAAGTGATGAGGCCAACAATCTCAAATAACATGGACTTTAAAAAATATTAGCCCATCTACACCCTTTTAGAATTTTTTTATCTGCTAAACCCGTTCTGATTTTATGCTGCTATTTGTTTTATGTAAATGTTTATTTTGCAACGGTTTTAAACTAAACTGCACAAGGCAAGTAGTAAATGCATTGGAAGACCAGGGTATAAGTTTTACAAATAAATGTATAAATAAATATTCCATGCAGTTGTTTGCACAAAGACTAATAACCAAATGCCTTGCCTCAACTTTACCTTTAATCCCCTCTCCCTACTTCCAAGGAGATGGATCTGACACAAAGCAAATGAACTACAATCTAGGACCCAGTTGGCAAAACCCGACTTGAAATGCTGGAGCCACCAGGGGAAGGGAGCAAATAGTATTGCAACAAGTGCTGTGAATATTTACTTGTTTATTTAAAATATTTATATCCATCTCTCCTCAGTGAATCCCAATAAACTAAGTCAAAACATCAACATAACAATTGAACCAACAGCAAAATTAAATGCAATAAACCAGTCAGAAAACATTAAAACAGCAGGGGGGGGGACAAAGTAACAACCATCAATGTAACTTAACCACATGGGGATGGGGAAAGACCCAATGCCCCATGTTGTGTCCAATTCCTATCCGTTGCTTTGGTCAAATTGGTTAAGAACTGCTCAGTGATGTTGTACTATGGATTGAATGCAATGAGTTCCCTTTATTTTCCCCCTTCCATGATTGCGTATGTGCTCATAAACAATAGCTGAATGGGGTCATTCCTCATCCCTTTTCCCTGATGAGTCTTGAACTCCTGTTTCTTGTTTTCTATTCCCATGCTATATGCAGTGAACCACGGGAGGTTGCTGCTGTCGGTGTGCTTCTATGGCAGGCACCCCCAACCTGCAGCCCTCCAGATGTTTTGGCCTACAACTCCCATGATCCCTAGCTAACAGGACCAGTGGTCAGGGATGATGGGAGCTGTAGTCCAAAACATCTGGAGGGCCGAAGGTTGGGGATGCCTGCTCTATGGCCTCTCCCCTTGGCCTGCTTGGCAAGAATCTTTCTGCTGGATATGTCTTGAATTCTTGTCCCAAAAAGGATGCATGTGCTCTCTGTGGGTACTATGTTGTGTGCCCTTCCTTTTTCAGTCTGTGTGTTGCACTCCAAAACAATAGCACCTGCCTGAAGGGATATCTGAAGACTTGCAATGGAGGATCATTGCTGGCTGAGGCACTAGAGCTGATGGAGTGAGGGCACTTTAGCACTGCGGAGTGTGTTTGATGCAGAGAAGTAGACTGGGGTGTGTCCCCAATGATCTGAGTTCACTGACACATTCTGTGTCTGAGTCACATGTGGGTGTTGTCACTGGCTCAACTCAACTGGTGAGCATCAGCAGTTTTTCAATGGGTGCTGATGAACTGTCTGCCATTTCCCCATAGTTTTGAGATTATCCACTCTTGGTCTACCCTCCTCTCCTGAGTTTAACTACTTCAGTTCCATTAATATGGTCTTAAATTACCCAAACTGATGATGTTCCCATTTCAGTTACATCTGCCAAATATTTATTTTCAAGTTAGAATTGTTTGGAAGTGAGGGATTAAGGATCAACAGCTTGAAAAGCGGCAACTGAATGGTTGTTATCATTCCTTGGATGCTTTTCATAAAAGCAAATTTTTGGCCTTATCAGCAGTTGATTTAATTATTGTGATTGTGATTGCGCAGAATATTTTTCTCTCTGCAAAACCTCTCCAGAAACAAAAAGTGGAGAAAAACAAGATCAAGAAACAGACTCATATGGAGGAGCCTAATTAAGCTGTACAAAGTGACTAACTTCTTTCCCCATTCAGAAAATAAGAACCAGAAAGAAGAATGAAGGGAAAATATACTTTAAAAGACATGGCAGTTGATATAGTTCTGGTGTATAATTTAATTATAAAGAAATTAAATTACAAATGAAATAATTACAAATGGTTTGACAGCCCAAAGCAAAATCATTACAAATTTTACTTAAAAAAAGAAGATAAAATAACTTGTACTACTAAATAAAACCTAATTATAGACATGCATCCTTTTCTACTTGGTGTGTTTTATTATTGACTCATATTGTAGAACTGCATCCTATTACTTAGCAATTGTAACAACTTTATTGCTTTTAAAAATATTTTTTCTTTCATTTATTTTTTCTATAACACTTGTCATTATTAAACTTCAAAATCTTTTTTGAAAAATAAGAACAAAAGTATTGATTTTATAGCACTCAAACAGAAGACTGAACATTACAAAAAGTAAGCAGTTCATAAGCACTTGACTTTGACAGAACTAAGAACAACTTGCATTTAACAGTATCAGATCCTTAAGAATTATTAATAGGGCTCAGGCTTAAATGCTGAATAAGCTAGTTTTTGTCAACAAAAATAAACATTAATTTAAATGAAAGTATTTAATTTAAATTACAATAGATCTTATCAGCAACATAATATGTTAATGTAATAATTGTTTCTGATAATTTAGCCTTGTGATTTATTTTGGGTTTTGTTTCAGCTTATTTTACCTACATAAATAAAGTGATATTATCCCTGTCTATTATAATACTTTCATAATCCAGGTACAACAGTTAGAATTACTTAAAACTTACTGAAAGGTATCCAGATCAATATGCTTATAAACAAAATTATATACCTATTTTGATTCATTGTTACATTGTTATAAATGTAACATTGCACATTGTCATAAAATAATCATATAAAGCCTGACAAAATTGTTGTTATAAAGGTAATGTTATAAAATAAGCATTTTTCTTTACAAATCCAAGCATATCATTTATTCATTCCAATGTTTTCATGGATTTCTGCCAAGATAGAATTCAAGAAAACAACTATTAGAATGCATTTGGAAATTTGAGTGGGGTTTCCCCTCTACTTCAAGAGTTGGATAGCTGAAGTTCCTCTACTAAATAAAAGTGGGCAAGTTTCTATATACGTTTTTTACTAACAGGTCACTTTCAGTGACCAAAGTAGCAAATCTCAGCTTTACTGACTCATATTACAACCATAGTCAAGAATCCATCAGCCGGAGTCATTAATATCAAAAGCTCATCAAGCCGTTTCAATACCCTTCTTCAATTATAATATGTATAGCGAGGGAACATTCTACTTAAAGCCAAGAGTATAATTGTCTAACTATTCTTGCATGTTATTTCAGTAAAAGAACCAAGGCAAAACACTCTCAGAGCAAACACAGCTATTGCTGAAAGCAAACCCTTTCATTAAAGCTGTTTGCAAACCAAGTCATTTTCTCAATACTGCTAGAAAATGGAAGGACATAAGGAAATGTATTCCGTTCAGCAGCTGGACAACACAGTGCCAAATGGCTGAAAGAAAACATTCACAGTAACTGGAACACCCATCCCCATCGCCTACCCCACACACTATAATTTGTTGGATGCATGGTTGAGCCATCCTGTGAACTTCTCCTCCCAGCACTCCAACCTTTCAAACACAGGAAAAAAACAGCTCCCATCAGGTGAGTGGGTGCCCTTGCCTTACCAGCTCTCCCAGGGCACTAGGATCTCCTTTCCGAAGTATTGCACTGCTGCCGTTCCTAGGCGGAAAAAGAACAAGGCTGGGTTTGTTTAGCAGAGGTAATCTGCACCTTTCTTACTCATGCAGAACTCAGGGAAGCTGCACCTCTTCTCAGACTGAGGGCCCCAGGTTGAACTGCGAGTTTCCTTTGGAGCGAATATCAGGCAAAGTGGGCTTAAGGGGTTTGACTCTTGGTTTTTCCGAAAGGGTGTGTTTCTACTCTGTCTCTGGTTGCTTTGATTAGCTCCTGAACAACAAAAACACACCAGCTCCCCTCTTATATGCAATTAATTACTCCCCTCCACCTTGAAATGAAAGCCACAAATCCTTAATTTCTCCTCAGATAAATTAATCCATCCCTTGTGAGTCTGTAAAACATTAAGAATCAACAGGTTGCAAATTGCAAGCACTTAGTACATTTTAAATTGTATCAATAAAGATGCTGGTGTGAATATAGCCATGAAGAGTTATTCCCCATTCTCTGTGGCCTCATATGTACTTCCAGCAACTAAACCCATTTCTTCCTAAATAAGGTATTTAAACAGTGTGATCCAGAAGCCTTTCATGCAGAAATGCTTCCATTTATGCCCATTTAATTATATCTCCATAATTCTTCTGCAGGCAAGGGGAAACAGAAGAAAGAATTCCATAACCTGCCTAAGATATTTGACACAGGAATATAAGAAAATCTGCTCCCCCAGGTGATTAACTGAAGAGGCAACCAAGCTCTGTGCCAGAAGCACAATTAAATTTCATATATTACCAGATTCTGATTACAATTATGAGTCTTGTGTCACCTTAAAGACGTTTTTATTTTATTTTTTGTAGCATAGCATGTTCTGTTAACTAGGGACCGCTTCATTAAATGTTTGAGCGGCTTTAGCCCATGAAATCTTAGACCGCAATAAATCTGTTAGTTTCTAAAGGTAACAACATCACTCTTTGTTACTTTTGCTGCAGGGAACTAACAAAGACCTGCCTCTGGAGGCAGATTTTGATTCTCCCACCGCTCACTCTCACACCTTGTCAGAACGCACAGCACATCCCAGCAAAGCTTTCCCAGTTTAAAGCACCCTTCCTTTCTCAGCCCAAACACCTCCAGGTCTGGTAATGGTCGCCCAGAGTCGGCTCCGAAAGAGCCCCTGGCCCTTTAAGAGTCAAATCAAAGCCCAGGAGGGGCAGCTTTCCCCCCCCCCCAGGTGCAGCTTTCCCCATCACCCTGAGGTGAGCGAAGCACTGGTGGAATTTTCCTCTCGTTCTATTAAAGAGACAGGAACCGTCCCGAGTCTGAAGTTGAGATGCCAGTTAAGGTAAGCTTCCCTGACAAGCGCCCCGCTTTTCTGCCTGCTTTGGAGCTGGGAAGGTACGGAACGGCGAGCCCGCTTTCCCAAGCTCGCTCCGGGCCGCGCGCAGGGAGAAGGGCAAGTGGGCCACGCCGCGCGCCCCTCACGCCCCTTACTTACCTCGCCTGGCCGGGGGCCGCGCTCCTCGGAGACAGCTGCGCAGCCACGCTCCACGCCAACAGCGCTGCAAAAGAGGAGGCGAGCTGAGAGGAGGCTGGGAAGGCGCGAGGCTGCCCTTGGCGCCCACAAACCAACGCGGCGCCTGGAGCCCCTTCTCGGCGCCTAGGTAATAGTAATAATAATAATAATACTGATAATAATCCCCTCCCCCACCCACACGTTTGAAAGGAACCGACGACGACACCTCCCGCCTCACAGAAACCGCGCGCTTTCTGACACTCACCCTGAGGCACCCAGACGTACACCAGCATCCCTTTCGCGCGCCTGAAGCGCGGCTCCATCGGGACGCAGCGAGCGGCGAGCTCTCTGAGGTGGAGCCGAGGCTGAGGGAAGGCGAGCGCTCCCCTTACCCGCCGCGCCTGGTGGCCAGCATCTCCGCGCCCCGCCGCTGGGCAAGTGTGGACGGCAAGGGGTGGACCCGCACCGGCCGGCTCGCTTCGCCTTGTTCTCGTTCCAAACGCCAGCTCTTCGCCGCCGCTCGGCGCTGGGGGGACGCCTCCCCTCACTGATTAGCATAATGTCGGCCCCTCAGGAGGAGGCGCCGTTCCCCTGCCCCTTCCATAGGGAGCGCAGCTCAGGCCTCCAGGAAGAAAGGGGAGCGAGGCGACGACCCGCCGTGGGGAGCTCGGCTGGGGACTCGGAAATGCCCTCGCTCGGGTTGATTCGCCCGTGGCGCGCTCAGAAAGAGGAGGCCACACAACATCCCGTTGGGCGCGTGTGAATCTAGGGAGGGGACACAGGCACGCACCTTTTGGGCTAATGCTGCAGACTCTTTATTCTGAGACCTACTCAAAGGAAATATGCATGGGATGACAGCCTATAAAGATGCTTTCTTGATGGCTCTTGCTTCACATATATATAGTTTTACAATTTAGGATATTCATTTAAACAACCTTAAATACCAACAACTTTCCTTCTCTTTCCATGATTCATTTTGCACAACATAAATCCCTGCATATTTTACATGAACTAAACCAGTCAGTATTCCATTATTACATCCCTCAAAACTTATTTACACTGCTGCCAACGTGTTCAAGTGTACACAGTTCCCCCCATATATTCAATAAACATTTTCCAATCTTCTTTTAACATACGTTCTTCTAAAAATTATTTACAAAAACAAAAACATATGTTCTTCTTGTTCTCTTATTCTATTTTTAGGTCCACAAGCTACACATATTCCATCAGTTGCCATTCTTCTTGAGTTGGGACCTTGCTTGTTTTCCATTTTGGGCTAGCAAAACACAGGCCACAGTAGTGCATACATAAATTACCTTTATGTATAAAAATAAAATAAAAAGGTGTATTTATGTTGATGCATCTTACGCCTGAGCAGTGGCGTAGCGTGGGGGGTGCAGGGGGGGCCGGCCGCACCGGGCGCAACATCTGGGGGTTAGGGTTAGGGGGCGCAAATCCACGGGTTAGGGGCGCAAATCCACGGATTAGGGAGCGCAAATTACTTGCCTTGCCCCGGGTGCTGACAACCCACGCTACGCCACTGCGTCTGAGTATGATCAAGCTACTGAGTGGACCTCAGAGCCTCTCTTGTGTTATTTTTTATTATTTTTTTATTGAATTTATATACCGCCCTATACCCAGAGGTCTCAGGGCAATTCACATGTGCCACATGTGAATGCAGAGGGCAGTGGTATTGCAGAATGGGAACAAAGGAGTCATGGGAGCCTGTAAATGTGATACAAATCTATTCCATACATAAAATAGGCAACTTAAAATGGTTATAACCTAAAATATATATAGCCACAAAGGCCAATGACCATTTCTCCATATGCAACACACATTGGCAAACTGGATACATGTAAATTTGTTGGTTTAATTAGGTTGTAATGACATGCACAGTGTGCATGAAACATATCTCTCATAGCTAGATGCATTTTAACTAAAAAGTGTTTGGTGGCAAATTGAGAATTCCAAGCACCAGCCTGAGCATGAGCCAAGAAGGCATAGTCCTGTTTAAGGTGTGCCACGATAACAGATTTCCTTCCCATATTTTCAAAATGAAATATGCAAGCCTCTTAATCTCCAGACTTTGTAAATGTCAGTTTGGATAGCCCCTGATACAGCTCATTTTTCTTACAAAGTATAATCATTAAATATTTCTGTGTTTTTTACTTCCTCACATTATTTAAATGAAGGTACTCCTTTTATTTCTAGCTTTTTGCCATTCTGTGTGTGCACTTTCTCCTCTTTCATTCCTTTGTAGTATTATCTTCTTCCCTTCCTCCCTGCCTCCTCCCTCTGCCATCTGCCATACTTTCTCTCACCCCTGTCTCCCTTCCTTCATCCTTCAGCTATCTCATAACAGAAGCTTTAAAAGCTTCCATTGCCAGGTGAGAAATTGTCTCAGATGAAAAGAGTCCCTTTTCTGACTGCTTTAGGAAGTCTGTTAACAGCAAGTAATTAAAAAGATCTCATTCCCGTCTTTGTAATTAGTCCCCATGTATTGTATTTCCAGCTGTAACAAGTGATTCATTTCAGTAGGAATGATGAAACCGCAATGACGTCTTCACCAAAACTCGGTCCTTCTGTAAGCACAAAATGAAAAAAGGGTGCCTTCTAATCCCCCCCCTCTGTTTATTTCAGCACCCTGAAACATTTAGCTTCTTATGCTGCATTTGCACCATAACAGAAACATAGCAGATACACAGCAGAACTCCTGATTTTCAAACCTGGGTGACCAAATTCTCACCAACAGTTGACTTTTACATGCCTATTGAGTTAGCATCTAACCTCTCAGAGTGAATGCAGAGGGAAGACAAATGCCAATACATCTAGAGCAGCTAGCAGGCACTGTGTGGATTGCACTTTCCCAGCAACAATATGTCATGGATTGACAACTAGGAAAAATCTATTTTCCTGCATCCAGGTTTCTGTCTGGAGAGTAGAGACTTGCATTTTCCTTCAACTGATCTTCTGGCTGAGAAATTACATATGGAGATGCTGCTTGTCTGAGACAAGAACACAGATTATTTCACTTCCTTGCACAATAATGAAAACATCAGGGGAGGGGGAGAATAGGCAAGATCTATACAAATAAATCAAATCTGCACACTGAGATCTGCTTTTGTGCACAAATTGCCTCTTGCTGGGCAAGGTTATTTGTGTTCCTGAAGTACAGGGAAATATATTACCGTGGCAGACTATGACAATTACTCCAAGTCTGTCTTCAATATTATGTACACAGAGATTTAAATGCCAGTACCATTCTTCTGCTATTACAGTGGTACCTCGGGTTACATATGCTTCAGGTTACGGACTCCACTAACCCAGAAATAGTACCTCGGGTTAAGAACTTTGCTTCAGGATGAGAACAGAAATCGTGCTCCAGCGGCGCAGCAGCAGCAGGAGGCCCCATCAGCTAAAGTGGTGCTTCAGGTTAAGAACAGACCTCTGGAACGAATTAAGTACTTAACCCGAGGTACCATTGTATATTGTACTTTAATAGCACCCCATATAAGACTACTTGGTACAATTAATAAGCTGCTAATTTACACACACACACACACACACACACACACATCAAAATACAATATATGACTTTTCCTTAAAGGGAATATTTCCAAACTTAATATTTTGCAGGAATCACTCATGCAAGTAATGAATAAAACTAAAATATAAAGCTTGCTTCTCCTAACTTAGACGGGGGAAACCTAGACTAGAAAACACCCACAAATATAAGCTTCAAGTGACAGCAGAACTTCCACAAATAAACATTCAGTTCCATGTAAACTTGCTTTGATGGCCTCTGTTTTCATATGTACCCAATTTTCTGGCTTTTCTAGTTATCAGTGTGTCTCAGAGATTATATATAGCAAAGTTAACTTTCTGAATGGCCTGGAAATATGTTATCTATTTGGGTATACACTGATTGCACCACATTTCTAAGTATAAATTCAGAGAACTGTCCATTTATTCCTTCTATCTGATTCCTCCTTCTTAAGCAATTCCTGGTACACAAACAGACCTCTTTTCTTATTCCATTACTGTTAAGCTTACTCCGGAGTCTTGGGTGAGGTATTCTGTCGAAAGCGTTTTTTAAAGTTCAAGTACACTATGGCAACCAGATCACTTTTATCTATTTGCTTGTTCATAGGACTTGCCCTTGCCAAAGCCATGCTGGATCTGCAGTAGCAAGGCTTACTCTTCTATATGCTTGTTTATTTTATCTTTTAACAACACTGTCTACCAGTTTTTTCAAAATAGATATTAAGCTAACAGGCTTGAAATGTCCACGGTATCCCCTAAATCCTTAAAAAACAAATTTTGTTACACTTGCTATTTTCCAGTACTCGGGTATGGAAGCTGATCTGAGGGACAAGTTACATATTTTTGTTAGAAAATCAGCAATTGCACTTTTGAGTCACTGTGGTGGATGCCACCCAAAACCAGTGATTTGTCACTTTCTATTTTGTCTGTTAGGTTTAGAACTTCATATCTCATGACCACTATCCACCTCAGTTCCTCAGACAGCCTTCCTGCAATTTGCAAAACTTAGTTCAAGCACTGGGATCTGCCCTACATCCTATGCCTACTTCCTCTTCCTGCAAACCTACCAGCCTTCAACACAAGGTGAGTTGCATCCCATTCCCAACACATCCAACAAGTAACTGGTCTTCTTCATTTTCTCCCCTTCCAACCTTGGCATTATACTTAGAGAGGGAAAGTCAACATTGTGATACTACAATCTGCTTTCCAGATGGTATTATTTCCCCTCACCTCCCTCCATGTACTGTTCTGGGGGTTCTCCTAATTCCCCCAATATGATGTGGAGGGCACAGGGGTACCAGGTGAGAGAGGGGAAAGCCCATTGCACTAGTGGGACTGACTATGCTGGCTTCTGCTCACACAGGTGTTTAGCTGAATTGTCCAGAAACATTGCTTTTGCGTTTATTAGGTACCTCTCTGCAGGATTTTTTAAAATGTCTGGATTTCCAAGACACCACAAAGTACTTTTTGTTTTTGCTTTGGCTCATATCATCTTCTACAGATGTCAAGTCTAAAAAACCTTGCAAGCATATTTTAATTTAGATTGCACTTAAAAATAAAAACAAATCAAGGATAATTGGACTAAATATTTTGAGTTCTTTGCAGGTTATTGTCTTATTTGTATTTGCTTTTCTCATAGCTTTCACCATGATGTGGTTTCATTTCAGTTGACAAGGCTCCGAGGGCATCACCTCAGTCTGAATAAGGAAATAGAATTGGCATCGCAACCTGGAAGGATTTAGAATAATTTCTAATGGCAGCATGTTATTCACTCTCTTGGTTTGAAAGTACAGCAGTACCATTGTCACAGTTTCTGTGCATGGAATGAAGCTAGTGAATGCTACAGACTGTGCCCATGGCCTAGACGGAAAAAATGAAGAATGGAAAGTGTAGGAGAAGGTGGAGTTATGGGATGCACCTGCTACATAGACCTTTCCTGGATGGGCTGGAAGAGGAGAAGGAAAAGGAAGGTTCTGTAGCTTGATGGGAACCTTTGGGAGTGAGGGGGGTGTTCAAAACTGTGGCTGATTCATTTTCAGGTGAAATAACTTGAAAAACTGTTTCTATGCAAGATCATTCTGCTACTGACAAAGTTGCAAAGTTGAGAATGGCAAGATTGTGTTCAAACCATAATCCTCTACAAAATGTATTACATCTGCCTGCATTCAGAGGGTCTATAACGAAGTGAAATTTCGACCATCTTGGACCCAAAGAGTCCACTTGTGTGCTCTGGGGTAAGAATTTCCCCTTCCAGCTGCAGTTCCTGATGTGGATCTTTGGGATCCTACCCTAAGTTGCAGCACAGAACGCTTATAAGGGAGACTTCCAAGTGCCCAAAGTCATGAGACACTGTGTGTGAAAGTTAAGCAATAGTGCAATCCTATCCAAAAGAAAGTCCTATTGATATCATTGGAACTTACTGCCAGATAAATAGGCTTACCGCCTTGAAGTCTCATTTCACTGGAAGAATTAATTAGCAGTTGCGCAACTCTCTTCCATCGAAATCAATGGGACTGTAAAAAGTGTTTCATTGTGCGTAATTTCACCTGGACGAACCCTAGTGTAGTATATAGCAAGCAGAAAGATAAGATTTGCGAGAAATAATATGCAATGGAAGCTGATCTGAGTTGTCCCCCTTTCACTGAAATTCATGGGAGGCTGCAGGAGATCATCAAGAAAATGTCGAGGCAGCGCGAGGCGACCTGGTAAGCGCCTTCCTTGCCAATAACATTCTTCCTCGGACAACCCGTCTGCTGCGCAGGCCGGCCCTTCCCGCAGGGCTGCGCTGCGCCCTCTAGCGCTCGGCCGGAGTCCTGCGTCCTAACCTGCGCCCAGGACCAGGAGGAAACGGCATCGGCTGGGTGCGCGCACCGACGAAGGTTCCCCAAGCGAAGGTCGCTCTCCCCATTGCCATGGAGCGGAAGGTGGCCAGGGAATTCAGGCACAAGGTAAGAGAGGGGCTCTCGGCCCACCGCCTGCCCTACGATCCCTGCGGCTTCCCCGGGCTTCCTCGCTAACCTCACTTTCCGCCTCGTAAGCGAGAGAAGCTGCTGGCGCTGCCAGCGAAGGGAGCGTGGGCATTGCGCTGGGACTATGGACTCTCGGTGTCAATTAACGCGGACCTGGCGGAGGGGGGAGCAGGGGGAGGGGAAGGGAGGCTGGCATGCTTCCTTCAGCAGAAGAAAGTTTCTTTTTCCCCAGGGGACCCGAGGTGTGTAGCGGATTAGGGTAAGATTCCTCTGGGCAGGAAGGAACAGAACCGTCCGGCCCACCCTCGCCATGGGCTGCTCGCAATGTGCGCGCCCAGCAAACCTGCTTCTTTCGCCATCCATCTTTCTTCTACCGACCCAGACCTGCCTTTCCCTGCGCCTCTCAAAGCAGGCGAGCGGAAGGCAATGGAAAGTTCAAGGAGCTGACCTTGCCGTTTCTTAACTTTCTGGGCAGTCTTTACAACAATAATCAACATCACTACATATATAGAGATATATACATATATGGGTGCATCATCATTTTAGAAAGTCTCACAGAGCAATTTCTCAGGAAAGAAATACCCTCCAAAAACAGATTTTGCCATCTCCTCCTCCTCTCTCTTTGGTGTTTCTTTGTCAATGACCAAGAGACTTGGCAAGGCTAGGTGTATTGCATAATAGCTCTTTTGTTCTTACCCTTTAAAAAAAAAAGTGAAAGCGAGTAGCTGCCAGACAGCAATGAAAAAATTCTTGACCTAAAAGTAGGTGAACACTTGTTCTTGAAACAGAATTTGACCACATTGAGAAAACAAAGAAACAAAAAAAGATTCATGTGCGATTTGGCAGGCAAAATGATATGAAAATGGTCTTTGGCAGTTTCGGTGAAGTGGGAGGCTGTAATTCATTCACACTGTAAGAGTGTTTTTAGGCATCATACTGGAAATATATTGGGCTGTGTCTAACTAACTTTGTTGGACCCGTTGAAATGAATGAATCAAAATTAGTCATGGTTATTAATTTTAATGAGTCTATTGTAAGTAAAAGTTAGCTGAATACAAACCATTGGTGGGGGGAGAAAATGAAACTCCAGTTTTGTTCAGAATGCCCTTAACGTCTATGCAATTTGTTTGTATGCACTCTTCTTAGGGATTTTCCATAGAACGAATACACCAAATAATTGTAATTATTGTTTTTATATTTGCAACCTGCTCTTCAGCCAAGAGGTCCTGTGGGCAGTACACAACATTGTATTAAAATACAGCATATCAACATAAAAGCCATTACAATGAAATAAAACCAATAACAGACAATGCAGCAGTCCAGGAAGAGCCAGATGTTATTAATCAACTCTCTTCTCCACTGAAGCTACCTGAGCCTCAAGTGACAGTAATGGCTCTAGGAGCCTTCAGAGGCAATGCAGCTCCATCCTCAACAGGCTGCCTCCTCAACTCTTGGACCCACAATCAATACCAACCATATTTTATATCTGTGCATATTTCTAGTAAACAAATAATCACGAAGAGCATCCAGCTATCCCCACTAACATTGATCTTCCCCCCTTTATTGCCTGTACCAAACTAGCCATCTAGGATGATTTAGTCTCATTTTTAAGTTCCACCCAGTTCCATTTTAAAATTGCATTTGTACAGCTTAACTTCGAGTTATGTGTCTTATTGGGCTCTGCCTTTGCCTTTTTTTGCAACCAGCTCATAAACACATTTCTCTAGAAACAAGCCTGTAATAATTACCTGGGAATAAACCAATGGGAATTACTTATGAGTAGACACATATGAGATTTCACTGCCAGTTACCATTTACTTCAGTAGCGTTATTTCCAGATAAGCATATTCAAGACTGCTTTTTACATTAGCAGAAAGAAAACCTCTCTCCTCTTTTGTCTTTCATGGCTAAGAACTACCGGTAAGTTATCTAACAAAATGTTAGGCTTAATTTGCTTCCCACTATTATAAATAGGGAAGCACCATCGTGAAATTGAATGGTGAGGTGAGGTTAAAATATTTTTGGCAGCTTTTAATAAAGGATCTCTGCTTCTGTAACTATGATTGTTATTCATATCTGTTAACTATAAGGGTTGGACTGGGTTGCAGCAGACATATTGCTCTCCTGTGTACCTAACATAATATTTATGGTCTTGTACCTTGTACTTGTGGCCTTTTATGATGATAATATTCATAAATCATCCTGAGACCAATCAGAGACTCTCACCACAGTTCCAATACCTCTGTACTATAAGCCATCCCAGCCTCCGAGACATACAAAGCGGAGCATATTAATTTCAGCCAGATAACTAATGGCCCATTTAATGCAACTGAACAACAGTGCGATCCTAACTCATGTTCTGTGCCACTGGAGGGAATTAGGGTAAAGCAGATGGGACTCTTCCCTGGCAGAGGAGCTCCACTGCTGTGGAGGCTCCTCCTGCACCCAGCAAGGAAGGAAAATGTTTCCAGTGGTTCTTCTGTCAGTGATAGCCTGAAGAAAAGCCCAAATGGGTTGCCAATACTTGGAAGCTGGTGCAGTGGACCTGAGTGAAGACTTGCTCAGTCTAGTTCACCACCAAAGCTCCACCCCCCCATGCCGATTTGAATTGAATAGTTGGTGGGCACTCCCATCATTCCCCGCAGTCGACCTTGGCCAAAACCAATGGCCAGGGCTCTTCCCACCCTACCCCAGGGAGCTCTGCTGGACTGCAACTGTAACCCACCCCTGATTCTGGGTAAGCATCCTTTATTGTGTCTGGACACATACGCTTGGATCCTAACTTTCATTTTATGAACAGAACAGAGTTCACATTTTATGGAAGGATAATTTCTTACTTCCTCCTTCCCTCTGCAACCCGGGAGATACTTGGGAATGATGTGGGATATAGTATGGGATGTTAAAGATTGGGGTGAGGTGGGGTAGAAATGCCCACATCCACATGAATAGAGGAGAAGCTTACAATCCAAGGCATGGACTTCAAAATCTAGTCATCATTATTTATGTTCTTATTTTATGTGCTCTGCTGCTGGAAAGGCCAAGTGATGTCATATTGAACATTATTGCACAATTTATGTCCCTTCTACAAGTAATGCTCAATTTACTGTTGCATATTAAAAGTCACTAAATAACTTATACATATTCTGCTCATATATTTATGGGTGTTTTGGCTTTCCCATTTGTACATCATTCTATTTAGAATACATAGTTCAGTGATCACATGAATCCTAACTGCTTGTTCATTAGAGATCTGGGTGGGGGGAGGGGGCAGGAAAAACAAACAATGACGAAGAAAATGGTTTGACAGTGTTCATGGAGGGTGTTTCTGCACTGTAGATTATTTTCCTTTTGTATTGTCAGATGTTCATTTGCATTGCTGCAGCAGTTTTGTATGGGGCTTACATGGTTCTTCCTTAGACCTTATTAGGAGCATCTAGGGCACAGGGCAGCTGCAAACATTTGATTATATTCAATCAATGCTGGTGTGTTAGGAGGGTGGCTGCACCCACAGGACCCTCCTCCTTGTGCCATAGCCCTATCAAAAACTCATTGTCATAGGCAGCAACTTTAAGAAAAACACAGTTACACAGGGAGTTCCAGCCATGGAGCTTCACCATTATATTTTGCGTTTTCAGTCTAAAAGACAGCTGTGGTCACTACAAACAGCTGTCAACAGTAAGTCCTATCCCATGTTTCAATGCCCCTGCACAGCAGTGCTTGGGGTCAGGATCCAGCTAGAGGCTGAAACCCATTGACTCCATGACTACAACTTAATACAGTTCAAAGGATGCAAGGGATATAATTTCCATGAACACCTGTTTCAGCCCAGCACCTGTGCTTCAGTGCTGCACCTATTCCTTCAATTGAAGTGCAACCCCACCTGGGTAGCACACCTAATTCCCAGATGTACAGTGTACAACTCTGTACACTGCCTCCATCTTGTTAGGATTCAGCTTCAGTGTATTGGTCTTCATCCAGCTCTTTACTGTATCCAGGCATCAATCCAGCACACACATAGCCTCAGATGACTCAGATGACAGAGAAAAATAGAACTGGCATTAACATACTGATGACACGTCACTCAAAATCCTCTGATGACCTCACTCTACAGCTTCGTATAGATGTTAAAAAAGATGAGGGGCAATATAGAACTTTGTGGGACTCTAGAGCACAAGTGCCATGGAGCCAACCAGAAATCTCCCAATGCAGCTTTCTGAAATTGACTCTGAAGGTAAAAGAGGAGCCACCATGTCACTGTGCTGCCACTTCCCATCTGACAGAGTTGCTCCAGCAGGATCCCATGGTCAGTATCACCAAAAGTCACAGAGAGATCAAGGAGAATCAACAGTATCACATTCCACTTGTCTCTCTCCTGGCAAATGTCATCTATTATGGCAACCAAGGCTTCCTCTATGCCAAACCCAGAACTAAACCTGGATTGAAATTCCTTCAGTAAATATGCTGGGGATTGCATTGCATGGCTGAATCATGCCCCATTATTTTTTGCAAATGTTACTTTGCATGTTGCTTAAGTAGGCTAAGCAATCTTCATTCTCTTTAGCTCTAAGGAATGAACCAATAGTACAGGATATGGACTGTATGCCATACTTTCCAGCTTCATTCCCCAACATCTCCAATTAGAAGAGTTATAAAGAGCAGGGTTGGGAGAGCCTGACACTTTGGAAACAAATCCTCAAAGTTAAAGAACATACTAGAAAATACAGCTGGCATCCGTCTGTCTCAGGAGACAAGGGAGGCATGTGCCTTTGGAGCTGAAAGTATGCTCAAGGTATCTAATTTGAGACAATATGCTTTGAATAAATTAACCCAATAAATGGAATTATTGGTCTTTACTTCTGAAGAGCATTGGGTGTATTGCAACTTCTAATATGTTTCTCCATTTCAAGCAGGCTTTGTCTCTCGTTTTTGTTTTGTTTGTTGGCTTCTAGTCCCCTTGGGGTGTTGCCCTTTCCATTTCCTACTTGAGACCTGGGAGATCCTCTGCACCATCAGAATAGATGACACTCGCAAAAATGGACTGATATACTGAGTCAGACCATATGTTCCTATGTTCTTCTGAGAACTGCCTTTGTAGCAACTCCATAGCTCTTAGGAAAATGAGCACAGATGTGATTGACTTTCACCGATGTGAAAGCCACAGGCAGTGGTGGTCCTTTCTGATTACCAAAAGCAACTTCTTCTCCCATGGTATACGTGGGCGCTGTGCTTTTATTTATTTTTGAACAGTTAGCAAAATTAAAGTCTTGAAACCTGACACCAGTTTAAGTGAACATGTTGTGACAGACAGTGAAGAAAGAATAACTCTAGCAGCGAGCTCTCCTCTGTCAAGATATCAGAGCTGCAAGGAGCAATCTAGTTTGCTGCACAGCGTCATGAGAAGGATGCTGACATTTCTAGTTTAAAACCATTGAACTCGGTATCTAGATGGTTTCGGTAGAATTGTTTCTGGTTGCTCAGTCATGTGCTACATTAGTGAATGGCCTAAAAGGTTTCTGAAGATATTTATTCAGCAATTTAGTCATTATCAGGTAAGAGAATCAATATGCTACTCTGTGGTATGAAATGACTAGATTTTGGCACGATAATAAATTCCACCGGTGTAGTTTTTATTTCACATTCTTAAAAAATATTGCTGCCTTTGCAAGAAGCCTCCTGTAAGCAGAAAGAAATATATTTAATTATTATATTTTGGTTAATGAGTTGGGATGTATTCAGCTGTCACAGTTTGTGGTCAGAGTATTACAATAAAAGTATCATCTTTTCCAGGTTGACCTGCTGATTGATAGTGAAGCAGAGAAAGATTATCTCTATGATGTGTTGCGGATGTACCATGAGTAAGTTATTCCTTCATATTGATTTCACACTTCTGGCAGTTTGGCATTTGGTAGGAAGAAAGTTATATCAGTAGAAATGTTTGCTCATCTTTAACCTGTAAAAAAAAATAGGCAGAGGAACTATTTAAGACTTCCTTTTAGCTTCTGCATTTAACACACAACTAAGGAATAAGCAAGACTTTTTATAATGTTCCTGAATTATTCCCAAAGTCTTATTCCAAACTGTTGAAATAAAGGAACGTTTGATAAAATGTTTTCTGAAACAATTGTCATTAGGAAACTAAAGGCCACCTGCACATTTGAAAATGCTAATAATATGATCCAGTTCTTAACTTTGCTTGATTCTGGCATTTTAGCCTTTGGTATTCTAGTCACATTTGAACAACTACAGTGCAACCCTATTTGTGTCTACTCAGAAGTAATCCCCATTATATTCAATGGGACTTGCTCCCAGGTAAACTTGTATAGGATTGCATCCTTTGTTATTTTAACACAGAGATCATCAGCAATTTCTCACATTTTGGTCCTATACGCTTGTGTTTTTCTAAATACAATACTGTAAAACAATACTGTACAAACAAGATACAAATATAGTTTCTGATATAATGCCATTTCCACTGTATACTATTTTCACCCAGCGTCTCATCTGTACACTGTACTTTCACCTGGTCCATATTGTTGTTGTTGGAGGAGATGAGAGTATTTTTCCATTCTTCATAGGTGAATGATTCTGGCCATTATCATTTCTGGGCATAACTTAATTAATAGCATCATAATGGAATGAAATGTAGACTTTTCAAGTTTCCATGTGCTCTTTGTGTTAAAGCAGAGTTTTGTGTAGCCTTGGCTACAAACCCGGTTTGGTTTCAGTTCGGGCTGTCTAATTGCTTCACCATTCATAGAGCATTGCCTGGAGCTCGTGACATCAGGAAGAATTCAGCGTAGTTAATTATTTAAAACTTCACTGGAGTTGTAAACCTAACAGATACCTCGAGCATTTATATTTCCCGCCCCATCACCCCCAAAGCTGGGAAATGTTGCTTACACTTAAATAAAATGTACAATATTGTTACAAAGGTATATGACTTTTTATGGTCCTTAGATTTCAAAGAAATACCCTAAATCCATTTTGCTAGATGAATATTTCATTTCCACATGTGCCCCTCCAGAAACTAACACTGAGCACCTGTAAGTGTGTTTGTGTATATTATTCCCCTGTTACCCTTGCCTCTGTCGTCTTTCCGCTCCTGTAAAAATTTACAGTATAAGCTCATTGGGGCTTTTGTTTATGTTATTCTGTAAAGATATATAGTTTTATTATTTGTGTCAGGAATGGATCACATCCATGCTAAATGGTTTCTGCATTAATATGTATTAAGTGTAGAAACTTTTATGACACAGTACTATTGCCAGTTTTCCACTATGTGTTTCTGTTCTTATGAGAGAGACGTGTGTGTGTGACCACTTCATATATCTGTTGTTCTGGACTCTAATCCAGAAAACCTTATGCCATAAAGCAGACAAATGCTTTTATTTAAACATACAACTGCTTGCCATGGATATCTATAAAAAATGGTGGTTTAAATATGCATTTAACATTTGGGGGGGGAATAATATAAAAACCATATAATCCAAGGCCAACACTGAGAACACAATATTTGTCAAACTTAGAAAAATAAAAAGACATTTGTTTATATTTTTAAAGATCACAACACATTCAGTTTGGCATTTCCTTTAATATTTGGTGATGTATTTCCTACCCTGGTGTGTATTTAATTGCCATTAATAATGTGTTACTTGTACATCAAGTGACATACTAGGGTGTCCAGTATCTTGTGATGACTGATGTAAAGAACACAAACAGATGGTATGGAGTTCTGCCGTTCTTTAGGCTAGAGTAACTCTGCTGAAGTCAACAGACTGGCTACAGATTAATTCTGTTATTTTCATAAAGTTATTACAGTATCCTGGAATCCCATTAAAATGTCAGTATGCATGTAATCTTAAACACTTGAAGATTAGCCGTGTGAAATACAATTGGGCTTATTCTTGAATAAGCATGCTTGTGATAGAACTTAAGAACTTATACACAGTACCATAGGAATGGGGCAGTTATAACAAAAAATGTGTATGCCATATGTTCAGATGCCTTTCAGGCGTTCTGTGGATGCATTTGCTTTGTGGGGAGAGGGGAAGGGGAATCACATTAGGGACCCCCATGCTGTGCCTTGACAACAGCCAGAGGTCTGAAATATTCCTAAGCCTACTGTACATGCCTGTGTGTACAGTGGTGCCTCAGGTTAAGAACTTAATTCGTTCTGGAGGTCCGTTCTTAAGCTGAAACTGTTCATAACCTGAGACACCACTTTAGCTAATGGGGCCTCCTGCTGCCACTGCGCCGCCACCACACGATTTCTGTTCTCATCCTGAAGCAAAGTTCTTAACCCGAGGTACTATTTCTGGGTTAGTGGAGTCTGTAAACTGAAGCGTCTGTAACCCGAGGTACCACTGTATACAACTTGTACATGCACAGGCTTCTCCAGAACACTAATAATAATAATAATAATAATAAATTTTATTTATATCCCACCCTCCCCAGCCGAAGCCGGGCTCAGGGCGGCTAACAACAGTCAAATAGTCAAACAGTCAAATTCTAAAAACATTCTAAAAACATTTCATTATAAAAATTAATTAAAATCAAATTGTTGGCAACCGATTAGGCAAGATTCTGTGCAGGTTGCCAGAGGAGGGAGTCAGGCTGCGCCCTGACCAAAGGCCTGGTGGAACAACTCTGTCTTGCAGGCCCTGCGGAAAGATGTCAGGTCCCGCAGGGCCCTAGTCTCTTGTGACAGAGCATTCCACCAGATTGGAGCCGCCGCCGAGAAGGCCCTGGCTCTAGTTGAGGCCAGCCTAACCTCTCTGAGGCCTGGGACCTTGAGGATGTTGTTATTTGCAGACCGTAGGTTTCTCTGTGGGGCATACCAGGAGAGGCGGTCCCGTAGGTACGAGGGTCCTAGGCCGTATAGGGCTTTAAAGGTTAAAACCAGCACCTTAAACCTGATCCTGTACTCCACCGGGAGCCAGTGCAGCTGGTATAGTACCGGATGAATGTGATCTCGCAGCGAAGACCCCATAAGGAGTCTCGCCGCGGCATTCTGCACCCGCTGGAGTTTCTGGGTCAGTTTCAAGGGCAGCCCCACGTAGAGCGAGTTACAATAGTCCAGTCTGGAGGTGACCGTCGCATGGATGACAGTGGCTAGATCAGGGCGAGAGAGATAAGGGGCTAACTGCTTAGCTTGGCGGAGATGAAAAAATGCCGCCTTTGTTATAGCTGTAATCTGCGCCTCCATAGAGAGGGAGGTATCGAAGATTACACCCAAACTCTTAACGGACGGTGCTGGCACTAATTGCACCCCCGCAAGAGATGGGAGTTGCCCCCTCGATCCCATATCGTCCCGCCCCAGCCAGAGGACCTCTGTCTTCGAAGGATTTAACTTCAACCGGCTCCCACGAAACCATCCAGCCACAGCTTCCAGACATCTGGTCAGTGTGTCTGGGGCCGAGTCAGGATGGCCGTCCATCAACAGATAGAGTTGGGTGTCATCAGCATACTGATGGCAACCCAGCCCAAAACTCCGGACAAGCTGGGCGAGGGGGCGCATAAAGATGTTAAAAAGCATTGGGGAGAGAATCGCACCCTGAGTCACAACCAGGATCGCGATGACAATCCCCCCAAGCGCCACCTCTGTCCCGACAGAAAAACGAGCGCACCATTGAAGATGTCCTGGATCCCACTCGGAAGCGTGGTCCGAAGCTGATCGACATGTCAAAGGCTGCTGACAGCAAGAAGAATCAGCACCGCTCGATCCAGCTGTCGAGATCATCTGGACAGAGCCTCTCGTCCATGCCGCGGGAAGCCGGATAGGTAATACCAATGCAGAGGTTCAGGCCACAGATAGTGAGCACCCATCTTCAGCACCACAGCCATGGAAGCATAGGAATGTAGGAAGCAAGACCATTGGCCCATCTAGCTCAGTATAGCCTGCACTGACTGGCAGTGGCTCTCTAGGATTTCATGCAGGGTTCTCTCCCAGATCATTCTGAAGATGTCAGGGGTTGAACGTAGGACCTTCTGTATGCAAAGCAAATAATTACCCCTGAGCCCTTCCCCCATCTCTTCAGATAAAACTGTGATTAAAGTTATATAGCCTTTTCATAACGTTCAAGGAATGGCATTTTTTCCCAGAATGCTGGCCATTTCATTTCCAAGCGTTTTCTTATAGATGGTGAACATTTGTCCTCTGCACAGACAGTGTGCAGAGTTTTGTACAGTGTGCAGTTTTGTATTGTGCATGTTGGACAAATGCAGAATCACATAGCATTGGGGTTGTGTAATCCACATAAATTTGGACTAACAGCCTATACTGATCTTTTAACTACTCTCATTGTAGCTTTCAAATATAGGCCCTGCAGCATATTTTACTTTAACTCCATGAACTCCATTTAAATGGAGGTGTCTTATGTCTCAAATCAGTGGATTTAACATTAGAATCAGAAGAAGAATGACTCTTGGGGGCAGGGGTTTTAAGGTAGCCTTATGAAAGCCACAGAGCACAATATGTTAAGTACATTGTCAGTAGTTAATATTGCATTCTCCTTATAACCCTCTTCAACTTCATTTTGTAGATCCATGAATCTTCCAGTGTTGGTGGGAGATCTGAAGTATGTAATCAATGAACCAAGCCGACTGCCCTTATTTGAGGCCATACGCCCTCTCATCCCATTAAAACATCAAGTGGAGTATGATCAGTTAACACCTAAACGATCTAGGTAGGTTTGATCAAAGTACCTCTCTGTATATGAGCACACTTTTTTCTTTTTTGCTAATTGATGAATTCTTACTCAAGAACTCAGGAAGTATACACAGTGGTGCCTCGCAAGACGAAAATAATCCGTTCCGCGAGTCTCTTCGTCTAGCGGTTTTTTCGTCTTGCGAAGCAACCCTATTAGCGGCTTAGCGGATTAGCACTATTAGCGATTTAGCGGCTTAGCGGCTATTAAAGGATTAGCGGCTTAGCAGCTAAAAGGCTATTAGCGGCTTAGCGGCTTAGAAAAAGGGAGAAAAAAGGGGGGGAATCGCAAGACTCGCAAGCCGTTTTGGTCTTGCGAAGCAAGCCCATAGGGAAATTCGTCTTGTGAAGCTGCTCAAAAACGGAAAACCCTTTCGTCTAGCGGGTTTTTCATCTTGCGAGGCATTCGTCTTGCGGGGCACCACTGCATAGGCATATTGATCAGTTATTTGCCCCAGCCCTCGCCTAACCTTAGGTGGCTCCCCTCCCAAAAAAATTCTTTTCAGGATGCCTCTGTTTCTGCAGCAGAAAGTTAATATCAGTTAATCAATCATAGCAGGTCTCCTCCTGAAGTTCTTCCCCTTTTCTTCCTCCCTCATCCTGATAATAAACAGGAGGGAGAGGTGCTCCCTAAGTCCTTTGAGCCCAGGAGCCCTGCTGATTAAAGAGCTGTCAGGTTTGTGGAGACCAAGACTAGTATTGTTATTTTTTATATTTTAAGTGGGGCTCTTGTGTCTTTAACAGCTGCACAGCAGACAGAAGTTGAACAGATGCCTTTTCTAACATGGAAATGCAAATCATTTTTAAAAGCAATACCAGTTTCTATCTGTTGAGACATGTTATAAGAGTAAGAGTCAAAAAAAAGAGAGAGTGGCATCCTTATAAGAGTCTGGAGTACCCAGCCAGGGTAAGGGAGGAGAGCTAATGAAAGTTGGAAGTTGCTTCCTACTGCTCTATACAAGTGGCCTTCCCCTCCCTAAGACTTAGTTGCATGCAATGCAAATACAAGTAATTTGACGAAGTAAAGTATAGGACAACACACTCCACCTTCTTCAGAAGCCTTGAAAATCAACACCAGTGAATGGCAGATGGGTATATGGGACTGTTTAAGTAGCAACTGTAAATTCTGTTTATCCTATTCCAACTTTTGCAGAAAACTGAAGGAGGTGAGGTTAGATCGTTTGCATCCTGAAGGACTTGGGATAAGTGTGAGAGGAGGTGTCGAATTTGCCTGTGGCCTTTTTATTTCTCAGCTAATGAAAGGTGGACAAGCAGACAATGTTGGACTTCAGGTGAGAAGGACATTCTGTCTCGTATAGCTAGAAAATATCTTATGTATATATTCCATTATTCAAGTTGGTGGAGTTGCTGCTGCTTCCTGAGAAGGGGAGGGGAGAGGTGGCAGCAAGAGTGGTGCAGTGCAACACACTACCATGAGCACCTTGGCGCTACTGGTGTGTTTGTACTGTGCCAGCCTCATTGCTGCCTCTACTTCCCAGTAAGCAGCAATGACATGAGCACCCCACCATACTGTCCACTAGTAATCAAATGTAAGAATACTGTTTATCACTATAAGCTCTTTTTGCCAGGATGTGAGATTGTAGCCTGTAGGAGGAACCTATGTTATGAGCACTAATACACTGACGAACAAGAAAACATGCATAGGACCCATTACAAACCTACACACACAATAAAAATGTGGCTTTAATATAGAAAAGGGTTAGTCTTGCACATATTTTAAAGGTGAAAACTAGCATTTATACACCCGTGTGCCCTCTGTAACTGACACGACACATTTTGAAACCAGTGAACTAAGTTTGTTGCTTCATAATGGATATTCGCAGGCATTCCTGTTTCATGAATGGTTTGAAAAAAGCTTAGATCATGAGCCAGCCCATACTCAGAAATCTTCCAACAGATGAATAAGAAGGGAACCTCATGAGAGGGGAAAATGTGAATCCATTCCTAGACAAAGGGCATATATGAACAAATAAATCCCACACCTTCCTATTTTGACTTCATTAAAGTATATCTATTTATACCAAACCAGTAATCTCGTTTGCAGAAAATGTAGCTCTGCCTTCCTTGGTTTGTTGATATGTGATGTTAAGAATCAGCTTAAGGTGCCTTCATAATAGTCTGTACAAGACACTTTCTAAAACTTTCTAAGACCAAGTGAACAAGGGGAGTTGACAGGCTGCTCATTGTTCTAAATTGCTGTCTCATGATAAAGCCAAATGCTTCTGAAATTTCACCCATCTGCATTATTTCACTAAATCTCCACACATTTTCCAAGCTAGAAAAAAAATGTAGTCTGGGAAAAGGCATAATGAACTTCTATCATAATATTATGTTTCTGGCTCCTTTTTTTCCTATACCATTTTGATCCATCCTCTTGACTATGAGAAAATGAGGTAGTTTTTCCACCACTTAAAGTGTGTATGTGGGTCTGTATAATCAAGATACGTAACTGAAACGTTTGTGGCATTGACCTATTTTCTTCTGATTTCTCCTTCTTCTTTTTCCTAAATGGATACAGTTTAGTCTTTTCATGCATTTCATCTGTCTATTTTGTTGCTCTCACAGATACTGTACTCATATCTTTGGGGATTATGTTAACTAAAAAGGCCTGGAGATTATTATGAATAATAGAAGTAAAGGAAACACTAAAAAAGTAAATCTGAAACCATCATGATTCTGCTCCGTATACTTGTTAGTATAAAAAAGGCCCCCTTTTCAGACTGTAAAAACAAAGGAATGCATGAAACAATTTTCTATTTTAGTTCCCCGCCCCCTTGCTTTCAGTCCCTTAGTCAATTCTTCTGTAATAACATACTGGTGCTTAATACATTGACAACAGAAAACAGAAAGGTTTTTGCCAAGTCTACATTATACAAAAGCTAGCAAACATTTATTTCATGAAGAGTGTAGCTTGCCAATAATGTATTTAATGGCTATTATTGGAGCATTACACAAACACACACACACACACACAGAGAGAGAGAGAGAGAGAGAGAGAGAGAGAGAGAGAGCATGAATGCAATTCATCCAACTTCTTTTGGTGTGGTGGAAATTTGTCCAATTTTGTCTTCCTGTAGTAGTGTGACCAAAAGCCATTAACTCATGTATGTTTTAGACAATATAAGAAGATAGGATTTGTTCTTACACACTGACTGATATTTATACTGGTAGTTGTATAAGTGCAAAATAGTGTTGGTCCACACTCACAAGGAGTCAACCGCTTACTGTGGCAGCCTAATTTATGGAACTCCTTGCAGATACAAAGCCTTGGCAATACTGTCTTCGATACCTGCTAAATACTTTTTGCTTTTTGTTTAGGTTTTGTCAAGTCTAGATAATTTCAAACTGTTGATTTTATCTGGATTTGGTCAATTTTAGTACTTGTTGTAAAGTTTGGTTTTACCAGTATTTTCCAATGAATATTTTATATTCTTTTCTGTAAACTGCTTCAACTATTTTTCCTATTAAATAGTAGATAAGTCTTGTTAAAGAAAGGAGTAAAAATACCGGTAAATATATGTGCAGAACCAGCCCCAAAGCCCAGCCACAAGAAGATCAATCTCCCACTTCAAGTCAGTAGAGGGAGCAAGAGGGGGCCGCAGGAGACCATGGAGACTGCTGAGGGTGGAGCAAAAGAAAGCATTCTGCATGGATACCGTTTGCATTTGGAAAAGGAAAGAAAGAAGTCTGGCTACGTGCTGGATGGCAAGAAGCAGTCTTTGGGAGAAAGTGAGAACAGGAATCTCTCTGATTTACCTTTGTTACATAATGGTGTATTCAATTGTGTATTCAAATCTGATACACTACGTGACATTTGTACGCAGACAGTGAAAGAGAAGCAAGAGAAGCATTATGGACATATATGCCTCCTGAAGCTAACCTCTTCATGCAGAAAATTTTCATTTATGCTGGGGGTGAAAGGACCAAAGAGAGAACACACCGTCCTCCCTATCAATAAGGGATTTTACAGTTTAAAAAATTCCCCAGTAGGTGGAGCAAGCACATCATTCCTAATATCAGTGAAGACAATTATTTTATTCCACCCTCTGCATGCTGTTCAAGTAGTACTTTGAATCTAAACTAAAACCTTCTCCTCCCTGTAGAATTGTTGGCTAATTTTCTAGGAAGGGCTTTTGTGCATTTAGCAAGTGCATGGTATGAACGAAATAATAAGCAACAACAAGGGGAAAGATCTGCTAAATTTGTATCAGTTAAAGGTAAAGGTACCCCTGCCCGTACGGGCCAGTCTTGACAGACTCTGGGGTTGTGCGCCCATCTCACTTAAGAGGCCAGGGGCCAGCGCTGTCCGGAGACACTTCCGGGTCACGTGGCCAGCGTGACATCGCTGCTCTGGCGAGCCAGAGCCGCACACGGAAACGCCGTTTACCTTCCCACTAGTAAGCGGTCCCTATTTATCTACTTGCACCCGGGAGTGCTTTCGAACTGCTAGGTTGGCAGGCGCTGGGACCGAGCAACGGGAGCGCACCCCGCCGCAGGGATTCGAACCGCCGACCTTTAGATCGGCAAGCCCTAGGCGCTGAGGCTTTTACCCACAGCGCCACCCGCGTCCCTTGTATCAGTTATGTAGCTATTAATGGCACAGGATCCTTATCTGGAAACAAAACAAACAGACATTGACACTCAACTATGTTGCAATGCCCCTGTGATGTTTGCTCTTTCTCACTTTTGTCTTGTTGCACCTTTGTACATATTTCATCTACATCCAGGGTAGCTATCCTGCCCCACATCATGGGGGGCTGATACAGGCCTCCAAAGCAAATTTTTCTAGCCTGCCCTTCCCTCAACCCCACTGATTCAGCAGTGGGGAAAAGGAAAAGTTAAAGTAGGCTAAGTGTTGTGATGGAACCTTGGTAGCTCCCTCTTTATGCAACATGTTAAATTGAAAGGCTTTTTAAAAAATGAATTAGTCCTTTGCAATACAGATGACATTTTAAATAGATATTCAAGCACAAAGAGGCAGACATCAAAGTTGCAAAAGCAGCTTCAGGCAAGGCCTGCAATAGGCCAAATTAGATCTCTTATGCAGTGGCAGAAGGGAACTCCGTTGATGGGATCTGGATCCAACTTGTGGAAATTCAACTCAGTCCTAGCAAATGTGAATACAGTAAAGGGAAAAAGCAACCGCATCTGCTTTGCTACACCATTCCAATAGATGAGCGGCACATAATTTCAAACAGAAGTTAACACTGCTGTAAATAGCAAGGTTTAAGGAAGGGTTTTTGGGCCCCAGAGCAATCCTGGGTCAGAGCTTTCATGCCAGATTGTTGGGGCAAGGTGGTGGTACCTGATTAAATAAGCCGTGGCAAATGAAATTTTAAAAAGACTTATACACACCACAGATCAGGTTCTCTGTGTTTGCTGCAGTGATTAAGTGTATCAACTAACATCTGTTTAGCATGTGATTTCCTTGGCTGGAAAATATGGCCTGAAATCAGTTATTTCAGGATTGAATTAAATTAAACTTGACTCATTATGTGAGTAAAACAAGTACCATGCAATGATAACTGATAAGCAAGTGCCGTAAACCAAAGCTGAGCAGCAGCCCACTGAAAGAATGCATTGTTCTTGCAGTTCACCTTACTAGCTTTCCTAGCCCATCAGATGGAAGCAATATCGTTAAAATGAGCTTTTAGTAGACTACAAAGGGAATTAATTGAATTTAGGATTTGATTGAATAAAATGGCATGTAGTCAGTGGTTGGCGCTTATGCAACAAAACTAAAAACAAACCCTTTGCATAATTTAGGCAGTAGCGGACAGTGAGGCAGGGCTGCCCTACTCACCTGAGCTACTTCCGGCTGATTTGCTACTGCATATAGGGAGGGAGAGGGGCAAGGCAGAATCAAAGGCAGCATGGTGCAAACAAGCCAGCAAGAGCACTGGATTACCTCTGCTGCAGCATTTGCTCCTTGCTGCCACCTTGCCCCTCTCCTTCCCCATCCCAATACGCAGCAGAGACTCAGATTTAGGGATGTCAGGTGAGAGGCACAGGTCCACCACGCCATCCACTGTTGGGTCTAGAGGGGCTGCTGTGTGGATTTGTTACAGCAAAAACAGCATGAAGTCTTCAAGACTGACTTAATACTTTGGTCTCAATAAATCCTGGAAACAGCTAGCTCACTACAGAAAATAATTCTCTCTGTGCCTGTTTATTTATTTTGGTCTTGCTATGCCTATTCATCACCAGCAGACACTTATCTAGAGTGGATCTTGAACTCACTGGATTGGAGTCTCTGTATTCATCAGCACCAAGCACAGCATTATGGCACACTTACTTCATTGCTATTGACATTTCGGCTTCACTTTGCACCAAAAATAAAAATACTCTCTACGTACTCGGGATATATATTTACCTACTTATTTAGGTGAACACTACATACATCTAATGAACTTACATAGTTTATGTATTTGAAGGTGTCATGCAACATTGTGGTCTTCACTAGAATTTTACTATGTAATTTAGTCTTTGCATCATTTGCTATGCTCAGTCTTTAGTTGTTGCTGTTAAGAGACTGCAAAATTTTACTGCCTCCATGTGGAGACGGTCTAAAAGCACTTACTCATGTTAGTGGCTACGTTGTTGGTATGCAATATATATCTATTGTCCTGAACATTGAATTAAATGAAGTAATGTACTCTAGACTTTAGCTGGATGTCTAGACCTAGAGTAAGTAACCATTAATTTAGGTCCATCACCAGGTTATATATGGCAGAATGCAATGCAATGAAATTGCATAGATTCTGATTATACTGAACTGTTCCCTAGGGCTTAACAGCAGGAAATGCAAGTCAATTACCAAATAATATACTCCATCAAAGTATACAAAGGATACAGTCCATCCCAGAAACAGCTTTGATGTGTGATCCCAAAACTGTACCTTCAATGGCTTGGATCCTAAGTTGCTCTTCTATTCATAGAACTTTTTCTCTTAATGAAATTCAACTCTGATCCTGCTGGCAGATAGTGAAAGGGAGACTATTTTCACCAATTCCTCCTTTCCCCTCAGGGTCACCTCTCATGGTGCTTCAAATGGTCCTCCAACCCTGTAGAGAAGATTTTTGGAGGTCACAGGTGGAAAGGGGAATTAGTGAGCATCCTATTCCATTCACTCAGAGTTCGGATCTGAGCCGATACACATAAAATAGCTGAAAGAAATAAAGGATTGCTGGACAAAACAATAATGTACTTCTCAGCAAGGGAGCATATATAGGCTGCTCAGATGTGATCAAGCAACTGCATAAAACTTGAAAGTTGTCATTTGCCCATTCCCAAAGATGTGTTCCATTAATTTCACAGCAGGATATGTCTCATTTCTACACAAAAAAGCCTTCTTTCAAATGCATTGTCCATTTGAAATTGTTTGTTCCTACTGAAACACACTATATAAAATACTATTTTCACAGAATCTTAGAACTGTAGAGTTGAGAGTGATCACAAAGGTCATCTAGTCCAGCTCTCTGCAGTATAGCAATCTTTTGTCCAACATGGGGCTTGAACCCACAACCCCAACTGAGTTATCTCAGCTTCTCTCTCTCTCTCTCTCTTTCTTTTTTAAACTAAGGTTGGAGATGAGATTGTTCGAATAAATGGATACTCCATTTCTTCATGTACTCATGAAGAAGTGATCAATCTTATTCGCACAAAGAAAATTGTGTCTATAAAAGTGAGACGTGAGTAGAACATTGTTTTGATATTTTGCCAAAATTCCCATACTTTAGTGCTATTGTGGCAACTGACAGTAAACTTTATTTCATTGCAGACGTTGGCATGATACCTGTGAAAAGGTAATTGTCTTTTGGCTAAATGCATATTTTACATACAATATGGAATGTATCTAATAATTTACAGTGGTACCTTGAGTTACAAACGCCTCAGGTTACAAAAGCTTCAGGTTACAAACTCCACTAACCTGGAAGAGTTACCTGGAGATGAGAACTTTGCCCCAGGATGAGAATGGAAATCGTGTGCCGGTGGCGCAGCGGCAGCAAGAGGCCCCATTAGCAAAAGTGCGCCTCTGGTTAAGAACAGTTTCAGGTTAAGAATGGATCTCCGGAATGAATTAAGTTCGTAACTAGAGGTACCACTGTACACTGCTTCTGTCAATTTCCTCTGCTTAGTAGCATCACATTTTGAAAACTGAAAACTACACAGTTTTATGTTCTTGCCTTCCATCTTTCTCGGGATACAATGTAGTACACCTCCAGTGGGGGAGTCAAACAGCTGCGTTAGCAGCACTCAAGTGACCTCCCTAGGGCACAAGCCTGGGCAGTGTATATGGAGGTCTTGGGCTGCCAAGGTAACAAGGCCTCTGGGCCTCTGGGCCCCACTGATGTGGTCCAAAGGAAAGCAGAGCAATACATTTGGCACTAGCTTGGCTGCAGGAATTGTCGGAAGGAGGTGTACAAGTTGCCATCCAACCATATTGGGGACTCCACTCTGGACTTGTATAGAGTTTACTGCTTAGCCTTTTCTTCTCCCTCTACAACACATACAAAAACTACCTTCTTGACTGTTGGACCCACTATTGGTCTCATCTGCTCAATCTGCCAAAGCCTGTCTTTGCATGCAGTGGAAGCCCCTAACTCACTGTGGGTTTGAGACCCTTTGGCTACCTTCACCTGGTTTAGCTGTCAGTCAAAGCTGTTTCCTGGGGTGTGGCCGCTGTTGCATGATGACAGCTTCTAGGAGCCACAGGTGAGAGCTGAGTGCAGGGTGGGGACCAAAGGTGAGCAAACTACCCCAGAAGCAGCACGCTGTGTCCTGCAGAGAGGTACTACACAGTTTTATTTCGATGGGATTTAGCACATACAAGTCTATGTTGAATTGGAGCCATTCATTTTACCTGAGGTTTTTCCTTTTAAAAAGCCATTATGCTCCTTAAAGTGCTTTTATTAAAATTATTTGTGACCAAAGTTCAACCAACACAATCTTACTGGACCTGTAAATTAACAGCTAGCATTTGATTCTGTATATTGGGGATCATATGGCTTGCAGCCAAACAAGTATTAGCTCTCCAAAGCCTTTTAAAATCACCAACAGCCAGCTGACAGAAAACTGTTTAAACATCCCGACTGGTCCACAGCAAGGGAAATTTAGGTTGCAACCCAACATCAGGAGGTGTGGTATGAAAGCATTCACAGTGCATTACTTATTTCATCTTTTATTTGTTCATATCTAACCACTTATATATTTTCTAGTTCTACTGATGAGCCTCTCAAGTGGCAGTTTGTAGACCAATTTGTATCAGATCCTGGGGTAAGCATTAAGAAAATAACTTTTGCTGCAAATTTTAAACTCTGTGCTCATAATAAAATTTTGCATTAGACCTATTTTTATAATATAGTGTTTTGGGCACTGTACAAAATTGTTTGGTTTACACTGAATACATTTGGAATGGGATGACTGTATGAATTATATATTTCCAAAACACTTTTGGATATAGGCACGTGGAGAATTGAGTTCATTATATGATAATGCTTAGTATGTGTAAACCTATCAACAATAACTTATGTATTTCCTTCCGTATCCCCCGATGCTTTGCAAAACTTTATCTAGACTTTGATGATGGGCAAAAAATCAGCATGCCTTTTTAGCTAGTGGACTTCAATGTCAGAAACTCTGTTGCCCTAATTTTTGCGTTTTAGGAAGGTAAAAGCAGTGTTGCAGGTCTTGCATCATCTGGAGGAAAAAACCACAAAGAAAAGAAAGTTTTCATTAGCTTGATTGGTACAAAGGGCATGGGATGCAGGTGAGCTGCCATTTATTTCTCATCACTCATTTCATCTGGAAAATATAATGGATGTGATCTAGCCAAAATTAAGAAGGGTTTAACTGTGACTGGATCTTAAGTTAAATATATTTATGCAAATGATAGTGTTCAGAACCAGATATAAGCTGCTGCACACATCACTTGTCCATTATTGGTCAAAGCTGCAACTCTTTTCGTCTTTGGGTAATGTGTACTGACGATAGGCGTCTCTTTACTGAATTACTGTGCAAAGAATTGTTCATTACCAATAATTAATGAGGTTGCAAAATCAATTGATTCTATCCTCTTCTCATATGGACTAAGATATGACTCGATTTCTTTTATACAGTATTCTTTGGCACGCTGAGAAAAGTTGTGCCATGTCTAATTGTGCAACAGTAGAATATTAGTGTTAGTGGGTTGTTACAGATCCTATGGCACCAATAGAGCTTAAATGAAGTACATTTGCTGTACATCTGATCCAATGTATTCTCATCAATCTGAAAGTAACCAAGTTATTTACAGTACTTGGTTATTTGACCATGATTGTTTACTTGCATTATTCCATTGCATAATGTCGTTTTGTTTTCATTGTTTATTCCAGCATTTCCAGTGGTCCCACACAAAAACCAGGCATTTTCATAAGTAATGTTAAACCACATTCTCTGTCTGCAGAAGTAGGGTTAGAGGTAAGTGTAATGTTGATGAAACCATCTGGTTCTATGATAGCCCCATGCTGTCCCCTCTGCCGACAGAAGGCATCTATTAGAGGAAAGGGGAGGGAAGAAATTTTGAGAGTTCTCTATTGTCCTCACATCTTCAATCTACTCCAGAGTGTGTTTCAGTCCTCCAGAGCAGAATTTGGGACATACAGAGGTCTGCAACAAAACGAGAACAATCAAGAATTGCCATCCTCCCTGTACTATGGATGGATGCCTCCCATCAACAGAGGGGACAGCACTGGTTATTGTCCATGACAGGTCTTATGTTGAAATGGCCATGTTAAAGGAAACAAAATCAGTGGTGTCTTCCAGACACCAATGCAAAGTGAATAAATTCAATAAGATTGAAAGGTTAAAAATATCCCAATGTTTACCTTAATCTTCAAATTAGTTGTTTTGAAGTGGCCTCATCTTATTCACTTTTCTGAAACAACTGGTTTGAGAACTGAAGTCTGTGTGAGAACTCTGCTGAAGTTTCAAGTATTTTGTTTGTTTCCTTGTTTTCAGGTTGGTGATCAGATCGTTGAAGTAAATGGAATGGACTTTTCTAATGTGGATCACAAAGAGGTAATGAAAAGGGCCAAGTTGTCCTATTTCATAAACTGAAAATGGACACCTTACACTAACTTTTAAATCAATCTGTTTCACAACTCTCAGATTTTTAGGATTCAGCCAACAAATATTGGAGTATAGTTTAAAATGTTTGAATCCAGGACTTCCGGGTTGGCGCCATCGCCGAATGGCGGACTCCCTCCGCGCTCCGGAGGGAGCCTGCTCGGCAGGGGCTGGGTCCTACCGCGCCGGCGACGCAGGGACCCTTAAAAACCACGGGCACGGAGCCCGTGGACATGGGTGACTCGGCTGGCACCGTTAGCGCCCTCCCGACTCGTGAAGGAGCCTTTTTAAAGGCTACGGATCGGGTGCCGGGGAGTGGCGTGGTGCTTTGAGTCCTCTGCTTTCCCTGCCGAGCGAAGCCGCATGCCATCCGGCGGAGAGCGCTGACTTCTTCCATTGAAAATTCGTACTTTTAACAACAACCCGTGAGTAATTGGGAAACCGGGTTTAAAAGGGGAAAAAATGAATCTTTTTTTGGATTTGGCACGAGCGGGGGGGGGATCCATAAAGGAAGTCAGTCCCCCTCCCTACTGTAAACATTTTAAAACAAGGACTGGGTAACCAAGGTCTAAAAAGAAGCGTATTTCTGACAAAAATTAAGAATTCCACGATGGAAAACTACAAGAACTGTGCTGGAGGAGAAGAGTGGAGGGAGAAGGAAAACGCAACCCCCCCCTGGGAACCGGGGCGATTTGTGAGAGAGCCTGGTGAAAAGAGACGGAGACTTTGACAGCTGTCAAAGTAGCTGTCAAAGTCGGAAAATTTAAAGAGGACTCTGCTATGAGGACTTTGCTAGTTAATTTCGTTACAATTTGCTACAATTTGGATACAAAATGTTGAAAATGTGGAATAACAATCGGTCTTTTGGATCAGAGGAAACAAAGTTACTACAATCCCCCTAGAGGGGTTTCGGGACATTACAAAGATGGTCGTAAGTGGAAAAATACTCTTGGAATTGTACAGGACTTGTTATCTCCTGGGAAAGCTGCAAAGCTGAAATAGTATTTTGTCTACAGGGGTGCTTACATTAAAGGAGACAATAGAATTTTCTATTGAAGAAAGGAAGGGACTGAACGCAAGTTTTTGTTCCTGAATAACAACAACCCCTGTAGAGCTACTAAATTTCTGAATTAGAACGTTTTAGCAACGGAACAAGACAAGAAATTGGACTACAACATGGAAAGAACAATGGGGGGAGCCTTAAAGACCAAGGAAACTAAAGGCCCTTAGGGGCCGTTTTTGGATTGGAGATTTGAAGTTAAATACCATAAAAATAACTTTAAAAAAAAGCTGGCAAGGAACTGGGGGAAAAATCTGATTATGGATCTAAGACTTCCAGGCAGACAACAGACAGACTGATGGACATGGGGAATCTAAACCGGGGAAGGGGGGGGGAGATTTAGAATCCACAGGCTGGGTAACTATTTTCTGGAACTTTTTTTATATACTTTTTATCTTTTATATCTTTATATAGTTTTTTATACTTTGTTGGGGAGCCTTTATTTAAAAAAAAAGGGAATTCGTGGAAGGAAAATGGGGTGGACTTTGGGGGGAGAATCTTTGATTTTTATTTAAGGTAATGATGATGACTGTATAAATTCAAATTTGAATATTGGGTTAAACAAATTAAGTTTTAAATTGGGAGTGAGAGCTTGTAGAACCAACGTTATGAAAGGGGAATATGGTAGGGATGGGGGAGGGGGGAGTCCCAGAAAGTGGGTAATGACAGTAAGGTTTCAAATGTATTTTATTTTTGTTTTACTTTTACTTTCTGTATTTTGGAAATTTCAATAAATATGATTTAAAAAAATAAAAATAAAATGTTTGAATCCAGACACTGCTTTCACTACAAAGTCATCTGCATTGTTTTAACTGTCCTGCTCTTAGAATGAGATTCAGTCAGCATCATTACCAGGTGGAGAGGGTGCCACTGTAGTTGTGCTGTGTACACCTTTGCAGCTGGACAAAGACATGCATGTAAATATATTATCCTTTCCTCTCCCCCACCCCACCATTTTTTCAGGCTGTGAAGGTGTTGAAAAGCAGCCAAACCCTGACTATCACAGTTGTAACTGGAGCCGTAAGTATGAATGTCATCGTAATCAGCAAAGACCCTGTGAAAATCTAGAAAACCACTGTATTCACACTGGTTCTCAAAGTACATATGCTAGCCAGAAACCAGGGATGGGAGACATATACTCAATTCTAGTATAATCTAGATTCAAATTGATTGTTTGGGGCTTAAGTAGTTTAAGTAATTTCTGAACATCTGAATGTCATCTTTTAGAGACATCAGCAGTTCACTGATCAGTTCCTCTGAACTGGTTGTATTTTGTTGTGCATATTGTTTTGTTCATTTTGTGGCATGTGAAAATATTTTAGAACCTCAAATAAGCCTTGAATGTTCAAGGGAGAGTTAGAAATCCTTCCAGGGGGCAACGTATTTACCCCATAGCTCTCATTAACTCCTGCACATGGAACCACAGGGAAAGTAGCCATGAAAAATTGTCTTCTATAGCTAGCCAAATAAGACATTGCCTGTTTGTTACAACGATCATGTATGAATGCAGTGCATCTGCACCACAGCCCACAAGGGTACACAGCTCTCCAAGTGAATTAATCAATTGCACTAACATTAATCATGTTTCAAGGTAGTATAGCTCTCCCATCAAGCATGACACTCTGCTTAGACTGATTTTCAGCGACAATTTTTGACCCATTCTTTCAAATGAATAAAGGGGAAAAATAAGATAGCAGTGTGACTAACCTAGTTCCTAAAATACCTTCCCATTCCCCTCACAACACAGTCAGAATGCTTGTATAACCAGCTAGGCATAACACCTCTTGATTCTGAAGACACACCATTCAGTGTGAAAATATGCAGTTACAAGAAGATAGAGGTGAGGCTACCACTTCTGAAATACTGTATACACATTGAAGGTAATGACAGTGTCAAGCACAAAGCTAAAGTGAAAAAGCATGGCATTTCATGTATCTAAAATAGACTTATAATCAGACATATATAAATCTGAGTTTCACACTAATAATGTGGATTTCATATTTCTTGTAATGAAACCCCCTCCAAAAAAAAGAACTCAGAAAATTGAAAATTTTGCAACATTTTGTATTCACTTAAAAGAGGTTTTACATTCCTACTGATGGCTAGATAGATAGATGATAGATGATAGAGATAGATGAGAGAGAGATCTTATTTATAAGATTTACAAATCTAATTCGTAAAATTTATTACCAATCAATAACTACAATAGCTCTTTTTTATACATCTGCTAGATAAAAGCAACAATTTTCATTGCCTAGGGGAAAAGGTATTGTCAATGTGTATTACCTGGCAGATCTTAAAAGGGAGAATTCTATACAAATTTGCTAACAAAACTTAATTAACAGGAATTTGAAATAATATTTAGGGAAAGGAGCTGTTTATGACTGAAGAGGAGAAGCAGAGGGAAGAGACTAGCCGTGAGTTGGAGCGGCAAGAACTGATGCGCCAGAAGAGGCTTGCACTGGAGACCAATAAGATCCTGAAAGAACAGCAAGAAAAGGAGAAATTGTAAGATATTGGGGATGCATCGGGTTTGCTAAATTAACTGTGGCGTAAATGTGCTAGTGCTGAGGCTTATCATGTGTAGGAAGCTTCTTAACTAACTTTGCCTTCTTCTGGAGGCCTCAGGGCACTGCCGTGACTATCATTCTCAATTGAGATTGCTGTGGTAGTACATTAGATTTCTTGGCAGCTGGCAGATAGGAAATTTGATGTTGAACAGTGTGGCGTTAAATGCAAAAAAAGCATAACATAGCCTTTGGGGGGGGGGACCCAACAACTTCAATTACCAGTATGTGTCCTGATTTACAAAGCAATACACAGGGCCAGCCAACCCATGAGGCAAGGTGAGGCTGCCGCCTCAGGTGGCAGGATCCACAGGGACAGCAGATCCAGCTTCCAAGGAAGGCATCGCCTGCTGCTGCCATCATGATGGCAACAACAGGTGCAGTGTACACCTTGGATGAAGGATCTGTCACCTCCTCAGCAGCCGCTATCCCTCTTGGCAAATAGGAGGCGCTGCAGGTGTCCTCCCACCCTTGTTCCTTATTCCTCCCTCCCCACCTTGTTTCCAATGTATCTTCAACAACTTTCACATGATTTTTTCATGTGAAATTCAACATTTTGATGAATAAAGCCCATGATCAGTCATACTACAGGCAACCCTAACTACTTTTGCAAGACAGGATATGAGCCTAACATTAGGGTGGCAACATCGTTGAGAGATGCCGGGGGGAAATCAGGAAATCTCGCAGTTCCCATGTACGCATCTCATATTTGAGTACGTGCTTGGAGCTTCCCATGCTTATTAAATATTTGTGGTGGAAAGCTTGACTTTTAAAAAGCAGTGTCAGAGGGTACCAAAGAAGGCTGCTGAATTTGTGACTCATCAGACTGTACACAGTCTGGTCTATGCATGTTAGTTCCCCTGTTCTTGCAGTTTCAGGCAGGCAACCAAAGCAAGAAGCTTAGTAAAATGCTGGTGGGCCACCAGTTATGTGTGATGAGCTAGATAGGTCTAGTTTAGGCATAGGCAAACTCGGCCCTCCAGATGTTTTGGGTCTACAACTCCCATCATCTCTAGCTAACAGGACCAGTGGTCAGGGATGATGGGAATTGTAGTCCAAAAACATCTGGAGGGCCGAGTTTGCCTGTGCCTGGTTTAGCTGATCAAAAGCATTTTCTTCATCAAAGTTATTTTTCCATACACTGTAGTTAGGTTAAAAACTCCAAATTGTTTCCCCTTTTTCTGTAGGCGAAAAATGGAGATTGCACAAAAAGCTGCAGAGGAGGAGGAAAGATACCGTAAAGAAATTGAACAGTTAAGTTATCTCTTAGTTCCTTTCTTTCCCACACGCACACACCTGCATTTGGTTATTTTCCCTCTATGATTCCTTTTTTAAAAGGATTCTATGGTTTGGGGAAAGGGTGAAGCAGGATAGATGCATTGTCATTCCACCCACCCCCCCTGTCAAAGCCCCCTACCCTGCACCACTTCAGATTGCAGAAGGATAAATCCCGTGTCCTCCCCTGTATAAAAGCTCCCTGCACACAGAAAACCAGTATGTGAGGGAGAAGTCTTCCCTAGAATGCTTCCCCTTGACACTGGCAAGGGCTGTATTGCCATGGACTCCTTCTGCCTGCAGTCCAAAGGGGTACAGCACAAGAAAGCCAGTACCAGGTGCTATTTCTGAATTTGCAGCTTGACTCTCAGTTTTAAATTTCTTTCAGTCTCAAATTATTGAGGCATCCATATGTCCATAACTGTTTGTTTGTTTGTTTGTTTGTTTGTTTGTTTGTTTGTTTGTTTGAATGCCTCGCCTTCCCACACCTAAGGCCCAAAGTAATTAGCAATGGCATTAGGAAAGAAATATGAAAGTCCAATAAAATAGCTTAAATCCAAAATAAATCCCAATTGCCAATGGAACCTCAAAATCTGTCTGAGGAAAACACATATATACTGTTGTAGTGATAAAACACATTGCACTTGCTACATGTTCACTTTACACATTGCTTTCCATGAAGCATCTACAGATCCTTGACTACAGATCCTTCCAACTGATCTACACTGTTGCCCTTCTGTATGGCAAATGCCTGCATCAGCTCGCCTGAAAACGGGATCCTGCATGAAATCTTAACTAATCTCAGGGAGCTGTGAAAAAACCTGGCTGAATAATGGGCTCTATTGCCAGTTAGGGTACCATGGGAATGATCGTGTCCCAAATGTTGAGGTTCAGCAGTGGGGAGGTGAAGGTGGTGGGGAGGTTGGTACAATGCAAATACCCCAGCAGGATTACTGGGGTCTTCCTGTTGCCTCTCTTCTCCCCCTCCCAGTATGCAACATTGACTCCCTGTTGGGAACATAGTGTAGAGGCTTAGTACCACCTGACAAGCCAATTCCATTCAGATCACTGGATCATGGATTTAATCCATGTTTAACTTACCTGCCAGTTTTATTGTTTGCTTGTTTACATATCAGAGTATATAGAGGGCAGGGCTCCATGGTAATTAACCTGCCACATGGTGTTTACAGTCTGAAATTTAGCACAGAGGAAAACAACAGAGGAGGTGGAAGATAGTAGAGGTGGGGTAAACTGGGAAGGAATATGCAGCTGTTTCAGCTGCATGTGACTTGGGTCTTACAGACTAAGTTACAGTAGGGCATGGGAACTAGGGGTGGTACCAAAAGATTAACTGGAAGCTTTGCTGGAAGCAAATGTGCTGGTGCAGTTCACTCACATTGCTCATTCTAAGCTGAGATACTTAAGTATAAACCAGATTATTGGAAATATTTGGATCCTGTTCTAACTCCAGTTCCTAAAGTAAACAAACAAACAAAAACATAGAGCATGAGGCTCTATGGTTCTTTCTTGTGCATTTTACCCATACATTATGAGCAGGTTGAGATATTAACCATCTCAAAATCATGATGAAACTCATGGTCAGGCTTGCTAAAGTTATGTAATTATTGCCTTACCTATACCATTTTGTAGTTTTAAGAGTGTATTAGTTTGCACCGTGTCATTCTTCTCCTCCTGTTGCTTTTGCATTTTAAGAGATCTGAAAAACTGGTTTTTATGTGTGCATGTAACACTTGTGCAGCAGTTGGGGCTTTGTTTTTAAGTGGTTCCAAGGCTTGGACTCATGTCACTGGAGTTGTTCCAGGAGATCCTAAAATGTACAGCAGGAATGGGGAATCGGTGATCCTCCAGATGTTTTGTGAATTACATTTCATTTCATCCCTTACCTTTGGCCATGCTGGCAGATACTGATGGGAACTAAAGCCCAACAACATATACAGGACTACGGGTCTCTCATATCTGGTATACAACGTAAAAATATGAGGTAACTGGGTTCCAGAAGCTGGCCCAAAAGAAAAAGACTAGGGTGATTATTTTTTGTTCAGTAGCAACACTAGATCTAGCCAAAGTTATAAATTTTTTAGCTACATTTATTTCAATGGAAAAAACTCATTTCTTCAGCTGAAATAAATAGGATTTGAGAGTACTTAACTTTGGCTGACTCACACTTCATTTTAATATGCAGTTGAAAGGTCTGGATATTTTTAAAGTGTAAGTGATGAAAGATAAAATAAGCAAACTCAAGTGTTCCCATGTAAAACTAAGCCAAACTATGGCTTAGTGTCAGCAAGCAAGCATGCTGGTACCCAGAGCAAAAATCATGGTTGCTTCACTCCTCCTGTGGTCCTACTGTGCACTGCTTGTAACTAAGCCATGGTTTGGGCTACTATTGCATGGAAACCTAGGCTCATGGTTTGTCTTGCTTCAAACAAACCATGATCTGAAAGTGGTTTTTTTTGCTTACCACTGGAGGTTTGTTTAGAGGAGATGAAACACTAAGCTGGGTTCACACATAATGATAAATAAAACTATGGTTTCGCTTCAGGTAGTGTAGTAGGACTAAGTGAAGAAGGGAAGTGGCCATGTTTTTTGCCATGTGTGCCACAGTCTTGCTCAGCTATGCTTAGTCGTACACGTGAACTGGGCCAGTCAGCCTCCATTTAAAAAAAGAAATCCAACTGAATACTTTATACTCCTTTTCAGGATAAAGGCAGAAGAGGAGAAATTTAAAAAGCAATGGGAAGAAGACTGGGGTCATAAAGAGCAATCAAAGCCTTCCAAAACTGTAGTTGCAGAAGTACATAGGCCTCCTCATCATAAACATCGAAGTAAGTAAAAAAATATTCATCCAAGACAGTGTTAGAAGATCATTAACTACAACTTACTACTCTGTATTTCTCACAAAACATCTGCTTGGTGAGAAGCTAATGCCTTTGGGCTGTGGAAATGAGTGCCTGGTGTAGTCATTGATTCTTTTCCTCTTTCTATTAACTTGATTAAGTGTTACAGTTTCAGGGGAGCTTTTAATAAGAAGGAAGATAAAAATGAACTGAGGAAGAAAAAGTAGAACTCAGTTCCACACAACACAACACATCGAAACAAGGATTAGTTCCAAGAGATCAGTACAATTGTACCTTGGTTTTCGAACAGCTTCGTTCTCGAACGTTTTGGCTCCCAAACGCCGCAAACCCAGAAGTGACTGTTCAAGTTTGTGAACTATTTTTGGAAGCCGAACGTCTACTAGGACTTCCGTGGCTTCCGATTGGCTGCAGGAAGCTCCTGCAACCAATCAGAAGCCGCGCTTTGGTTTCTGAACGTTTTGGAAGTTGAGCGGACTTCTGGAACGGATTCTGTTCGACTTCCAAGGTATGACTGTACTGGTTGCCTGACTGTTTGGACAGTCAGAATCATTATAGAATCATTTTCACTGCTGTGTTGTGACTTCTGGCTGTAATGGATGGATGGATGGCATTTCAATTCATTCTAGAATAGCATTGCAGAATCCTCTCTGCCCAATCCTTCAGAGTCCAGAAGTAGAGGGTTCGTTTGCAGAACAGCACTATAATGCCCAGTCCCTTTTGAATAGTATATGTGTTTAAAAATAAGTTGTTCTTGCTTGAACCATAGAGTTCATCTGATTGTCAAATATATAGCCGGTGAATCAATCAGCTTGCTCCATTATATGAATCCCCCACAGCTCTCATTCCATATTACACCAGTGTTGCTGTCTCTATTCAGCTCTATTTAGGTATATGTGTTCCAAAATAGCTCTTGTAAAGAGACCACTCTTCTCTCACAATTTCATTATACTGATTACAGTTTCCAATACTAGCGTAGTATCTCTAAGCCTAGGGATGGAGAGAACAAGGAAGTGACTTGCACTGAATTTAATCCTCCGCTGCTTTGATGTATTAAAACATGAAATGGGATGATACAGAGATGTCAGTTGTCAGTAAGTCCCTTCTCTTCTTTAGCTATTGAAAGCTTCTTCAGCTTCCTCAAAACTTTAATCAGAAGCAAACATGCCTAACTTCTTCAGGGACTCTCCCTTTGTGTCAATTCTTTCCAATCCATTGGCGGTGTGGAACACCCAAAATATTATCATTTCTTTTTCCCCTCTGTTTCTTTCTTCCTCTGTTTCTCTAGTAGATGTAGATGAAACTGCACTTGACCATTCTGCAGCAGGTGATATGGCTGGAATGAAGTCGAAAGAGAGTCAACAGGTTTGCTGTAACACCTTGGCTTCCTATCTTGACTTTGATGCTTCCTGCACTCCTCTTCCTCCTGACAGTCAGTCTTAATGATGGACTGGCCTGCACTTGTCTTCCTTATCCCACAATTATCTTCCTAGGGACACTACTTATGTTAACTTGCTATGCTAGACACGTATATATAAATATGGAGCAAGTAAGGAATGTCGTGCATGATCTTTGAGCAAGACAGGAAATAATACTGGATTCGCCCAGCAAGGGATTTTTTATGGGTCCTGTTTTCTAACACAGGAAACTAGAACAGTGTTCTGGGGGTGGCTCAACTCATGCTGTGAGAAACCAGGAGTAAGCTAAGAAACTAGCCTGTTACATTTTCGCTAAATGTTCATTGACCACAGTACATCAGGATGTAAAGCCTATAGAATCAGCAAAACAGAATTCATAAAAATGAAATAGTTTGTTAAATTAATTCTGATTCAGTAAATTTGTCTAATAGCTTTTGAATGTTATAAGCTTTTCTGGGCAAAGAAGAAAAATAAAAGGGAAATTGCATTCTTAACTAACATCCTTGGCTGTTGGTTATCTGGATGTCTAAAGGAAAGGGGAACAGATGCCACTGTGATCGTGTGTGTGTGTGTGCGTACAATATTTAAACACAACAAAAATTAGTGTAGCTGGTGTTGAGCTGATCTAGAACCAGTGAAAGTAAAACTGGCTAGCTGCTAAAATTCATTACATAAATTGCAGTTAATTGCTAGAGAAATCTGCAATATATATAGTGACTATATGAACAGAATTGTGTTGTTTCAGTAGGCATATAACTATTTCAATTTGCACACTTTGCATTATTATTGTGCACTATTTTTATTGAAAAAATGTAGCTTAATTATTCCTATTTACAGAAAGTTGCATGTCGTGAAACAACCATCAAATCATTGTGGGCTTTTATTTATACTTGGGTTCAGGGCTTTGGTTTATATTGAACTAAATTCTACTCAGAGTACACCAATTGAAATTAATGGGCCCAAATTAGCTATAGCCATTAATTTTAATGTGTCTACTCTGAGTGTGAATAATGTTTAATAGAACTCTCAATGGGCACAAAGCTCCTGTGTGTTTGGTGTTTCCTTGTTCACACAGCTCTAAACAATTGTGTTCTCTATTGATATGAGCAGTGAAATTTTGAAAGTGGGGGAGCTTCATGTACACTTCTGAACCCTTGCATTGTGTTCACTAAATTGAGGCACTTGAGCCAAAATGATTGTATAAATAAGTAGAATGGTGAAAAATAAAGGAGCGCTATTATTTGTGATCAATAGCTAGTTCAAAGTTAAAATAAAAATGTGGCTAAGATACTGCATTCTCTACAATGTGTGATCCCATTGGAGTGCCTCCCCCCCTTTTAAACAGCTGCATACCTCTACCTTTTTGTACTGTGTATCTGTAATATATTGCTCTCTGTTATATATTTCTCCTTTACCTAATTCATAGCTTTTGGGTGGTTTTATCGGTATGAAGGAAAATTTCCCACAATTCGCAAGGTACAAAGAATGTTGAGTGTGAATGTTGAGAAGGTTTGCTGTGGAAAGTGCATTCTAATCCATTCTGTATTTTCCCCAATAAATTGTACACTCATGTAAATTTATTGATGAGCATGAAATTCAGGGCAAGTTTGCTTACGTCGCAGTGACTTAGATGCAAAGAAAGATGCCTTGCATGAGTTCAGGATTTGTGCCACTCCCGATACCTGCAATTCCACTCCATGCTATTTAAACATGGAGTATGCTGGAGTAATAGCTTTAAGAACACATGGTAAAAGATGTAATCTCACCCTACCCTATATTACGAGTCTGTAAGTTTTATTTTCTCCCATGGGATATGCATCAGTAACTATGCACAGAATTGCAATCTATATGCATAAGCTTGGAAAGCTCAGCAGCATATTCCAGAATTGGACTGATGTATGTTGGACTCTGGAGGAAGTGATTTAAAGCCTTGATGGAGCAGTCATCAAGACAATTGTGGATATATGGATGTTTTTAACTTAAGCAACTCCACTTTGCAAAATACGTTTCTGACAGCAGGTAAATTCTTTGTCGGCCCATTTCTAAATCACAAATTATGTTTATCTTAAGAACATCATCCTTAACTATAAATGATCAATTATAGCCAGTTAGTGCAGTCAGGTACTGCTTACCTACCATTGTTGAAAAAGGATGAGGTTGAGGGGTACCTCATGCCCCTACTCATGGGCATTGCAAGCTGATGAAGGAAACTCAGTCAGAGTTAGTCTTGTGCTGACTGCCCAGTAGTGCTCTATGCCGGCCCTACTGATGTCATTGGTCCATGTCTGTTGTTGTCATAGCTTCTCCTTGTCTCTGCTGCCACCTGACACTGCCCCGCCAATATGGGTATGGGCTTCATTTCCCCTTGGTTGCTACTTAGCAGTAGCAGCCAAACACAGTCCCATCCCAGTGTGATCTGCAATGTTTGTTTCAAAAGCCTGCTTGAATGAACTGGCTAGATTTGACAGTTTTTCTTTAAGTTCATATCAGAAATAAAATTCATATTTAATATAACCAGAGCACCAGTGCAAATTATGTTTAGATGTCTGTGTTGTTAGTACTGCAGTCCTGTGCATGCCTACTCAGAAGTAAGTCCTATTGAGTTCAATAAACCTGACTTCCAGATAAGTGTGTGATGTGACCCGACCTGCCTTGCACCTCCTAAACTAGCAGGCTGCCCTCAGCTTCAGCAGAGACACTATCCCAATGTTGAAGTAAGATTCAAATCCACTGTCAACCAGCTTCAAGTGACTGAAGCCGAATCATTTGTTTACAATTGCTAAAGATACAATACCTGATTTTTGTGGCTTTTCTTTAGGAAACACAAAGCCCTGGATTATTAACATTAATCCAATAGCTGAAAGGCAGTTTTTGCTTGTACAATTCCAAAGAAACAGTTTGGTTCTCCACAGTTTTCTGCATTTCCACCCTTTGCAGTTGTTTGCTGTGTTGTTTTGGCAATATGTTGTACAATGTTTTGAGTGTGAAGTACTGAAATATTTTCTTGCACAGTAGAATAATTACTGCTACTTCATATGCAACCTCCTATTATGTAAAAGCCATAATCTAAGCATGTACTTGCTTCATTTGTAGAGAGACCACAGTTTATGTAATATTTTAGAAGGGACGTAGTCTTCAGTTAATCTGTATCAAAGGCATCTGCACACATTGTGAAAGCGTTGACATTTTGCCTCCAGCTTTTCAATATCTCGCCCTTCCAATGAGGTTTAGTTAAAATTAAATTCATTATGTGGCTGCTGTTTCTTCATGCCCAGCCTCAGCAGTCACTGTGAATGGTTGCGTGTGTATATTCATAGAGCCCATTTTTCTAGGACACCTGCTTTTGTATATATAATCTCAGATTATTGAAGTAGTACATTTTCAGCCCCTGCAATATATATATTTTCTAAATGTATGTAAATATAATAAAAACCACCTAGAAAGGCAAAGAAAGAAAGAAATCCAAAAGTGACAGTCTCACTGAGCAGAAAAAGAGCAAAATGCAGCTGGAGTTTGAGCTAAAGCTTCTCAAGGAAAAGGAAGAGAAGCTAGAAAGAGAAAAGCAGCTGAAAATCAACCGGCTTGTACAAGAGGTATGTTCTTTTAACATGTTCTGATGCCATTTATTCCTGGGGGGAGGAAATATGGGTGGTATTTGAGTATTTACATAGGCAAATAACTTCAGATATATGAACATTTTAAAAATCACATCAACAGTGTAGTTCAAGAACTCAAGCTAGACAGCAAAAAGTGGTTATCACAATTTAAAAGCTTAGCTTTGGTCCTCTTTGATTGGCTAATGGCACTATGCCAGGCATAGGCAATCTCTGCCCTCCAGATGTAGTGAACAGACACAACTGGTCATGTGTTTATGCTTTCTAGAACTGCATGCCTGTAACTTTTAATACATGATGCCTTTTGCACAGAGACTATAGAGATTGGAAAAGGAGATGAATTACAATAATGTTTTTATCTGTGCACAACATTTTTAACAGGGAAATTCACTTTGCGCAATTGAATATGAATTATATATCTGTAACAATAGCTTTACACTTTCTTCTGCAACTGTGATATGACTCAGGTATCTGAGACTGAACGAGAAGATTTAACGGAATCAGAAAAAACTCAGCACTGGGTGGAAAGGCTTTGTCAAACACGTTTAGAACAAATCTCCTCTGTGGAGAATGATTCTCCTGAGGTAAAATCATGATCTGATCCCCACCTGTTGAGATATCCAAAATGCCTGTCTTTGTTTTCTTTTTTTTTTGATCAACAAACTATTTTACAGATGCAGTTAGCAGTATTGTCTCTAGTAGTCTCACTCGTTCAGTTTACATGGTGGGGAGAGTTTCAAATTCATTCAAAGAAATAGATGCCCTTTCTCTAAGGAAAGACATTTTAAGAAGGTAAAGGCACTCAAGTGAAGCAGAATTGGAACAAAAGCCTAGCTTCCCAGCAGTAACTTCTACTGATACTTAGTCCTTTAAAACAGGGATAGGCAAACTCGGCCCTCCAGATGTTTTGGTACTACAATTCCCATCATCTCTGACCACTGCTGGAGATACTTTCCCGCAATTTTATCACAAATAAATGAACAGTATAAGTTTTTGCAGTGTCTTCTATCCCTTCTAATTTATAAACATGTATGCAATCGTGTGAGTGTGGAGTCTTAAATTATACCGCTTGCAATAGAAATATCTGTTGGGAAGCCAGGTTTTTTCTTTTAATTTTGCTTCCACGGATTGCTCTTACCTTCTTGAAATGTCTCTTTCAGCTGTAGGATTTGCTGTCGCAAATACTGGTTCCCTTTGACCTGATTTGCGACGTATTGATATGTGGGCCAGTCGGACAATTGGCACTGCGTGGAAATGAAATGTTCTTATAGCAGCAGGCGGCCTTGTCCTCCATTGCTTGCTCTTAGTGAGGATGTATTCAGGTAGTTTTAAGCAAGTGCTACGTTAAAACAGATTTTTTTGTTATTAGACAACAGGTGTACGTCCCGCTGTTTCTCCTTCTGCTACATCTGTGCGGAGGTTTGCTGGTGGTTTGCAGCTCCACACCACTGACCTTGACGATATCAGCTTAGATTATGTTGGCAAGCCTCCAAAACGCCCAGCACCTCCGCCTCCATTGCCCCATGCAACTCCTGTATTCCCAGGCACTTACCCACCTCCTCCACCAAGTGTCCCAGCTCCTAGGGGACCGCCTCCAATGCCCTCTCCTGCAGCATCATGGATTACATTGCCTTCTCCTTCCTGGGTGCATGCTGCACCTCCTTCCCTGTCACCCCCATCTTCTCCCCCATCCCCTCCTGCTCCGACTCTCCATCCTGTGCCTACTCACTTGGAAGAAAGGATGGGCAGCCACAGCTATCAGCCTAATGGGCCAGCAGACTCAATGAATGACTGGGAAATGAAAAGCTACAAGGGAAGGAGCTTTAGTCCAATTAGTTCTCAGACCAGTGAGCAGACCTATTTATCCAATCCAAAGGTATGACATAGTATGGAATATGTTTTGCATCTGTGGCAAACCCAACCACCTCCTGCTTCTGTTTGAGTTTGTCAACAGAAAATATACATATTCCACTGTGAGTTTTGCTCTGCATGATATTGTACTGCAGCATCCCCACTCCCCCACAAAAGAAAAGATAAGCCCATTTTAGAACATGGTCTTATCATGCTTGTCCTCTCCCGCCCCCGCCCCCCACCCCAGTGTGGTCTTTTGCACATTTCTGGAAATCCTATTGTGCTTCATGGAGACATTTGTACAGCTTATATTAGTCAACTGAGTGTGTGTTTTTCTGCTACATATTTGTGTAAGAAAAAGGGGGGCTGCTTGAGCAAATGTTCATAACATCTGAGAATCAAACATGAATGTGCTTCTGAGTAGCACATTAATGATCAACTACTAAATTTGCTAGGTTGGCAGGAGCTGGGACCAAGCAACGGGAGCTCACTCCATCACGGAGATTCAAACCACCAACCTTCTGATTGGCAAGCCCTAGGCTCAGTGGTTTAGACCACAGTGCCACCTGTCAAAGTGCAAGTAGATAAACCAGCAGGAAGGTCAACGGCATTTCCATGTGCTTCTCTGGTTCGCCAGAAGTGGCTTAATCATGCTGGCCACATGACCCAGAAAGCTGTTTACAGAGAAAACACCGGCTCCCTTGGCCAGTTAAGCGATATGAGCACCACAATCCCAGAGTCGTCCACGACTGGACTTAACAGTCAGGGGTCCCTTTATCTTTACCTTTTTACTAAATTTGCTGTTGAGCTACTGATAGCTCACTATGCACTCTACTATCTATTGACCACAATAGGGATCTCTAATGGTGCACCTTCTTTGCAGATTTCTACTAAAGACCATCCTTGGTCCTCCCAAACTGCATGTTCTTTCTGTCTGCTTGTGATGCTTTGTTGCTTCAAAAGGCTTTCTCTGGTTTCTGGTTTTCGTACATGAAGATTTTAATACCAGTTCTCCATCCAGGTGGAAATGCTAGTGTTCATGTTTTTAATAGTTTAGCTTGTTTCTGTTTCATAAGTTGATTTCAGTGTTTATAAATAAGATAAGAGTGCTTTAAATTGTATTGTAGGGATTAGTATGTGTTCACAAATATTTGCATGCTTGTTTCAATGAAGGAAGGAATGTATTAGTCATTGACCACTTTAATATATGGCACAAACCTATACACATATATGTAGTTGAGCCACATTGAGTTCAGCAGGGTTTAATCTCAGGTAACTGTACAGTATTGCTGTTTTAATTAATACAAATGGGTTGAGGAAACCCATAAAGGGCTAAGAATATTTAAAATGAGAACGTTATCTAACAATTCTCATTATAATTTTTTTATCCTGTTTTAAAGTAAGACAGCTCCTTGAAGGGTCAAAATATCTGAAGGTTGTCACTCTTGCTTCAAAAGAAGTACATATTTTGTCACCTACATGTTATTCTTCTTTCTGTCATAAACCAATTTGTTTTTCAAATGATTATTGGTTGTGTGTGTCAAAACCATAAGTCATCATACCCCATATGAAACCTGTTGTCATTTAGGTTGCACGAAATACAAGTCACCTCAGCAAAATGTCGTCTGCATCAGGCAGCCCATTGGTATGTCATATATATATATTTAGTAAATAAAGAAAATGTGATAGCCTTCCAACATAATACCATAAGACGTTCAGATCTCAGAAGAAACGAATTGTATTATTTATGAAATGCCTAGTTTTATGGTCCTAGTTATCAGTGGAAAAGCAAGCATTCTAAATGAAATATCCAAATGGCCCTGAGTCTAGTATTGCTTGGTGCTTAAATTGTTGTTCAAACTATAAAGTTCCCCACCCATGCCCATCGCCACCCCACCCCTATAGTGCATTGGTTGGTATTGTGGGTGGCGTGGGTAACCTTCGTATGAGTTTCATGGGACTTGATAGAAGTTGATGAAGTATCTGAATTACATTTAGAATGCGTGAAACACACAGGTGTTTTCTGTAATATTCTTAAATTGCACCTCCATAGCAATTTTCTCCAAGCCCTCCTGCCCTGCGTCGCCCAGCTGTACCTATAGTCTCCAAACCTGTCATGCTGCATCCTGACCACAATATCATGGTCAGACCAGCAATCAAATCAGAAGCCCTGGTAAGATTAATCCTATATAATTTGCATGCTGCAAGTGTGTTGGGTATTGCATGTCAAGTGATCTGCTCACGATTGGTGCCCACCTTTCCTTCTGAGTTCTAATTCAGAATGCAAACTGAACCTGTCAGATATATTGTGATGTGTGACAGATCTTAAGCTCTTAACATGGATGGCATTCCTAGGGTTTCTTACAAGACCCTGGCCCCTGGAGGTCAAATAGATCAGCCACTCAGCTACTGCCCTGAATCTAGCCTTCCATTAATAGTCTTCACAATACCTACCTGCTGTCAATCCCTAGTGAGTTAAGAGACCATAGGACTCTTCTCCTGTACACTTAACTGAGTATATCCACACAGGATATGTGGGATGAGAGATACTGACCTTTATAATCCAGCCAGGCCAGAACACAGTTAAAACAGTAAACATATTTATCTATAAAAAGCAATGCCCAGAAGTAGTTGTGATTTTTTATAGGGTACTAAAATATGTTCTAGTATCTTAACCTAACACAGCTGAGTCGTCTCCTTAAGTTATCCTAACTATTTAACTATCCCTTCATTGCCTCTCATTTCCACATCTTATTCCCTCTCCTTCTGTGAGAGGGAGTCCAGATAGTCCAGATAGGCAGTGCCTGTTTGAAGTGCAACTGATCCATGATACAACATAGAGTTAACTGTGCCTTCAATGCAGAAGAAGTTTGTACATGTACAAAAGTAGCCTTGCTCTTGCTGATGTATTTGTAGGATAACTAATTGCACACTTGGCAATTTGTTTCTATCTTTTTTTCAGCCTCAAGAGATGTTTAAAAGGATGGTGGTTTACAATTCATCATTTAAAAATAACAAAAAACAAGTAAAATAACATTTTCTTTGTTTGTGTGGCATTTTGGTGTTTCAGTTGTGCTTTGATACTAGCATTCTCCCTCTCTTTATTCCCCCCCCCCTGTTGTCATTTGGAATAAGGACACAGTATAGCTTTCTAAAATAATAATGGATTAAGATTATTATCTTAGTCAAGCTTTATACTCTCTTGATGAATGCATCCAACTCCTGCTAGCATATTAAGAAACTAGGGGTCATACATAATGTTTATCATGTAGTTTGTTCCCAAGTGAAAGCTGCTTCTATCACAAATCACCACTCTGGGGAGCACTATGCGTTAAGACCATGGTGTGGCATCCAACCCTTTGCCCCCTTCTGTAGTTCTGATCAGAGCCCCTGCACCTGCAGTTTGCATTGGGAGAAAAAGCTCCAATTTAAACAAATGGGAGCTCCATGCCCTGATACAGATTGCAGGTGAAGAGAGGCCCAGTCCAGGTTGGGACTAGAGCTGCAGGATAAAGCTTAACAGCCCCCAAACCCTACACCAAAGTACCAGTCTAGACTGGGGATCCCTACAGTGGTAATTAGTAAAAGAAAAAAGTTTGCACTAAAGGCCAAAGTACATGAAAAACACCTTGTGTAGTTTGGTTCTAATTACAAGCACTAAAAATACTGATGATATTTTAAGACATCAATGGGAGCTTTATTTGCCCTGATTTGGCAAAGGGTTAAAGCACCTCTTCCCCCACTCCACAGTCCTGACCTTGCTTTTCCCCACCCTACCCATGCTGATTATTTGTTTTGGTTTATTAAAACAAACAAACTCACAGGGCCAAATGATGTGGTTTTAAAATATGAGAATAAAGTTGTTGCCTTCCTACTTGGAACCAGTCTGCTAATGTTCTCTCCTTTCACCATGAAGCAGAAGTACAGTACCAGATCTGCAATTTAAATTTTAATGTAGCAATGCCCAGTGGTTGTGCACCTGTTAGTAGTACACAATGAAAAGAGTTTGGTGACACTTTTCCCAGAAACACTAAATGCATTTCACAGTGTTTATTCTGGAGTGGTAATGATTTGTTTATTGGATCCAGCCTGTGTTTGTTTAAAGGTATTGTATTTACTCTTTCTTAAAACATATTTTCCCAGGAAAGTATTCTTCAGGGACAACATCTGTTTGTTATGAAACTGACACTGAGGTTAAGGAAGATGAAGTGATTTGCTTTAAATCACACCATGAATCAGTGGTTCCACTCAAATTACAACTCCCAGTTCTAAGACATTTGTTCAGAATATTTCTTTCTAATATATAAAGACTGCCCAGATCACTTTCATTTTTATCTTCTTTACAGAATTCATTTTTATAAACCATATTATGTCAGAGTTGTACTATTTGCAAGTAAAGTGCTTTGTGAACACAGCTATTCCCTAAACAACAAATCTAGAATCTGTGAAACCTGAAACCTGAAATCTAAAACTGGCCCAAATGAGTTAATAAAGGGAGCGGGGTCAACAATGAGAAAGTTTGACATGCCTAAAACTACACTGAAATTAATAAAACAGGACTATCCCAATGTGTTTACCATCCTATTTATCATGCTTATCATCTAACTAGGATGAGTTAATCACTGGTATATGTGCTTGATTTTAATACATGTAAGCATTTCCATTGTGGATCAGTGTTAGATGTGTGTGAAACGGGCACATGGATTCTAGTCAGGGTTAGACCAGAAGACAACCAAAGCCATACAGTTTCACCACCACCCCTGTTGTTTAAGAGGAGCAGTCCTGATGTGCAGTAAAATGAGCTGGATTTGCTTTAGACAGGCAGTTAAAAAGTTATGCATGCACTGAAGAGATGAGTGTGGATGCATGTTCAATTAAATAAAAACTTTTAAGAAATGTTTTCTTCTTTATTTTGTTTTTCTGCTTTGTAGCAGCCAACTTGCCAGTTCCATCTTAGCTTTACTCCTTCCGTATATTGCTGAACCTCTGCTGAGAGCCTGCAACTCTCCCTTAATTATGCTAGTGGAGTTCAGCAAAATACATCATCTGCATGTAGCCTTCACTATCCATAGACAAAAGTAACTTGTCAATAGCTAAGTCTAAGGAAACTTCTCTAGAACTATTTTATTTGACTATTACATCCTAAACAGTTGGAATCTCTCTGTATGTCTTCTGACTGTCAGGAGGAACATTAACAAACTGTCTAATATGTCATCATCTCATTTCTTTTCTGGCTTTGCTCATCTAGGAGCACCCCCTCCCATTTATTGTTTGCTATGCATGTATTTGATTACCAGTTTTATTTGCAGGGCTTCCAGAAGTATGTGGAAAACTTTGATCCCTACACAATGGTAAGGAGACGTTTACAAGTATAGGCCATTTGTTATCGCTTATGCTTTGCGCTGCCTTTTGACACAGGTGGCATTTTTAGCTTTCTGAACTAAGGCAGAAACTAATGCAGAGACCTGCAAAGGGCATGTTCTGCATAGATTACATCTAGAAGTGCCTACATTCTGTTTTAAGATGCATGCTTCGCATTATGTAATTTGTCTTTCGCATTTGAAAAAGTTGTTGTTGTTGTTTAGTCATTTAGTCATGTCCGACTCTTCATGACCCCATGGACCAGAGCACACCACTGCCTCCCGCAGTTTGGTCAAACTCATGCTGGTAGCTTCGAGAACACTGTCCAACCATCTCATCCTCTGTCATCCCCTTCTCCTTGTGCCCTCAGTCTTTCCCAACATCAGGGTCTTTTCCAGGGAGTCTTCTATTCTCATGAGGTGGCCAAAGTATTGGAGCCTCAGCTTCACGATTTGTCCTTCCAGTGAGCACTCAGGGCTGATTTCCTTAAGAATGGATAGGTTTGATCTTCTTGCATTCCATTGGACTCTCAAGAGTTTCCTCCAGCACCATATTTCAAAAGCATCAATTCTTCGGCAATCAGCCTTCTTTATGGTCCAGCTCTCACTTCCATACATCACTACTGGGAAAACCATAGCTTTAACTATACGGACCTTTGTCAGCAAGGTGATGTCTCTGCTTTTTAAGATGCTGTCTAGGCATCTTAATGACAAGATGCTTGTCATTGCTTTTCTCTCAAGAAGCAGGCATCTTTTAATTTTGATGACTAACTCGTGTTTCTTGATTTTCTGCTAGTTTTCACCTGATCAGATTATGGGGAAAGATGTGCGACTTCTGCGCATAAAGAAGGTAATGTTTGTGATGGAAGAATGATAACTGGTAAAGCTTTAGGAGGCAGTTTCTTTGTTGGGATATGCAATGTGGCACCAGTGCTCGTTTTAAAATGAAACTTGCTGGTGATGAAGTTCAACAGTCACTCTCTCACACTGAATGACCCAAAATTTCTTCTCCCAACACCAGATGTTATTGAAGGATTTGGCCCATGCCCAAAAACCACTTCCATCAGCGCTATTGATTTGTTTATTTATTTAAGTAGATACCTGGCTTTACTTCTGAAAACTCTTAAAGGCTGGACAATATGTTCCTTTTCACAAGGGTGATTTTCTTTCATCTTTTCTGAATTACATTTTTCTTAACAGGAAGGCTCATTAGATCTTGCAGTAGAAGGAGGCATCAATTCACCAATTGGAAAAATAGTGGTTTCTGCTATTTATGAAGGTGGTGCTGCAGACAAGCATGGTGGGTAGCTTTGATCGAAAATAATAGAAAAGATGAAATCATGTCACTCATTTGATTAAACAGTTACGTTGACCTTTTTTTTGCAGTCTTTCAAACCTTACAAAGCTCATTTTAAAGCACTGGAATTCTTGAGGCAGATATCTATTATTTACTTGTTGGAAATGTATAAATACTTTGTTAATAATTGTGGTTTGTATTCAGTAGCATTCCTCTGCTGAAGGAACTGAGGCTTTCTCTTTTTACAGTGGGGAGGGAAGCTATTTTTACAAATTTCCCTCTCCTTCTGCAACCTTCTCCCCATGCCACCACCCATGCTGTTCCAGAGGGTTCGCCAACTCTCTGAAGATGATTCGTAGGGCTTTAACAGAGAGGGGGGGAATTGGCAAAAATTATATCCCTTCTCATCAGGAGTGTAGTGTGGGGGCTGAAACCAGGGGCGATTGCCCTGGGTGCACTTTGGGTAGGGGGCACTTTGGCAGTGGATAGGTGGAGGATAGTGGGCTGTGTTGGCCTGGCTGGATGGGGGGGGACATTGTTTGTGTGACATCATGCACACGCAACGCTCACCCACCCAATGTCGGGAGCAACTCGGCACCGCTGCTTTGGATTCAGCGCACAGAGCAAATCAAGCCTCTGTGGCTCTTTTAAAGTTTTCAGCTTAAAAGCACCCTAGCCTATTGTTCTCCTACCCCCAAGATGACATGGCATCCAGCCAGGTAATGGGAGGGGAACCTTACTACTCCTGGAAAGGTATCACCAGCTACTTGCTTACATAGCAACATGGCCAACTCTTTAGCCATGCCGATAGAATGCTTACAGGCCAAGCTAGGGCCATTAACTTAGCAAACTGGTTTAAGCAATTTAGCAGTTCCTTCTAGTGTACACTAGAATCTTATAGATACTTAATCACAGACTTGGTTGGGATCCACAGGCATCAGCCCCCCAATCCTGTAACATTATTTTGTTATGGTATGGCATAGTTTCCCCTACCCAAAATTGCTGCCTTCATTAAATTCTCTAGTTTGATCTTCCACATTGCTGAGTAGTAAATGCTTCTGTAATTAAGCCAGAAATGTTCTTGTCCCTTTGCTTTGTGTTTTCTTTTTCAGGAGGCATTGTGAAAGGGGATGAAATCATGGCTGTGAATGGCAAGATATTGTTGGATGTTAAACTGGATGAAGCTCAGGCGACTCTTGCAAAAGCCTGGAACATGGGTGGGGTAAGTTAGTCTGCATTTCCTAATCTACATTTTATATATCAGATATTCATGTTTTCTGCTCTCCTTATGAAAATCAGTAGATAATTTTTCAAAAGTATTGGTAAACATAAAGTTAAAAACAACATATGTGCTCTATCATGAAACAGAAGTGAAGAAGGTCTAGGAATCCCACACTGGAAAATGTATTATAAACTTAAACAATTGTGTTATACAATACATTGTGATACACAACTTCATTACTGAATATGGATGCTATTAGCACATTGAGAGTTAGGGAAGGAGTTGTGTCTTGTGGGTCTTCAACCATCCTGACACACACACACACACCCTGAATGCCCCATTTCCACACATGCATGTTGCTAGCAGAACACCACCAATGGGTGGCTGTTGGGTACTTAGGAACACTTACTGTGTTTTAATTTGTCGGAAGGCACCCAGAGTGGCTGGGGCAACCTAGTCAGATGGAAGGCATATAAATAATAAATTAGCAGCGGCAGTAGTAGTAATAATAGTAGTAGTAGTAGTAGTAGTAGTAGTAGTAGTAGTTGTATTGGTTATCTTTGGCCATGGAGCTTTCCACAGGTGTACAGGGGGCCCTGGTGGCATAAGTGCTGCCCACCAATTAGGCCCCCCTCTCTGCTGGCAGAGCAGCACTTATTCTGCATCCAGTGGTCTTTTGACCAGCTGTTTCTACACCATCCACTGTGCAAAAACAAGCAGTAAGAAAATACTGGACAAAGCGTAATATCATTTCATTTTAAAATGTTGTCTGAAGAATTGCATGCCAAGTAATCAGATTCTTACATAATATATACAGACCAGATAGACATTGGTTTAAAGTACAGCTTGATCATGATGTGTATATATCACATACATATGCATATATAATATATGTGTGTGAATATATATATATATATTAGAGCAGCAATCTTCCTAATATTTTCTTGGAAGAAAATCCTACTGTTGGAACTGCACAAACATTTGGTACAGACCTAGTACAATAAACATAGAATAATAGCCATACATAAATACTGACATTAGGTCAATACTGACATTAGATAGGTTTCTGAGAGCAATTTTAAAAAATGGATAGGCACATAAAGTTTATGTTCATCTGGCAAGATTTTTGATTGATATTGGGTGGGTTAGAAGCCTGAATATTAGATCTGGCTTGTGGCTCTATGTTACTTGCTTCCTTTATGTTAACAGGCATGAAGCTTAGGTGTGTTGCCTGCCATATCAAAAAATGCAGATAATGAAAGAGTATTAACTGCATTTGACTTTATCCTGATTAGCCACTGGTAATTTAGATTTAATATTTATGAAACTTTTCTTTTGCAGGATTGGATTGATTTGGTCATTGCTGTGTCTCCTCCCAAGGAATATGATGATGAAATGTAAGGTTTCACTTCTATAGTCCTATATTAGTTCACAGAAATAAACTAGACATCTCTCTTATTTGACTTCAGCTAGAGTCCTTAGATGTAGGCTCAAACGTTAGTGACCACATTTTAAGAAGAATGTCAACGGAATGAAGGGATGTCAACAAAAACAGATTAAATGCTAAGCAATTTAGAACCTAGGGAAATGTTTTAAAAATAGGCCTAGGGTAAAGAATTGTAAGGAAGATGTGGAAGCTGTTGCTGCCTTCATTGCTGCTTACCTTCTCTTTCCTGGCCTGACCAGATGACGGAACAATTATCCTGGAAGTGATGCAACAGGACAGCAGCAACACTCAAAGACCCACCTCCCGCTCCCAGCATCTGCATAAAAGGCAGAATGCAGCAGCAGTGGAGAAAGTGGGAGGGGAGGGGAGAGGAAGGGAGAATGGGGCTGGATTCTAGACACATCAAGAAGTGTTTCAGTTAAATGCGTTGCAAACTTTGTATGAGAAATTGGGTTAGCAAAAATGGAGCTCCACAGCGCCATCTGGTGTCACAGTGTTAGAATGCACAAACAACACTTTAAAAGCGTATTTTCTTTGGCAGTGAAGCCGAGTTCTGGGTGGATATTGATTGATTTTCATCAGGGGTGGCGGAAGAGATGTGCAAGGGTGGGGAATGGGGGTCATTATTCCACCAAGTATCTTAGGTAGCAAGCGCTTCACTTCAGAAAATAAGCTATTTTATAGGTCAAGTAATGAGAAGGAGACCTAAGCCTAAGTGGTGAAGATCCCATTAGGCAGTTTCTGACAGGAAAACACAAGCTGGGGCTCTGAGGATCCTTGGAACGTTATAGAACACAATTGTGACCAAATATTTAGTAGGACCTAGCAGTGAGTTGCTGTTCGCAGAGAGCATGACTGCTTATCAGGGCTACTAAGGGAATGGCAAGAAGTTAAGGTTTTAAATGGCCTAAAACCCATGAAGTCATCCTAATTTTTTCATCATCCAACAAATCATCTACCATGTATTATTAAACATTCTTAATGAAACCTGGATATTTTATAATACTTAACTGCTCTAATGGCAGCCTGAAATGATCAGCCTAAATCCAATGCATATGGAAATTTGTTTCTGCCTCCAATGCATATCTCTAGCTTAATGAGAAACCATCTGCACAAATGGGGGAATCAATAAAACAACAGAAGTAGAGGAATAACAGCAGCAGCAGCAGCAGCAGCAGCAGCAGCAGAGACTATTCAAACAGCTGGAAGTTAAGCAATAAAAAGGCTTTCTAAATAATAAAAAAGTGTTAACCACCTGCCCAGACTTAGAAGGAAAGGAATTTGTTGGATTTCAGTAGAAAGGGCATTCCACAACTGTGGTACCACCACTGACCAAGCCCTGTCCATAGTATTCACAACCCAAAAAATACAGCCTACAAAACAAGCTGTAAAGCTTGGGTAGTTTCAAAATAGCTGGTGTTAGTAGTTATTAGTTGAGACATAGAGGAGTGCAAGCAAGCAGAGGAGTAACTTCCATACTTACTGTGTGTTTTCATATCCTATATATTTAGCCCTATTCCTTCGTCATCTGTCATCCCCAACATAAACAGAAAGGTTTTTGAAGGCAGTGCTGCAGTGTACAGACAAGGGTTTCTTCTGCAGCTTTAACCACTGCAGTGTTCCCTCATGGTGAATAGCAAAGCTGGGTGCACATATTATGTTTTTGTGCAAATGTGTACATTGCAATGCATGCGCCTGCCTATACTTTGCATGCCGCTTAAAAGCTTTGCAGAATGTTCTTTGGAATTGGTATTTCTCATTTTCTTCAATTAGTGCTAAAACTGTGGACCCTGTAGCAAGAATATTCATGTATCATGTACATGCCCTTTTCTCTAACTGCTTCCAATGTGATGTGTTTGACAAAAAATTGGTAGAGACTAAAAAAAAAACATTTTTCTTCAGTTTTCACTCTGTATTAGCTAAGTAACTAATAGCTCCCTCAAAAAATAAATGCATTCAGAACTTTACAAGATTGGATCCAACCAACTCTGTCAGACAAAAACATCAACTTCCACTGCTTGTACAATTAGCAAAATCTTAAAGAATAACACTTCTGTTTTCAGAATTTACAGGGATGTGTGCAGTACACAACTACTTGTTCTTTAATTCCTATTAACATCAAATTGAATATTTAAACTTATAATCAGGCTTGCCAAAGAAACACATGTTTTTGTTCATTCTCTTGGTGTAGACACTTTGCTTTTTTTATTACAGAGTAACTTAGAATCTTCTGATGTCATTAAAATCCAATGGAGCTTGTATCCGAGTGAATGTGCACATAGGATTGCATTGTGAACTCGTGGTTTCTCAAAAGGCATATAAGAAAGCTGTGGCCCTCCAGATATTGTTGAACTACAACTCCCGTAATCTCTCAGTATTGGCCATGGTGTTTGGGGCTGATGAGAGTTGGAGTCAAGCAATATCTGGAGGACCCAGTTTCCCCATACCTGGTCTAGGTAAAGCTTCTCGATTCCAATCCTTAAGGTGCTTATAAATGAAGGAGATTTTTACCCTTTACAAATGGAGAAAATTGCAAGTGAGTCATGCTTCCTCTTTTTGAGCTTCTGGGGCAATGTTCTGTGGGGAACTCACACTACAACACTCCACTAACAATTCCACTATAACCTGATGTATGAGCTGTAGATGCAGAAACAGTACATGCATCTCTTCACAGGGAAGCACAAAAAGAAAAAGTGTGACTCATTCCACTTTCCTGTCCACCATCACACACACAAACACACACACACACACACACGCACACACCCGTTTCCTAACCTTTCCTAAGCCTCCTGGAAAAATAGAGGCTATGCTTGCCATCAGTAAGTGTTTTAGGCTTCTTCATTTGTCATGTTGATGTGCATGAGCCTTTTGTGATCATGCTCTGAAGGGTTAAGCACTGTAAATGCTAATTTTATCTCATTTTATCATATGATTCGGTTTTGCTTACTCAAGTTGTTTCCCACCTTGTCAGAGATGGGCATTAACTATTTTTTCCAACCCTTTTACAGGACATTTTTTTAAGATGGGAGAAACAAAACATAAGCATTCTGAAGAAATCTACCAATGTATAGGTATCAAGTTACTTTTATCAAATCAGACTTCTATCAGTCAAGAAGTGTGAATAAGATGAACATGAGATTCTGCAAATCATTCACGGCCTTGTGTTTGAACTCTCAGAGCAGCATGTCATTTTATTTCCTCTCATAAGCCATGGTTTGTGGTTGCTTATAACTGCCAACAGCTGAATAATTCATTGGAGATGATAAAAAGAGCCAGGGGCCAATTCTGAAACTGCCCTAAGTACACTACAGGTGAAATTGTTTAGGAGAGTTCGATCCTTTCTCAAAGGAAGATATAGCACAATCCTATACATGAGTAATTTTCTAACATACTAATACTTAAAGCACAGAAGATAGGGGAAAATTCAGCGGGGATACTGATGATATAAATAACTCAATGCTTAATGCGTTTCTGAATTGCTATTTTGAATCTTTACAGATACAGCATTTACATTTTCTTAATTACTCTATATTCAAAAATGATTTTTGTTTTTATGTTTCACATCTGCTGTTGTTCCAGTGTGCCAAGATATCCAAATATACAGCATAATTTCTAAACTGCCTTTTAATGCAATAGTGTATTTTGAAAATAAAATGGTAATTCCCAGACACCGAGTTACTGTGTCTTTTAACAGGATTCTGATAACTTGTGGTTGTTGGTAAATCTGCCAAATTCTTGGTTTGTTTCAAAATAATAAAAACACACTTTGAGGAGGTACTGTACAAGCATTTACTCCCACTCCAGGTGTGTTGGGAGATAGGGATCCATAACTTGGTAATATAGCATATGCCCTGAATGTAGAAGCCTCAGCTTCCGTTCCAAGCATAGGATCCAACTCCTAGGGGCCTTGGGAGCTTCGGCCCCCACGATAAAATATTTGAGGGGGGCAGGCCCCCGCAAAGTTGATGGGCATTTCCATTCGAATGGGGTGTATGCACTGCATCATGTGATTATGTGGGGCGGGGCTTACCTGGGTCCCCACAATATTTTATTCAGGTTGGCATCCCTGGTTCCAAGCATCTCTACTAAGAAGGATCTCAGATAACATTTTTTACTTACTTATCTATCTATATATCTATCTATCTATCATCTATCTATCTATCTATCTATCTATCTATCTATCTATATCATGTATATGGCAAGATGGCTTCTAAGTGGTTTACAAGTATAAAATCAATACATAATTAAAATTCACAATAAGTTCTGTCGGGGCATGGCTAGGAAAGATGTCTGCCAGAGCCTCTACATGTGGACAGGCCTGTGTTAGAGATGATCTAGTCTAGAAGCACTAATTGTCTGACTCACTAAAATACTTGTTGTACTTTTAACTCCTAGATTGTGGGGTCCTTTTAGCATCAAAAGCAAGTTTCCTATTACAGCAAATACAAGATGAGAGAACTATTTTTGTCTGGAGAAAAAGTCTCTCACTTACTTGCCATTTGTCCTTTGTTAAGATTATCCAGTTTTAAGGGGAGCCAAGAGTGAAAGAGAGCCTTTCCAGATCAATCTTAGTCCCATCATTGGTAAATATTTAATGTATCAAACCATTCATGTGCTGTGAAATTCAATTATTCCCACAGTGCAGCATTACAGTATGAGAAGTAATGGTGAGTAAGGGAGATACAGGCTGCAATGTATAAATTCTAGTGGGAAATAATATCTTATGAAAGAATTTATATAGCTTTGGGGGGTTATGCAGCAGTCTTCCATTAGCCTGTGAGTAGAAGAGGTTTTCCAGTAGCAAAATGGGACTTCTGGCTTCCAAGTGCTGCATTTATCCCCAAAATACACTGAGAAGCCATAGGGCATCTTCCTAAAATGCTCACAGTCATCTTCCCCACAAAGTGTGCAAACATGTCCTGAAAAGAAAGATGTTAACATTTGCTTGGCTTCAATCTTCTTTGTCCCACTTCTACTCTTTCCTCTTTTCCTCTACTGTTTCCCATTCTGGGGATCACTGACCTCTTCATCCTCCCCTAACTTTAATAGGTTCTTGTTTACTTATAGCTTAACAGGAAATTTAAATGGGAAAGAAGAGCTTTTTCCCATGTAAACATACTGTACAATGGACAATCTGGCAATTATATTGACATGACATTTAATAAGACAAGAAGAAAACAAAAGTTTAGTTTTTTAAAAAAGACATCCTGCCACCATTTTGAAGGTCCTTTTTAAAACTTTCTATTTGATTCCCTCACTTTTTTAAAAAAGCAAAAATAGTATGTTCTACTACCACAAATTGAAAATTTTAAGTAGAGGAACTATGCAGAACAACTTGTTAAAAAAACCCCCATCAAAATACAAAGATTTTCTCAGCAGGGGGTTTGAATATCCTTGTTGATACGTATATGGCCCCGACAGGCCAACCATAGAAGTAAAACGATTAAAAACTTCCGACAGAGGTAAAATAATTTAAAAGTCTAATAAAAACAGCTATAAAGACGGCTGTAAAAGGCTATAAAAGGCAATAAAAGGTTTGTAATCCGGAGGGTTCACGAAGGAGAAGTTGTTACTGCCGCCATCTTCTTTGGCTCCTCTGTATTCATTATTCTATCCATATTTAAAATAGGTAGGATTCTTCAAGTGTCAATTAGTACAGAGACATTTTCCCAGGAATAAAGCACATGATCAACTAGGGCCAAACAGAGAATGAATTGTTTAACTGGAATGTGAGATTAGCAGATACTCATTGCTTAAGAAAACTTCATTTCAGTGCAATGACTTTTAAGATAATTATGCCACCAATTTTACACAGATGTATGTGCTGGCTAACATGACTTTTGAAAGAGCAGAAAAGGCAAAGAGGATCTCTAGGACCCATCTTTCCAAAAGGTCCAACTATTTGCTATTTTCCCTTCCCTTAGAGGGTGATAAGGGAACAAATTATACCTTTCAGATTATCCTCTGAAGACCTGCAGCAGGCAAAAGTCACTTCAGGCTAAACACCAGCTCTTCAGAGACCAAAGCAAAGAGACACCAGCTTTAAAGTTTAGGGAACACATGTTTTTGTTTAGGAACCAAGTGAGAGTAAAACTTCCATATGTTTATAAAGTTAGTCACTACCAGTGCACAATCTTATGGAACTGGATCACAGTCAGAACTGCATTTGAGGAAATAAGTGGTATTCTGTCTCATATTTGTTTGGATCTGAAATCAACAGGGATTAATATTGGCAGCCATACATATTTAGGGGACTGTACAAGATTTACATGAGTTCTGTACTTCTCCCTTCCATAACCTGGCTCAGAAGCAGAGATACAAATGTTCTAAGCAACAACAAAATGCTTAGTTCTACTAGGAATGCTTCTGGCTCACATGTCAGAGAGTAATCATTCCATGTGTTGCTTTCCATCTGGACACAGTGTGATTGAGTTTGCTCACACCTCCTAATAATGACAGTGTAGATGAGAAGCAGAACAGAGACAGTATGAAAGCAAAACTTGTTCAGCAATAGATATGGCCTCTTTTCATATATATGCTTCTAAACATGGTTCTGCAGTAAATTTCCACTAACCCTTGTGTCATCACATTGTTATCAGAAATCCAGCTCTTTAATAAGTGCAGTGCCTTGTTAATTTTCTAAACAAAACAGCTCCGTTCTATCCTTGGAGTTACACCCGAGCTCTGGAACTGATTAAGAACATTACACAGATGGGCTTTTTTGTTTCAGGCACAGCTAAACAAGCAACCTTGGGTGTCACCATCTGAATCCAGATCAAGGCAATTACTCTGACCTGATGGAAGTTAGAAAGAAGACTACTTTTGGGAGGGTTTTGGTACAAATGGGAAGCCTCTATTAGTTATCTATAACACATGTGAAGAATCTGAATAATGAACAAATGAGAAGTGTTTCATGTGTGCTCCCATTTCTTATTTACACCACTTAAATGTCATTTTTAAAAAGCACTCGATGCATCTTACAATAGAATTCAGTTTCAATTACATTAAAACATAGAAAAATGCATTTACCGGTAAATAGGAGTGAACTGAGTGAGGATGAAATTTATGAACATTTTCATCAGCCACAAAAGGCACTCCTATTACAGTGATTTTTCGGGAGCTGTTGTATGAAAGGGAATAGTAAGAAGCAATACTCTGGTCTTCACTTGATGTCAAAATGACATCAAGTGAAGTGTTATTTTGGATTATCATTTATTTGCCATAGGCAATAATCTTTTATTACTACTATAGCGTTTGAAAGAAATACAAAAGCTACTTCAAAATCAAGTGAATACTAGGCACATTCTTGTTAGCGCTGAACAAATGGCTACTTTCTGTGGATAAATATTCAAGTGATACATATTTTTACATGTGGCACTCAAAATTAGTACATTTGCCCTCGTCCTAGAGGTGTGGGCTGTGAATCACATAGCTGTTCATTAAAATTGCTTGGAAAGCACCATCTTATTTGAAAACTGCACATATTTAATCTCTTGTTGCTATACTATGTTAACATATATCCAAGTTCTTTGCATCATGGACCTACTTGATACCACAGTTTCATGAAGATGTACAGTATTCTTACAACAGTTCTGTGCTTCATTTGCTTTCTGTGGAGTTTTCCTGGAAGCCAAATCCCCTTTAAAAATGACTGTGATGTGAATTTAAAGGCTATGATATGTTATTCTATGTTTGCACAACATCAGTTAAACTGGCGATGTTATACCTGATAGGGGAGAACACAGCCACCCAATTCTGTTGCCTGAGAAGAAAAATGTACTACCAGCAGCTAGAGCTTACTGGGTTCAAAAGGATGGAGCACAATTACTTAAAGCAAGAAAATTCTATGCATTACATGTTCCCATTCTTTGCCAAAATGAATGTCTCTTTCTGACCTGGATCCTGGGCTATCCATTCATTCACTGAAGGGACCCTGATCCAGGAGAAGCTTCTGTTGTTGGAAAGGGAGGGGCAATTTTTGCTAATGCTGAAAGATTCTTTCAATCTTCTGGAGACATTTTTGTGTGGCATAGGAGCCTGCAGGGGGCAGAAAGGATTACTAGAAATCACTCCCCCTCCCCACTAGCAAGAGTATCCCCTGAGCAAATCCTACTCATGGGAATTTAGAATAGAGACGTCAGACTTTAGCTAATCAGTGATCCCTGTTCTTCTCTAAAGAAATAATAATAATAATAATAATAATAATAATAATAATAATAATAATAATAATAATAATTGTACTCTGCTCATCTGATTGGGTTGTCCCAGCCACTCTGGGCAGCTAAATTATGACTCAAGTGGGGGAGTAAGGGGGTAAGTCAGAGCTTGGCAGACACCAAGCTTGTGGAATAGATTCTGGTTTTTACCAGAATCCTGAAACCATAATATGGAATCCAGTGCAAAAGACATTTATGTACAGTGTTGTATTAATATGATCATTTGGTTAATACAAGAATTTATGCTTGCCAGATGGAATGACCTCCCCTCCCCCTGTGTGCTATTATGAAGATTCTACCAACCCCCAGAGCTGATCTGTGGGACATGGGGCATGCAGAAGAAACAGTGGGGGCAAGAAGCCCCATTGCTCCAGCAAGATTGTTGTGCTGGCTTTCACAAGTGCAACTCTTTAGTTGAAATTAGACCACAGAATTAAATAAACAGCAACCTG